TGTCAAATATTCATCATCCCACTTGTCAATATCTATCTATCTATCCACCTACCTGCCTACCTACCTATCTACCTACCTATCTATCTATCTATCTATGTATCTATATGTACTAATAGATATAATATTATTGTATCTCACGTACAACAATATAAAAACTATTCTAATATCCGACAAACTTCTCACCTCATTCATTTCTAACAATTCTAATTTATAAATTACGCATTACATTTTGTCAAACTACGTAAATCATACAAATACAATTTACATCATGTATATTAATATTCATAATAAAGGATTATAGATAAGAATAAAGTATTAATGGTCCTTCTATTGATGATGATGATGATGATGATGATGATGATGATGATGATGATAATCAAAAAAATAAGGGAAAAAGGAACAATGAGGAAAAAGAGAATTAGTTATTCTCATCATAAACGGTTGACATTTTGTATTACCTAATTTCTTCTCTAATTATTGACATAGACATCTGAACTAAATTTCAGTTGAAATGTATAAATAATATTGGTATACTTATAGGACATTATTGATGACGTTTGAATTGAAAGAAACCAGTAGATGTAAACATGAATTACCAATAGATTTTAGGTAAAGTTGGATAATGGTTACTAACAGAATCCAGGGCATATTTTTCATTCGTTTTGTGATTCGTTACATGAATGTATCAACATACAAGTGTTGATGTTAACACAGATTGACTACAGTCTTTAACATCAACAATCAGAAAATAAAGATTCTTACAAGTAAAACTGATGCTTGTTCCAGAAGCTAGTGGTTGCAAGGGACGGAGAATAATGCTTTAGCCTTTACTCAAGCGAAAGGTACTATTTTTACACAGTAGTTTAATTATGAACACTGATATGCAAGTATATTGAACTAAAGAGTCACAATGAGGAAGAAACACTGCAGTGTGGTCTACTTATATCCACATAAGTAGTATGTGGTGATGGTCAGAGATAGAATGTATTTTGGCAGAAGATCGATGACGAACGAACAGGAATGAAGCGCGATCGGTACGAAAATACATGAACAATGAAATCAGAGAAGACGGACTGATATTTGTAGAAGAAACAGTTGAGATTGAGACAATTGATTTTTAATTTTCAAATTAACTGTTTGCTGTATGGTTAACATAATTTAGTGAGATAGTCTGTAATTTGTGTCTAAATACATTCGATTGTCCCCAACCAGTGTTACGTTTACTACAAAACAAGTTGTAGATTCCACTCTAACTGCTATCGTAATCTACTGAAACTGTGACAAAATAGCAATATTGAGGCAATCCCCTCAGGATACGCATGTGTCAGAAGAGACTGACCAATTATAATCTGTAACATCAACAACTGGAAAATGCAAACCCCTGGAAATAGCTGTTACATATCTGAAATGTCTCATTAGGCAAAATGAAATTCCTTAAAATAGTTTTGTATTCAGCAAATAATGATCGACTAACTATAAAACAAAATGTCACTATGAAGCTACAAAATATGTGTAGTAAACTGTATTTTAAAATGGATGACCAAGATGCTGTTGCCAAATGACTGAAAATACCAGTATATCTTCGAAATAACAATCATGTGGAAAATACGTTCAGGGTCTTTTAACAATCTCTAAATATTAATTAAACACTCGATTGCATAGGATTTTAGTGTAATAATTTTTTTAACCTCATCGTACACAAAGAATGTATTTTTAACTTTATATCTTATGACGATAATGATTGATAGATTTAAAAACGTTATCACTTATGAAATGATAGCTTTTGATCAAATGCATCTTTGTCAACTATGAAAATACTGAAATATCCACAAAAACCCCTTCTGATCTATAATCATATGCTCACTAGTGACTGACTGTGAGGAATGTTTCCTTAAGGTCTAGTGGGAAGCAGTGACCAGTGGACTTCAACCAAGTCTGTTGTATAGATATCAACTCACTGAAGGCAATTGATGAACGGTTGCTCAAACATCTTGGATTGGTTGAAGTTAGACATTAACACCGTTGGATGCAGCCGGCTCAGTGGTCTATCGGTTGTGTTCGAGTGTAAGACCGATAGGTCCTGGGTTCGAATCTCGCGAGTGCGGGATGCGCACTGCTGAGGAATTTCATAATAGGACAAAACGGCCTTTCAGTGCTTCCAGGTTTTCCATGATGGTCTAGCTTCAATCGACTCATGATTTCAACTATGAAAATACTGAAATATCCACAAAATCCACTTCTGATCAATAAAGAAATTGATGCACTGAATGTGGCCATTATACATTGATACTTTCACTGACAAACTTAAACTGATTTTTCAGAATAACTTATAACTTTGGTAGTGTAGAAGTTTAAAGAGTTTTGAGTAGCATTTTACATCTCCGTGGTACAAACGGGATTGTAACCAGTGTTAATGTAATGGTAAAATAATGATACTTTTACGTCGAAAAAATGCACATGATGTTGACATATTCAGACCTATTTGGCTTTTTATGGAACTTAATATTCTTTCTTGTTCCTATAGATTGTTTAAACCAGTGTTGATTTAATTCCATTATTTATTTATTTATTTACTTACCCTGAAATAGTGGCTAACATTAAGTCATCAAATGTCAGAAATCCAAGTTCCTACTAATTGGAATATTATGAAAACACAAATATTGTATTATTAACCTTCTTTCTACAGATGCTCAATTTATTTGAAACTTTTGGTCCAACCTTAGTACTGATACCTACACTTTTTGTAGACTAGAGATTTTAGATGTCACAATATCATTGGATTTAAGTGTTTTGTACAAATGCTAAACGAATGAACACTATTGTCGCAAGTTTTTTAATGACACCAGGAAGCATTAGACATCTGTTTTGTCTTAGTATGAGACTTTTTAGCAGTGGATCTTAATATAAGCATTCTTGTTATGTAAATAGTGAGTTTTCATCTCATCTTATGTTGTCGGCCAATACTGCTGATCTTGTAAGTAACTCAATGAACAATGATATTTGGTTATGACAACAGATCGATTAGATTGATTTCCTACAATAAGCTTATTTAATCAATCTTGATTGTAATTCAATTAGATATGATCAGTTTTCATAGTAAGAAATAAAAAAAATAGAGCAAAACAAATTGGTATAAACCAAATGCCTTTGAGATATTAAAATCAAATTAATATTACCAGGGTAGGTTTAGCGTAACTACAAACTGTTTTTGAATATATAAGAGGGATTTGAATACTTTTATAATTTTTATGGTTTCAATAAACCTGAATACTTCCTCTAGATAACTTTTATTCAAAACCAAAAACGGGAAGGTTAAGATTAACCTTATGGTTCATTTGAACTGTGTTATACCTTAATTGAGACATAGGAAGCTAATTTTTCAATTATTTAGGAACATATAATCCATCTTTATTTAAAATTACAATCACTTACACACATATAAATTAATAAACACAGTGGAATGTCACACGATAATTTGCATTCTGTTCGGGTTTTTATGTAAAGCGAAGACACTGTTTTTTGAACAATACTGACATCAGCTTGACAGTGCGTTCTGCTAATAACCGAATACGTCTTCATTTAAACTTATAACTATTTGACTCGTTTTTGGGTGACAGAATGGAACAGACTGGTTTTTTAGGTCCCACTAGCCTAGTTAGTCTTTCCATCAATTTATGAATTTAAGTGGATATCTATTATGCATCAGTAATTTATTTAACAATAACATCATGCTTCAAATAGTATTATTTGTAAAAAAAGAACGATTAGTTCTGTTGAAGAAAGTTCATTTATTAAACTTCTTTTTATTGGACTGATTAATAATAATAATAATAATAATAATAATAATAATAATAATAATAATAATAGAAAACAATACAGTGCTCTATTCACTTAGCATTCTGCTGAGACAACTCTTCAATCGACAAGTATATCTACGTTACATCTATAGTTGTTGGCCCAAACCCTATTTTAATATCTGCTAAGTTCCAAAACATCGAAATAGTGATTAGGAATCATAGAGTTGATAAACTTTAGACAGTTGCGCAATAAAGTAAAGAACAATATCAATTGAAATCAGCCAATTAGAATTAGGATTACGAATTTAAAAGAAATGAATTTGATGTAATCAAAACTCGAGAAAGAGTGGAAACAAAAAAAATGACACTATAAAATTGATATAACACTACCAGAGTAATGAAAGATTGATCGCTGTTTCTTTTACAAAAAATAAATTTAAAGTTTGTTAACTCCATGATTCCTAATCATTGTTTCGATGATTTGGAACTTCCTCTCTAACTCTTCATTAGATAAACAATTATTTACAATTTTATTAACTTTATCGGAATCTCTGTTAGAATATTGTTGGGGATGTCAAATCCCCAGAACTTACTTGGTTAATTTTGTAATTTTATTTTGAAAATTTGAATGTCTTTGTTTTCGCGCCAAAAGCGCTCTATTCATCTTCGCGTCGAATTTCCCACTTGTAAAATATCTCAAACGCTATTGGTCCGTTGTATCTTTGAGTGTGCCATTTTGTAATGCTACCCAAGGACAATTTATTGCTGTATATATATGTTTGATTTTTTTCCCCTTACGATTGCCGTGCTTCTGGATAATACGGAATATATTTTCTCCTCTTCCAATTTGGACTTCTTACTCTAGTTATCTAGGTCTGGGACGCGTCAGAATAGCTAGCTTATCGGTCTCTAGTCACAAGTCTTTGTTCCGTTCGCTTTTAGTGAATTAAAAACGCTTCAGATAAAACAAATATAATATACATATTCATTTCCAATCGCTTTTTTTTATTTACAAGTATGCCCATTTTTATGATAATGGAGATTTTAAAACATAACATATGTTGTATGCAGTTAGTAAGATTTTAGCGAAATAAAGTGAATTCATATTATTCTGCATTAATCTTTGTTTTAGCTCGATTCAAAATGATCGTTTTATTATAGAGCTTTGTCAGTTGGAATATATATGTATATTCAATTACTAACCTTATTACTTGGACGTTTGAGTACATCACCGATTCCGCCACCATTTAGTAGTCCTTCTCGAAGTGTTGTCAATATACACATACGTAGTGAATCACATCGACGTTCTGTACTACCAACAGTTTCTTAATTAAAACACCAATCGATTCACAAAAAGATAAAATAAAGGAAAATTTAAGTAATGGAAATTTTGATTTTGCCTAAAAATATAACTTATGTAAAATTCCTAAGGAAACAGAAAAAATTGAGTATAAACACATAGAAATTATATTAGAACTACGTACATAAACAGACAAATGTAGGACATATGTGCATACTGTTTTAATGAAAAAACAGCAAACTTTAGTTTTTAATAAATTTAATGTATCCTATTAATCTGTTCCCTGATATTAAAGCCTCTGCCGGTGAACGAATATCAACATTACTGAGAAAAGATGAATAGTGACTAGTAGTGAAATCCAGGATGCGAGTTACCTATTATTTGTGACATGTCAGGTGGATATTCATACATCACAGAGTTGATGTTCACTCCGAGCCTCGAACCCAGTACCGTTCGCTTCAAACACCAACATGTTATCTACTTAGCTACTGAGTCCCGATAGCCACTAGCTTGTGCGATGGAGTGAAGTTTTAGTTCAATTTGCACCAACTAGGTGATGAAGGTACATCCATATGACGAGTCACAAACAAGGCGAAACGCGCGTCATGTACTCCACTTTTAGTCACAATCCGTCTTTGCTTGTAATGCTTGTGACTTGAGGCAATCCACACAGGATACACATACACTAATAAAAGACCGATCAATTGCAGTTCTAAACACCAATGGAAAGATTCAAACAAACAATAAAAGATGAATTAAAGTCAAAACCAGTTTAAATGTTTTCATATTACTTAAGATATGTTCGAATTGAACACACAAATGATTTCAAACTTAGTCATTGATTTTGAAAAGAAGTTAACATCCACTACCACATATAATCATACAAGTTTTCATGATTTTTGCACAAAAATAGATTATGACCTGTAATACACAAGTAATATCGGTACATATTCAACAACCCAATTAAAGGTTGACAAGCACTTCTTTCACATTATCGCCAACTGTGTTTGTAAATTTACGTGTATCTGTCAAAGCAGCTACTTTGGCCAAAGATAAAGAAAGTCATATCTTAGATATTTTTGAACATATTCCAAAAAGCATTAGAACAATAGAAAGAACTACTATAAACAGCATAATTAGTAAATATTTCTTGGATACAAGAAATCAGGTCGATACTTTGCAGTCTTTCCAAGTGATTAATAAATAGCCAAGTTCCATTCTTCTGAAGTTTCCTAAAGTTACTGTTATCACGATGCAACAACCTGATATATGTGTTCTAAAGGAAATGATTATTGATCTTTCCTTGCCTTAGTGACAAATATTTCATTACTTCATCATAAAATTTTATTTCCATTAAATACATTATTACGTCTTTTTATTTAGACTGTTTTTTAAGGTTAGTAATCTTATTTTGTTTTGCTCATTTTATTTTTTACTTATTATCAGCGTTTACTCTTTACGTAATCACTTGTTTCTAGCCCTGATATGTCTCCAACTAATATATATGTCGTGTAAATAATTTAAACTTATTTCGTAATTATGATTTTTAAATATCACATATTTGTAAACCAAACGAAAAACAACAAATTCATTTTATTCTGTCTAATTTTTTTTTATCTTTTCTTTAGCCTGATAAAGGGAACGATATGTCTGAAATAGTGGTACACTATGACTATGAAGGCTTATAACACCAGTCGGTAATTGAAACCGGAAAGGGAGAACTAAGTTTTAACTTTCAACCTGATGGTTCGAAGTTGAACTCTCTAAATAATAATCCACCAGGTGTTAGTTCATTAAAAAAAACGTGAACATAGAGATAGGCAAATGTTAGGAAAGGATATTAAACGAAACATTTTTAACAAACCGATTATTAAAATGCCCAAAAGTAAATTATCTTAAATTTAAAATACCGAATGCATTACAGTGAACCACTGAAGCAAGTTATGTGCTAATAGTTTAAAGACAAATTTCAATTACAGGACCATTAAGAAATATTGGATAGGGTTAGACAAATAGTCAAGTAAAAAGTTAGACAATGATTAGACTGCTTGTAAAACGTAGTGCATAAAATGTAACCATGTGTCAGTGAACCATTTCTGTATCTATACAAATATTAGTTAACTGATAAACACTACAGAATATAACCATGTGAATCATTATTTTTTAACTGTTTAAACCTTTCATTACGTCAGTACTAAAAAAGAGAAAATTATTGAAAAAGTTAAGTTAGAATTATTTCTAGAAAAAAAAAGGCTATTTATTATCCATTAGTTTTATCTTGAGTTAACCTAGATAGATTCAATATAATAGTCACTGTTGGCTGCTATAATTTAAGTGGTTTTGCTCTATGAGTTGAATGGTTTGGTCGTGGAGAGAAATGATTTTCAGAAAAATCGTGAACTAAGAATCAAATCCAAGGGATGTACAATCAAAATGCAGAAGTAGACAATGACAAGTTAATTGTTAACAATAGCCAATCAAGATTGAGGTCTACAGGACAAGCTGTCAGTCATATGTGGAGAAATTCAAACCCTTCATTTCTACCTGAAGTTTGTGCTGATGAAATTGTTCAGATGAGCAATGAAAACTCCATGACCAAACCATCCAGATCAGAGAACAAAACTCTACATAAATCACACACCCAAGCTACAAATGTTCTCCACCTGCTGCTAGACTTGAATATACACTGTACACAGCTAGTTTACATAACAAATAACTGACAATGTAGTTTATTTCAGACGAGGACAAATAAAGTAGAACTATAATATGCAAAGACTATTAGTTATTCCATCAACAAGCTCTACTGAAGCATCGAATTAAATATAGCATTTAGCTTGATCAACACCTATATTCGATTTGTTCATCTGATCATACAATTATAATATCCTTCTGAATTTGTGTGTTTTCAATTCATGCTCCTTTATAACATTCAGAAGTCTGCCTGTAGCTCTTCTAAAGTTACTGCCGGTTGCAACTCCGGATAAAGGAGGAGGGTTGAGCATGAGGTGAGCGACCCCATCCCGTAAAAAACTAACTCTCTAGAAAAACGCTGACGCTATAACATTCAGAAAACAGTAAGTTTCTAGAAATATTAAAGTAGAAATGTTTTAGTGAATCGGACAGAATCTAAGTGATTAATCTGAAAATAATTTTTGAGCAGATAATTCATCAGTTCAAACTAATTTTCCATCAATTAGTCAAAGGGAAAAATTAAACTTGTCACATAATTACACTTTGAGGTTATAAAACTTGTAAAATGAATTATTTCAGATTGATGGTTACTACAATGTTAATAAGCAAAGATTGATAGTGGATAGCAGTGGAATCCAGGACACGCGTTTCGTCCTATTTGGGACTCGTCAGCTGGATGCACCTGCATCTCAGAGTTGATGTTCACTCTGGGACTCGAATACAGTCCCGTTCGCTTCAAACGTGATCGCATTATTCACTTAGCTACTGAGTCCTGATAGCCACTTGCTTGTGTAATGGGGTGAAGTTGAAATTTACTTAGTATTGTTTTTCGGATCTTCCCATTGATGTTTTTAGGACTTCAGCTGGTCAGTGGTCGAGTGGATAACGCGATGGCGTTACTAAGTACTAAGTAAATTGATATTAATAATTTATCATAATGTTATTATCAATATATTATTAAAAGCTAATAATGTGACAAACTTCGCTATTTTCATCAGTTTATTTGCCCTATTAATAAAACGGCATGTGTTTCCTACTGTTGATTACGTAATTTCTCAATTATATATATATATATATATATATATATATATATAGATATATATATATATATATATAATTCCCAGGACATAGTTGGATGGAGAATGCTGGTGGGCAGCTTATGCTCCTCCACGAAGGGTAACAGGTGTAATTAAGTAGTGAACATATAATTAGAACCAACATAATTCCAAAGTGAATTCAATTGATCTACAACAATAATGTTCGATACGCTTATATTTCCAAAGATCAAAATAAACGAACTGCATGAACACAACAATTCCAATTTTCAAGTTAACTAATTCCAAAGTATAAATGTGTCAAAGTGATTCCATTGATTTCCTTTCTTTATAGACATTATCCATTATGCATAGAAAAGTCTATTGTAAACTTAGACTAAACTAATGGATGACATAAAACTTTATTTATTGCTGTTGTTCTTTTACAATTACAACTATGTTTACAAAGAAATTATTTTTATTGTTGCTACAAAGTCATTAAAATTCAGATGATTATTCATTATTGAAGTCACTAATGTAAGTAGTTTATTTAACTTTTATAATAATCGTCTGATTTATTGATGATTTGTTCTTTAAATGATACAGTTTGATTGTGAAGATTTTGTTGTTACTATGATTAACATGATCAGTGCTTATTTCATAGTAAGTGATGTGCTCGATTCTGTATAAATTAATAGTTGATCTTGATGTGAATCACAATGAAAACATTCACAATTAAATTGTTTAGGTTAGATAACAAAACACTAACCAAAAATATCCACCTGAGTAGCTAATTTTTGCAAGACCTTAATACTAGTATATTTTGGATGAATTATAATATAAAATATTAGCAAGAAACCAGAAATATTCAAACGTATACAATTAACTGATCATTTGGTGGAGACTAATATCATTGTGCAATATGGCCACTATTCTAAAAGACTCAATATTTGTATGCACTTTCTTGTGATTTAAGTGGTAGTAGATAGTTTATAGAAACCATGGGTCTAGGTTTCATGCTATTGGTTTCTTGTCATAAATGTGTAGCTCTAATCTTGAGGGCAATGACGATCCCAGCTTCATAGACTGAGAAATTACCATTGAGTTATCCGGATGAAGTAATGACCTTCTGTAAGATTGAGATATTTAAAAATGATTGATCACTGATTAGTGAATAATGTCATGTTTGTTTGGTCCATCAGGGAACATCAGTTGCCCCAAGATTACAGGAATAAGTTACTGACAAGTTCCGAATGAATCTAATCCTAGCTCTAGAGATTACTTCGAACTATCTTAAACCATAACCTTAAACACTTAACAGTAAACTTTACGAATAAAAACATTTATTAACTTTTATGTGCAACTTAATATTTTAAACATGATATTATTATTACTACGAATAAACATATAAACAAACCATTGTCATTTGTTAAATCGATTTCAATAGTAAAATCATTTTGAAAATAAGCATATCCAATGATGGAATATAAGTAGATAATGATTAGTGCTAAAATTCCAGTTAAGAAAATTGACCGACCATTTTTAGTCACTGATCGTACAACATTCAACAATGTTTCTTCACGTGTGATCACATCAAGTAACTAAAATTCAATTTAAAAAAATATAGAATATTTGTGTATAGGGTATAAATAGACGTTATACTGATTATTTTGTGTCAAATATTAACTAACTTTAGCCTTACATTTCATATAACTATAGGTTACAGAATGCGAGAGCAAACTGAACAGCATGTCTTTTAATTTTCAAATAAGATTCAATTTGACAGGATAATCCTCAATCAACAGACTAGAAGTGATGATTGGGTTTTTTTTAAATTTACAAACAGACATTGACACCATCGGATACCGGCCGGCTCAGTGGTCTATCGTTTAAGTGCTCTGGCGAGAGACTGGTAGGTTCAAGGTTTGAATCTCGCAAGTGTGTGGTGCGCACTTCTGAAGAGTCCCATAATAGGACGAAATGGCCGTCCAGTGTTCCCAGGTTTTCCATGGTGGTCTAGTTTCAATTAACTCATGATTTCAACTATGAAAATTACAAACAACGATTTACTACATTTCGGTAGTCAAATGATGTGAAATGAAGAATGAAGAGAGTGAAATGTTTTGTAGATAATGAGAAACTATAAAACATACCTACTATTTTAAAATGATAAAATGTTCACATTGATATATACATTCAAAGAGAAATTCTTAGCTTATTAGTAGAATGTCTTTTTGTTTATACTAAAAGTATAAATAAACTACGGTACAATCACTAGACTGTTATATTTTAAAACATATATGTGTATTTCTTTATAGATTACCAAAATATGTAAATATTTCACAATTATTGTTATTCTTTTCATCAGACCACCAGGTTACTTCGTTGGAAAAAAAACGTATTGAAAGGTAAGTCACAGATCTCTGTCTACTGTAAACCAGAAAATACATTCCAGACTTTCACAATGAACTATCAAGCTAGATGTAAATATCATCATATTTAAATATATTTAATCACATCTTGATGATATATTTATTAAATTTCCGTAGTAATAAAATACAAGCGGCCGTCAATCTATGTTTATCAGCCTAGGGTTGTAGAGATTCTTGATTACTAATTGAGTTCATGAAGCGATCAATGTTAAATCACCATTGAAAAACTGGAAGCACCGGACGGCCGTTTTGTCCTAATATGAAACTTCTCTCCCTCTCAAAATGCGCTCACATGGCCACGCGTATATAGCATCTGACAGGGAAGTCTTACTCACTGCCTTCTCGTGCCACGGGTGTTGTTCACAACAGTGAGAGGACGAAAATCGAATTTCCGGCACTTTAACCGGATTGTTGGACACGGAGAATTCATTTAGGGGAGTTGGAAAACCCTGATTCCAAACCAATGGTGCACATGAGCTTCAGTATCCCGAGGGAACAAATGGTGTATGAATCAATCATTGGTCACCGGTTACCATGGGACTGCATCTCCTCACGATGCTCCACTGCCATGTGGATCAGACCTTTAAGTCAAAGTCTCCGGGTGTGGCCCCCTAAGAAAACCACATGCTTCAGTCTGGGCACCTGGGCAGTATCACAGCCCTCACACAAATCAAAAGAGATTTGTATGGCGCATATGTATCTGATGCTTCCTCGTACCAATATTTATGTATTCAAATAACTAAATAAATAAATAACTGGACTTGAAATCAAAACTTTTGGTCCTGTGCGAACTCAACCTCTAGACCACTGAGCCGGTATCCAACAGTGTTATTGCTCAACTTCGACTAATCCAGATATTGCGCAATCATTTTCCATTGTCTCCGGTAGGTAAATGCCTTACACCCGACACAGTTGAACTCCACAGATATATATTAAGCCCAGGGAAACACAATCTTTTACAACAACAAAATAACACCACAGTTTATACAGTTCAGTATCTATCATGCTCAATGTAATCGTTTAATTTAACTTTATATTATCTATATAAGTTCATACATAAGACAAATTAAAATATATGTGTATATGATTACTTACTACAAGACTATAAAAGAAAGGATGTATAAAAATTCCAAAACCAGTAAATATGATCAATATGAAATTATGTATTAATTTATAATGTAGTTGATTTATATTTGGAATTTTTAAATTAAATAAAGATCCTTGAATATATCTCATCAGTTCATGTACAGTAAAGAAAATATTATTCCACCATGATGATGATGATGATGATGATGATGATGATGATGATGATGATGATGATGATGATGATGAATGTAGACATGAAATTTTGTTTTTGACATTGACCAATTTTCTTTTTTCTTTATTATTTATAACTTCTAAATATTTCCAATTTGTTTCATTTATATTAATTTCATTAGAGAATAAACAATTTTTATAATTTTTTATAAGAAGATATTGTTTGTAAATGATGAGTAGATTTGCAAATCTGAAAATGAACTAAAATTTTTATATAAATCGGTATAGAATTATTCAAAATGGGATTGATAAATAAAAATATATTCAGAAAGGGTTTTGAGGAGATTTAGTATTGTCATAGTTGAAAGCATGAGTCAGTTGAAGGTAGACCATCCAGGAAAACCTGGAAGCAACTGGTGTTCTAGTGAGAAACAGTAACCAGTTGAGTTTAAACCACATCTGTTGTGAGATAGGAACTCACTCAAGACTATTGGTGAACGGTTGCCCAACTTCGTGGATTGGTTGAAGTTAGAAATAAACACCTATGGTCTATCGGTTAAGTTCTTTGGTGCGAGACCGGTAGGTCCTGGGTTCGAATCTAGCGAGGCGAGGTCATGGATGCGCAGTACTGAAGAGTCCCACAATAGAACGAAACGGCTGTTCAGTGCTTCCAGGTTTTTCCTGATGGTCTAGCTTCAACTGACTCATGCTTTCAACTATGAAAAAATACATCCGACTGTTATTAAACTGTATATTCACTTACCATGATTGAACTTGCAAGAACGGGGTACTTTTGATATTAAATATATACTGATTAGATCAATAGAATTTATTGTAACTATTTGAACTTATCACAATAGGATATATCTGCAGACTTATGGCAATTCATAGTCAATGTTAAGCTATTATTCAGGCAACGAGTGAATTTTTTTTAGAAAAAACAATTCTTTTTATTAATCGGTATCCAGACGACAACCGATTATGTACTCACATCTTAAATTACAGTTTCACTGATGTCTATCTCTCTAGGAATACAATATAATTATCTAAATATTGAGGCGAGTACAATTCAACAATTAGGTTTACAATATCAGTATACTAATGAAATAATTACTTTTGCATAAATATGATGGATAATTAACTCTTTCATTCCCAAAATTACAAGGTTAGTGTGACATTCCCCATAAATATACACGGAGTAGCTGTTTCACAATCGCTAGCCATAGTTTAAAAATATAATGAAAGTTTATATTAACAAGTTATATGAAGATATCTACTCATTAAGCTGATCAAAAAGTCTTGAATGTCAGCAACTGGGAAACCCAATCCCTTCGGTAACCATATTATATTTGCTGGATAAATGTGTGGCTGTATGACACTAACAGCGAAAAGACAGAAACTAAACATTTGAATCAATAAGTACTGGATTGAAGTCAGAGCGTGAACTTCAACGCCTTCATTCAGGCACACCTAACTGAATAGTATTGAATAGAATCAAGCTCTCGAATTGTTATCCGAAAAAAAAGTAATTTAAAACAATCTATTTATATTACGGGTTAATAACACTAGTTTATAAATACACCATGATCTATTCAATTTTCATCTCACTTTAACCTTAAATCTGTTATGTAAATAACTAAACCTGGGAACAATAAATTACCATAAAAAGAAAATAGAAAATTTTGATGATTTTATTTGTTAGTGAGAAATTTCCCTTGTTGATACGACAGATTACCTAAAATTTTAATTTTAAAAAAAAACACTTACATTAGTTAGTCCTAATACAAGAATTACATGTTCATTACCACAGGTAAATAACAAATATAAAGTTTCTAATCCAATGTATATTTGAACTAACAATTGATTTGAAGAAACAAGGCATAATACAACAGCGAATATGGCAATTGGTATTATAGTAATTTGAGTTTCCAAATTATAGAAATTATAAGCTAAAAAATGTAAAATAACGGACAAATATACTTTGGAGTAAACATTGCCTCTATATCAATGGATCATTATGCGTTTCATGTAGAAAAGAAAAAGTGAATAAAAATGTCATATAAAAGCTATGAAAAATTGTTATTCAGTGTTATTCACAAATTTAACAGGACTCGTACCAGAGGTGAAGTGATAACTTACCCTTGTGTTAAGGTAACTTTTTTGACGAAATACATGTTTATGTATTTGGTCATAAGAAGAAAATTCAATGTAATGACTGGTGATTAAAAAAAAACACCTTTCCAAAACCGAAAACATGGATAGGGTCTCAAAGTGTTTAAGCGATTTAACCACTAAGCCACTATACTTTGTATTGACTAGTGAGATTTTTTTTCAAATATGAAATGGTCATTTGCTCACTATTGATATTGAAGTTTCGATAAATTTATAGAATATGGAATTCAGCCCCCTTACACATCAAGGTACTACGTTTAAAAAACTATAACCATAAACGACACTATTGTAAGAAATTATTCAACATTCGAACTCAACTCTTTGTAGTATGAGAATGATCAACAATCGATAACTTCATGGATTGTAATAATCTATCTCTGAACGTCTAAAAAAAGGATCTTCAGAGACAGATCAATCGCAGTCTTAAATATTATTCGGAAGATTCAAACAAACAATACCAAGTGAATTTAAACTTCACCCCATTCCACAAACAAGTGGCTATCAAGACTTAGTAGTTAAGTGGATAACACGATAGTGTTTCAAACGAATAGTACTGGGTTCGCATCCCAGAGTGAACATCAACTCTGAGATACAGGTACATCCAGCTGACAAGTCCCACATAGGACGGAACGTATATCCTGGATTTCACTGCTATCCGTCTTTGCTTATATTTCTTGTAACCTGAGGCAATATCGAGGCAATCCACACAGAATACACATATGCCAATAAAACACTGATCGATTGCAGTCCGGTGTCGTAGCTCCAACTGCATTTACCCATTTACATTTACTTGCCAAAGCACATACATTGTAAGAACAGATAGAAGAGTACATATTCGCATTTCTGAGCATGTTCCTAAGAAAATGAAGCTGCGAGGGACCAGGACTCTCAACAGTGCAATAGCTCGGTATTCACCGGGCACACCATTGACATTTCTCATGCTTTCAAAATCATTAGCAAGCAAAGAAGTACAACTGCCTTCCGGTTTGCTGAAGCGATCGCGATAAAAAAAACTCAAACCGGATCTATGTATTCAAAAAGAGACAGTGATAAACCTATTACCAACCTGGTAATCCTTTTTTTTAATAATCTTTTTTTGGATATTAGTTTTATTTTTGTTAATATTTAGTTTTTATTATATTCCTCTTTCCTTACCCAATTCTTAAACCACCCTTTCTCTCACACATTTCTGCTCACTTGTCTCTCTTAAATTATATGAACTCTCCAAATTGCATTCAATTATTACGTAACTCATCCTATTTCCTTTTAATTCCATAATTCCTTTATCACCTCTAAAATTATCACACATTTGATCTTATCTGTCTTTGAACTCCACTCAACTATTACGCCACCCACCCTTTATGCTTCCTTCATTCAAATACCTAATAACCTCTGACCTTTCCTTGCCCATATATATATATATATATGTATATATATATATATATATAGCTATCATTGATGACCTTTTGCCATTTCAATCTTTTACATTCACTTATGTCAATTGTTTCATTCTATTTATTACCCCAAATGCTAAAACTTTAATACATATTTGGTTGTAAGCAGTTGATGAGAAACCATGAAATATAATGATTTCATAATATTCTGCATCAATATTTGTTCTGGCTTTGTTTAAATTACAAAACCTTTGATAAAACTAGTTTATTTGAATATATATATATATATACCCATCAATTTCAACTTGTATATTACTTCCGGTTTTGACAATATTGTTTATTTTTCCTCTTTTATTTCCCTAATCTCTTTTTATGAAACATTTCCAAGAATGATTATTATTATTCCTCTCCTGATACACGTGTTATTTAGGAAAAAAAACTTTATTCATTCACATAACAACAGAATTAAAGCCATTAACTTAATTCAACAACATAAGATCATGTGTTGAAATAAATTTCAAGTTTTATGTATCTATGTAGATTAAAAAGGATAATGTGATAAGTTTTTTTTCCATGAAGAAAATGTAAATAAATTATAACTGATAAATAAAAAATGAATTAATGGGGGGGATTATACAGGTTTTACAAACAGAGATTTTTATATTATGATGGTAAACTGTGTCATCTGAAAAGCCACAAAAACTAATAAAGTACAAAACAGATATATGTTTTCCTAATTTCAAATTCCAAAACAATTGAACAATTATTATTGCTTTGCTCCCAAATGCTCTGGTACGGCCGAGAGTGGGGGAGAGTTCGCTCTCATTCGCGAAATGCTGTCACATGGCCAAGCGCATATAGCCTCTGACAGGGGAGTCACACTCACTGCCTTCTTCTGACATGGGTGTTTGCGAAATTGAAAAGACAAAAAGCGAATACCCGACGCTTTAATCGAGTTGGTGGACATGGCGAATCCACCTAGGGGAGTTGGAAAACCCTGATTCCAAACCAATAATGCATTTGGACTCCAGGATCTTGAGGGAACAAATGGCATATGAACTAATTGTTGGTCACCGGCTACCATGGGACCGCATATCCTTACTATGCTCCACTGCCTTGTGGATCAGATCTTTATGTGTGACCCCCTAAGAAAACCATCTGTTTCGGTTTGGGCGTTCAGGCAGTATCACAGCCCTGACACATATCAAAGGAGATTTGTGTGGCTCATATATATCTGGTACCCCTTTGTACCAAAATTTATGTGTTTAAATAAATAATAACAAATAATAATACTTCACTGGATCCATATCGGAACCATCATGTCATGGTTACGAATTTAGTCAGTCAGTCAAAATGAAAACTAACACATATGTGCATCAATTCATATTATAAATAAATTATATATTTGTAATATCCCAATGAGTAGAAAAATTAGATTTTCTACTCATTGGGATATTACAAATATATAATTTATTTATAACAATCTACCCAATGCTCAATTTATCCAAAAAAAATTATCAAATCAAGTCTTGGTAATGATACCTACAAAATCAATTCATATTGTTATAGGGTAAGATAATTTTCAATCTCAAAATTTAGTTTAAAACAAATTTTGAATCCAGCTAACTTATTTTGACTGTTCAAGGTTCTCAACTAATTATTACGATAACCTGTAAGTCCTAAATCACCTAGTTTACGTTTTCTAACACGGAACGGCCCAGCAGATATTCACTTCATGGACTGACGTCACATCTTAGCTGGTTGCTTATAACTCTCATCTAACTTATTCTTACATCGAATAACATCGGTTTTTGAGGTAGGCAGTGCCTGGAGAGTGATGCCAGCCACTAACAAACCTACTTCCCAATTAGGTCCAGCTCACAGAGAAAGAAGTCCCCATAGATCCTTCTTTCGTGAAACGAATATCGATTCGCGTAAAATTAAGAAACCCATTATGTAGTATGTAAAAACTCAGTAGACTAGTTAGTATATAGTAGCCAGTCATTGTTATCACTCAACGTAAAAACAAGCGGTGTAATCGGTACACATTGCTGATAAGTCCTATAATAGAACGAAGAAATTGTCTTATGCTCAATGGTATCTCAAAGAGCTTCTACCGCGCACGAATTAATCCATCCAAACAAAAATGACCTATGTTGACTCAGGTTATTCGCCTATCTACATGAATGGTGAAAAACCAGACAAACTATATGACAGACGGGTTATTCTTATCCTAATGGTTATTTCGCATAACATATATTTAGTCTTGGTAATTCGTTTAACCTCATTGTATTCATTCTCATATAGTTAATTATTAGCACTTATCTGGATATATTGTCCAACACATTTTTCGTTTTTCAGTATTTGACTGATCGTGTCTGTATATTTTGTCTACTATCTGTTTTTCATAGATGTACTAAGTTACTCTTAGAATAAACGGTCTGGCTCCAACCATTACCACTTTCTTGAATGACCGCTTGTTCATATTTGAATGACTAAAATATCATCTTTTAATTGGATTTCGTAGTTAACTTTTTAACATTACTGTTGTTAAAATGGAGATAGCCGCAGCATCAGATACGAAATTAAATTTGGGGACTTTATTTTAATGGAGTCAACCAAATGATCCAAACTAATAGTGAAAGGATTATTAGTTGAGCCCATAAGCTGGTAAACTGCTAGCATATATACGTAACTTACATAAAATTTCTCCTCGAAATGGATAGAAACCAATTAATAAACAGTTCAAACATAATGTTCGATAAAAACTTGCATCCGATATCCAATGGGATCGCAGTGAAAACCAGTGAATCCATGGATGAACTGCAAAAATTAAGATTTTTATTCAAGTACACACTTTATAATATGATAAAATAGATTTAAAAAATTAGTCCTTCAGAGTATTAGTTAAAGTTTCTATTAATCACACTAGTATAGTGTAATAGAAAATTAACAAGAGTGGTGACATATACAAGCGACTGATGGATCCCAAACTCTCACACGTTGAGAGGATATGCACTTTTTAAGTTTCACTGATATGCGAAAAGAAGGCACCACTGCTTGAGACTGGTCTCACACGATTGCTTCGTGAGTGGTCACTTTAGCACAGTACGGAAAGATGGAATGGTTTTATTATGATTTGGCACAATTGTCATTAGGAATACCTTTTAACTTTTATCATTCAGATGACCATTTTAATAATAATGGTTCACAATGAATACACTAATGCATATATGGAACATTGTCGAAACAAATAACTCAATCTTCAACTAGAAAATCAAGACAACCCTACTGTACGGAGCTGAAACATAGAGAACTACTACATCCATCTTCAAGAAAGTACAGTTATTTATAAACAGTTGTTTACGCTGACCGGATAATATCAGCAACAGCGTTTTATGGGAGAGGACAAACCAGCTTCCATATGAAGAGGAAATTAGGAAAATGCTGGTGAGCAGCTTATGCTCCTCCACGAGGGGCAACAGGCGTATGTAAGTCAAATCAAATAAAATGTTACGTAACGGACTCTATGAGAAAATGTTTGATTACTACTTTGACCTTGAAAAGTTCTTAGCTAACAAATCAGTCAGTCAGCTACAAAGTAGGACCAGACACATTTATGCATCGATCCAAGTTGCCATACCTAGTTAGCACAACAAGATGAACACTGGATTCATAGAAGTAGTTAACATAACAGTATAAATTACGTTTTTTTTTCTATTTAACATCAAATTAGAGAATCCATTTAACCAAACAAAAATTCAGGAGGGGTTTTGTGGATATTTAAGTATTTTCATAGTTGAAATCAGGAGTCAATTGAAGCTAAACCACCACGGAAAACCTGGAAGCACTGGACTGTTAGGTCCCGGGTTCGAATCTCGCGAGTGCGGGATCGTGGATGCTCACTGTCACTAAGGAGTCCCATAATAGGACGAGTTGACCGTCTAGTGATTCCACGTTTTTCATGGTGGTCTAGCTTCCATTGACTCCTGATTTCAACTATGAAACAAAAATTGTTCAGTACCCTAAATTTCTTTTATCATAAATTTTTTATTAATTTAAACATATAAATTTAAATGAAAAACCTACTATGCATATGTTCAGCACATAACATTTCAGCATAAATCTCTTCAATTATTTTAAATAATGAAGGAATTTTTGAATAATCATTATCCATATTGTTTATTGCTAATAATTGATACTTTTTAGAATCAGTTAAATAATGACATATTTTAGGAATTGGATAAACTATTCGTTCAATTTTATTGTCTGCACGCACGATCTATATATATATGAAAATATCAGGGAAAACAAAACAAAATGATAGTTCAAATAAAATAAGATTACTATATGGATATTATGAAACATGTAAATAATGTTTAATAAAGGGTTTCAGAAGTTCGGAAAATCGAGTTGATAACTTTAATCTTACTTACTTACGCCTGTTACCCCTCGTCGAGGGGCATAAGCCACTCACCAGCATTCTTCATCCAACTCTGTCCTAGGCAACCCTTTCAAGTTCTTTCTAGTTAACATTCATCCTTTTCATATCTGCTTCAATCTCCCAGCGTAATGTGTTCTTTAGCCTCCTCTTTTCCGCTTCCCTTCCAGATTCCAAGTTAGGGCTTGCCTTGTAATGCACATTGGTGATTTCCTTAATGTATGTCCGATCCACTTCCAACGTCTTTTCCTAATTTCTTCTTCAGCTGGAAGCTGACTTATCCTCTCCCATAAAAAGCTGTTGCTGATGATATCCAGCCAGTGAATGTTGAGTATTTTTCATAGAAAACTGTTTATAAATACTTGTACTTTCTTGAAGATGGTTGTAGTGGTTACCACGTTTCAGCTCCGTACAGTGGGATTGTTTTGACGTTCGTATTAAAAATTCTCACTTTAAAGTTAGTTGACAGTTGTTATGTTTAGTGATGACTTTACTCGATTGTATCAAATTCTGATGACGACGTAACTCAGTTGCAAAGTACAGATTTATGGAATTTTCTTTCAGTTACATTTTATATGTGAGGGTTACACAATGGAGAGATGAATTTTTCAAATTTGAGAACTAGTAGCAAGAAGTCAAAAATTCGAAAGTCCAAAGGCACTACGCACAGTATGCACATGTGACAATAAGGGACTGATCAACTGCAGACCTAAACATCAATGGGAAGATTCAAGTAAACAATACCAATCCATAATAGTTTAATTATTTTCTCAAATAATCAATGATGAGTGAGGAAATTTGTCTAAAACATTGTTACATTCAGAGATTTTTTTAATTAGATAAGTGCATGTGCTAGATGGACTTTAATTCATGTTGCAGTATAATAATCAATCTCCAATTTGGGTTTCCTACCACCTCAGTTAAAGGAATGTTAGTTATTTTACATAATTCAAACCAGAAGTCAGAAACTATAAATTATTATGTGTTTTAATGGTTTCGCCACTTTCAACCTTCTGAGTCTTATTTAATATTTTACACCGTCGACTAGCCACTCATAGTACACAACTTAACTTTTATAACCCTCATTAACAGTGGTTTGAGAACAATGGTAAATAAAGAACGAGTTCTTTTGATTTCTAACTTCTTTCAAGTGCACACTAGAACAATAAATCGGAAGATTCTTCAATTCTATAATTATCAGGATGGGGGTTTGTGGAGAATGTAGTAATTTTAACAGTTGAATCCATTAGTCAATCTAAGCTAAACCTGGGTTCGGGTCCCACGTTCAGGATCATAAATGCGTGGTTCTGAAAAGTTCCATACTGGGACGAAATGGCTGTCCAATGCTTCCAGGATTTCCAGAGTGATCTAGTTAAGATTGACTTATGAATTCAACTGTTAAAATTTTATAGTTGTTACATTTTTGCAAGTGCCAACTATTGTGTGTCATGCATGGTTGCGTAAATGTTAACAGTTCAAATTAACAAGAACCAGTAAACAAAAAGAACAGCTGGTCAATAAAAACAAATAAAAGAATTCAGTCTTTGTCACATACCTCTATCTGTGCTGTATTCATTGTATAATGCTGAAGGCTTAAAATGTTATCACTTTTACTCTTAATTAAACGTTTTATAATAGTGCTATTCAAATCCAACTTTCCCGTACCAATAAACGGAATACTATTATGATCTGTACACTTCATTTCATAAAAACAATTTCGCCCTTCTGTAGTATTGTAAGAATTTGGCTCAGACCATTTTACCCTTAGCAATTGATTATTATTATTATTATGATCCTCAGATATCTTCATATGTTTAAAAATTGCTGGGAAACATTTATACAGCTAGTATGAAGAATAGGAATAAATAACAATGAAGTATAAAGATTAAGATGTGTACATTAATTAAACAAGTGCCATTAACAGAAAATCACAGTAATTCTTTAAAGTTTAATGCTAGTCAAATGCTTTTAATGATGGGATGTAATTCAATGTAAAACTAAACTATGGTTAATGGCTTCTAGTGTTAGACTATATAGTCTACATTCCGTTTTTCAGCGTATTAAAGCTGAAACCCATTGATCTTCAAAATGAAATCCAACCGTTATCTGAACTGTTGATGGACTTTTTTCATCATACTTTTCTTTAGAAGTTTAAGTAACCTTCACAGTTCTTTTTTTGTTCTTATTACCTGTTTGTACTACGTCTTGAGAACGATCCAGTGGATCCCGATTTAAGGGATCTAAAGTACCATACTTCCTATGGGTTTGATACCGTGTACGATCATGGTTATGTATAGGTGATAAGTACAAAGCTAGTAAAAAAACATCTGTTTCCTATACTGGACGTTTTGAGTTGCTTTCTAAGTAAGACTAGTTTTCAATGAGAACTATGTTGACATTGTTAATGATTTTTAAAACACCTGCACAGAAAACGGAACTAGGCTTGACTATGGTGAATTTTCATACTTTACTTCTTTCTACAAGACGTGAACGTCGAAAATTGTCTCGTGGTAATGCTTTTCATATACAATAGGAGAAATTCAATTGACGTTTTGCAACAATCCTGTTATAATGTAATTTTAACATTTTCTTGATAACCAGTTCATATTCATTCAGCTATTCACTTCATTACGTTTAACATACTGTGGAAGAAAAAATTTTTAATAAGAGAAGTATTTGCAAAAAACAAACTTCAGAATTACAAACACTTACATATTGTGTCAATATAAATAACAAATGTCCACATTTATGAAATGATTCACGTGGATGGTTCGCTGTGAAATCCGAATCCTCTGACAAAATATGATAATACCGAATTGAACTTATCTATAATAAATATTAAAAGAGGTGTATGACAAGCTTTAAATGACTAACTGAATATTGAAAGGAAATCAACTGACAGTAGTGAAGCTAATCCTACAAAGAAATACAAGATAAAGAAATTATAACAACAACATAGATCACAGTTTTTCAATTATACGTCAATATCTTGGAAACATTCATTTTTTGTAGTACTGTTTATTGTAAATCTTCAATACAATGACCTACATACTAAACTCTTCATGTTGGCAACCTTGACAGATAATCTACTTCATTCTTTTGTATATCCTTGTCTCTTATAAAGTTATTCTGTAAAATGGGCGTGATAAAAACTCATATCTCTCTATTTTTTATCTCCTCTTATTACACCCATAACAATATTGAAGATGGTATTAATTCAATCCAGTCTCATGAATTTTATTTAGACATGAAGTAGAAAATAATTACCAGTATGTCAAGGTACTCAATGTCCTCTGACTCGATAACATCAGCAACAGCCTACTGTGGGAGAGAATAAACCAACTTCCAGCTGAAGAGGAAATTAGCAAAAGACGCTAGTAGATAAGATATACATTGCGGAAATTAACAAACTGAGTCACAAGGCAAGCGCTAACTTGGAATCCTGAAAGGAAACAAAAAATAGGAGAGCCAAAGAGCACACTGCGTCTGGAGTTGGAAGCAGACATGAAAAGGATGAATAGCAACCAGAAAAGATTTTCCAGGACAGAGTTGGACGGAGAAAGCTGATAGTTGGTCTATGCTGTTCCGTGAAGGATAATAGGCGTAAGTAATTAAGCAATGTCAAATAAAACATCGTAGACTTAGTACTCACTTTATTGAATGTCATACAAACAAAGTCAGGAACTTTCCTTCTAACCATTGCATACAAAACGGATTAGGAGTTTACACAAAGAATTTTGATTTGAATAAATTATTTTAAAATTCTTCTCTATGAAGCAAATTCATTCACAAAGCAAAATATCAAAGACATTACCAGCTCTCAAGGTATCTCTATTCCCATATACACATTATGATTAAAATTTACTGAACGACGATCTACAAGATAAACTAGCAAAAGCTGTAATAAGTTTTCTGAAGTTAGTTTTTGTCTCACGTTCTTTAATCGATCAGTAATGACCACACAGAGAAAGAACAAGTTATATAGATTCATGATCTCAGTGGATGTTCATCAATCCTGTTGCTCTTTTGAAAATAACTAGGTCAGGTATCTTACCAGAAAAGTTACCCAACTGTCTGTTTCTCTTCTTTACAATCTTTGAAATTACATAAACTTTAATAATTAAGAATTCATCAGGTTAATTTCTAAAAGTTTCAACTTATATTGGAGTATTTTCCTAATTTATCAAACTGTTTTCATTATCCACGTGTTATTTCACATGTATTCTGATGATTTACATAACTTCAATCATTGACTCATGTAATGAAATAAAGTTTGAAGAGAGTTCGACTAGAAATCAGATTTCGCCCACATATTCCTGTTTTTAAAATGAACTGTATACATATAAAAAATCAATGTTCCTTGAAAAAACAGTACTCAAACTTAAGAGTTCAAAGAACTTACTAACTTATCTAATGGACAGAGTTCTATTAGTTGTTGATAAACTTTATCTTCATGGCGACCTTCTAACACAGCTAACAGTAGCTTAATTGATAGACACTATATAAATAAAATGACACTGTGTAGAAATTTTATTAATCAAAACTAACAATGAATTTAAATTAATAGCATGTTAGAAAATATCCCTTAGATTATTAGAGTTTGAATTCTCTTTTCTAATGCTTTCTAGAAGAAAATTAACTAAAATTTGACAAAAAACCATTTATTAGCATATACTTAAACTGTGGTTCCCTGGTTAAATCACATCTTTCAACTGCCAAGTGAGCTTTGAGGTACACACCAACTAAATACGCTTAGGTACTCTGGTATTCCTCACATAAATGATTTAGATAGTACGCCCAGGTTTGAATCCAATAGGTAATATTAGTTCCCTCCTGACTAAAGGTATGACTTGCTAATGAGTACCTACTAACATCAAAGTCCATGTTTTCTTGTCGAGCACATCTGACTACCTAGCACATCCAAACTAAGTCACTAACCTAAAATGCATTACTAATTTGCTTTGTATTACACACAGCCAAAAAATAGTTTGGCAACACATTTATATAATGAAGCTGGCAAATAGCTTCATGTTAACTTTACTATTGAAATAATAAGCTATTCGCTTACAAAATATCATGAGTTCATGAAAACTGTCAATTTTTCATTCTCTTCGATATTTGTTAGCTGAATTTGACTGCATATAAGTATCAATGTTCACATTGAAACCCGAACTCCATGCTTTTCACTTCAAACACTTGAGTATTATCCACTGAGCTACCAAGTTCAAACGGTTATTAACTTGTTCGACGGGTAAAATGTTTATACTCGAACTCTGAGAAACAGTGATATGCACTCGGAATGTTTGAGATTCAAAGATCTGAACGAATGACTAATAGGTAAAACTATACTTTAAAAGTTACCTTTCAAACAAGGATTAACAAAAGAAAAACTTACACTGATTTCCGCAAGTGAACATGTTATGTCTTCGATTTTATGGTTTCTAATCCATTTTGGTGTACTCAGTACCAAGTTTACTAGTAAACCCAAAATATTCGGACTTCCAAATAGAATATCATTTTGATTACTTACACAAGGACCTTGACAAAATTTAATTAGACAAGTTAAAATAAGTATTATAATTTCAGGTTGAATAAAATGCACTGAATTATTACTATTTTTCTGAGTTTGCACACTTTGTTGATTGTGATTCACTTCAAGGAATGATGATTTGTCAAATTTCCTCTGACCTATCGTTGTTGGTTCCATAATGTTCATATTATTCTGTACAATTTTCAACGTACTGTTTTCAGTAAATCTTGGTAAATTTTCAACTATCGTACTGGTGAAACATTGCTGTTTACTTTGTAGTGTTTTATGATTAACATCAGAATAGCTCAGTGTATCACTATTATTATTACTATCATTACTACAGCTGTTGTCGTTGTTACTGTCAGTGGTAACAGCATTAATTAATCTATCATTTATTTTCCACAAATTAATAAGTAACGATTTGATTTCTTCAATTAAATTGTAATTGGTCACATTATTTGGTTGAACGCGCAAAAGTTCCTAGTTGAATTGATAGGAGAAACAATTGTTGTTTACATATTGTATAGAATAAAAGTACTCAGTATACATAATTAGGTAGTTAAGTTTGATAAGTGATCATATAAAAAACAACCTTCACTTCCGATTGAGATAATATTCAAATGCTGAGAATGGTATCATCAAAACAATACACAGCTCCGTTCTATCACACTTGATCGATAGCGGTAATGTAATAGACATAAATAGGTCATTTAAACCGATTTATCGTATTCCGAGTAGTTTTCCCCGTGGAGTTCGACCTTATCTTATACACATACTAGAAACTAAAGGAATTCGAGCTAACAATCCAAGTCTTTGCATTCATAAGAAATTTGCAACACCTCTATATTTTACTTGGCCGAATTAGCTTTAATAAATTATTTTATTATTTTTATATCATTTTCCACACTCTTTGTTTTTGTTTATTTCTCTTCACTTCCTTCTTTAAATACACTCTTCATTTTCTAATTATCTGAACATTCCTTATTACGTAATCTTATAATTTTCCATGAAAGTTATTTCAGCAACTATATATTTTTCAAGTCACTGACCTATTTTCTATTATGAAACATTGATTGAAGTCTTTGTTATTCTTATCACAATGATGACAATGGTGAATGGTTGCTCAACTTCGTGAATTTGTTGAAGTTAGACATTAACACCGTTGGATGCAGGCTCATTGGTCTAGTGGCTAAGCTTTCGCGCGCGAGATTGATAGGCCCTGGGTTCGAATCTCGTGAGTGTGGGATCGTGGATGCGCACTGCTGAGGAGTACAACAATAGGACGAAACGGCCACCCAGTGCTTTCAGGTCTTCTATGGTGGTCTAGCTTCAATTGACCCAGGATTTCAACTATAAAACTACTGAAATCTGCACAAACCCCTTCTGATAGTACACCTGTCGTCATACTATCACTCATTATGTGTACTTATGTAGTCCATTCCACTGTTATCATTGGCTCATAAACTACCTTGATTGGCTTAATAATTACATATATGAATATAAATATTACTATATATTCAAGCCTAATGAAGATATTGTTATAGTTAAGATCATGAGTCAATTGAAGCTAGACCACCGTGGAAAACCTGGAAGCACTGGACGGCCGTTTCGTCCTGTTATGGAACTCCTGAGCAGTGCGCATCCACGAACCCGCTCTCGCGAGATTCGAACCCAGGACCTACCAGTCTCGAGCCAGAGCCCATAACCGATAGACCACTCAGCTGGCATCCAACGGAGTCCCATAATAGGACGAAACGGCCGTCCAGTGCTTCCAGGTTTTCCACGGTGGTCTAGCTTCAATTGACTCATGATCTTAACTATAAAAATTACTAAATCTCCACCAAAGTCCCCTTGTGATGAAGATATTGTTAGCTTATTTGTGCTGTTCTAATTCATAGCATGTGAATTTTTAAAATTTCTAAAATTAAATATATATATATATATATATATATATATATATATATATCAATAGTAAGTGAAAAGAAACAAAAATAAAATAGTGAACTAAACAGCCATGACAATTACCTGAAGTTTTAAATTACTTCTATGACATAGGGTTTGTAAAAATTGTAAACTTATCTGTACTGTTATATTCTTGCCAGTTATTATTGAATTGAGACAATCTAAAATGAACAAAAGTTCACTCATGAATACCTTAAAATAATTTAGTAATGATGACCATTTTATATAATGAAATGTAATCATTCTGACAACAATCAATTCCACTAGATTAATATTTTATTCTATCTTAAATATGACAGCAAAAATATTTTTTAAACTCCTTACTTAATGGAACTAGTTGAATTCCAACTATCCGAGCGTTAATTCAGTCAGTCAGTCACAACGTATAAATTCGTACGTACGTACATCAGTTCCAGTTGCCATACCACATTAGCACAGAGATGCACTTGTCGATTCAAATCCCAGAGTGGTAGAAGTTGTAATGTAGTGAACAGAACACTGGTTGGGACAATCGAATATATTTAAGCACAAATTACACACTAACTCACTAAATTTTGGTAACCATACAGCAAACAGTTAATTTGCAAAATAACAACCACTTGTCTCAATCATCACTGTTCCTTCTGTAAATATCAATCCATCTTTTCTAATTTTGCTGTTTATGCATTTTCGTACCGATTGCGCTTCATTTCAGTTCTTTCCTTATCGGTCTTGTGCCAAAATACATTCTATGTCTGACCAACACAATATACTACTTATGAGAATATAAGTAGACAACCTGCAGTAAGAGTATAAGCATTAATGTGAAAGATTAAGGTCCGAGCATTAATTAATAATTAGGACTCCATAAATTCAGGAGCAAGTTATACAAAAACACGGTAGCAGATGTTGTCAGTTTAATACTCAGTGATTTGATTAACCAATGCTAATAATCTCTGAAAACCTTCAAGCTTTCAGAATCATCCAAACTGAAAAGTAATAACAAGCATCAACAAGACTGTTTTCATCTTCAGCTTCTAGATAAAACTGTATTACATACTCAGAAAAATGTTACTAGTATTGAAAGTAAAACTAATAGTGTTGTGAATAAATCTGAATAAAGTCAGGGAAAAGGATTTATGCGAGGGAAAAAAGTTCTATCAATCTCTAAAACTAACAACGTTATAAACTAACCTAAATAATTTGTAGTTTTTGCAAATTCTTCTTTAGAAAAGAATCTATTTTTTGTTAAGTTATCCATTTGACTATAAGCATTGTGGAAACGTTGAAACATAGAACTAAAGAAATCTTCATGTTGTTTAGGTTTTGACAGAATAATATAGAAACATTCCTGTGTTAAAATAATATCAACATTAAAAAGTCATTAATGAACTAAGTTTCTATAATATGCGATGAAAAATAGTCAACTCTCTTTCAAGTGTATATTAGTATATTCGGTTTTGAACTAAGCGTATGTATGTAAAGCAAATTTGATAAAAACGGATACAGGTTTGTGTAATCCGATTTACCTTATACGATTTATTTAAGTGCTGCCCAGAATGAAGTACGCAGAGTTGAGGTTCAAGCATTCTATCTATCAATTCAAAACACAGTTGATTACTCACTAAATCACTGCTACACAACAACAAAGTTTATACTATTTAATCTTTGTGAAGATACTTTGCATTGGTTGAAAAACGTTTAGAAGCCATAAGATGCCATATGAGTATAGTAGTTAAATTTCTAAACACCTCGGTAACAAAAGTGTTTTATTTCCCCATGGAATGAAATTCTGCTGTATGTTAAATTTCATTTGCTGACTTGAAATGAATAGTCTACGCTGATCAACATTGGAACATATAAGTTCCGATTCCCATTTTAGATTTCATAGAAATAGTGATTCAAGTAAGTTCAAGTTAAGGAGAAGATTTTTCGAGTGATTGGAATTGATCACAAATATTTCATTTTTCAAATAAGATTCTTAGTTGCAATAACATAATTCAGTTTATGAAACGTATCATTTAATTCACATAAAAATGACACCCCTGATTGCAAAACTTGGCTAATATAAAAAACGGGATAACGAAAGCGACGAGGTGTATTCAAAAACAAATCTCTTATTTACTAATTAATAAGCTAAAGGGAAATTGAGAACTAAATTAAAGTCAAGTATAGTATATTAGTAGATCAACCGAAAGCACTATCCTTCAGGGACCTCCAGCTGACGAGTTAAAATAATGATGAAATAAACAACTTGAGTTTAACCAGTACGCACAAATCAAATGGACTGAAAACTTGTAATTGATCAGTTATAATTCCTACCAACAATATCTGAAAGAAAATTCAAACCCTTACTAAAAAACAAAATTAATGTCATTACATTAGGCGGTCTGCTGAACATTTAGAGAAGTTGTGATTGACTAATTTAGAATATTTTAGGAGTGAAACAGTTATTAACCATGGAATGGAATCATGTTCGACTAATATCTTGAACTGAGATTGGAACTGTGAAGTAGTGGGTACTGACTGCGTCATCCAGATGTGTCAAAAGAACTGAGTGACTTTAGTTTAACCTTGACCTACGTCACCGGTAAGTTCTGACAAGAAGGATTTGACTAAAACAGACCAACTGTTTAGTGGACTTCTGTTTCCAATGACTATCTACTTGCAGTTAATCTGTGACGTAAAACAAATTCACTATCAACATTGGAATACGAATAGTTGATTTATTTAGAATATGGATATTTTGAGAAATGTATTGTTTGAAGCAATGAATATCTTTCGTCACATGACCTTACTTGATGTAACTGACAGATATTTTAACCAGTATGGCATTTTTAGCTAAACGGTTATCAAAAAAATGAAAAGAAACGTAATCATTCTTAATAGTTGATTTTCACTAATTTCCCCAACTAGTTTCACATAACCAATAATTAATTACCTGTACATATTTATTACTGTGTTTTAAAAGGTTAATCGCCAACTCATTTGCCATGACAAAAATTGTTTCAGAAGTATTAGGATTTTCTATGCATCGAATAATCAGATCACAAATTCCATTTGAACACAGAAAATAATGTATTGAATTTTGACCAGTATTCGATAATCCATCCAAACTCCATTTCATTTCCAATGGTACAGACTGAATGGTACACGAGATTTAAAAAAATTATTACAGTTTGAAAGAGATTTTGAAACGAAAATCAGAAGCTGCCAACCATTATTATATCATCACTTGAACATTACGCAGTAACTTTAAATCTTAATTAACAGATCATAGTCAATGACCAATATACAACCATACTTCAACGATAGCAGCCGAATGTGAGCAAGATAAAATGAATGTTTCTTATAGGTAAGCAATTGCATTGTTTTCAAGAGCATTTGATCATAATTCCACAATCAAAACAATGCTCTTTTTGACACTATTTAAAAAGAATTTTCAGAGCCGAAAATCTGTTGAACTATATCAAAATAATCACCCTAAGAGTTACAAAAGATATCTGTAAGATGCATGGTCGGATAAAACAGTTAAATATCTTTGCGTTAACCTCATTCCAACAATCAGATTATATTACCTACCAAAGACATTTCGTATCTTGAATGCTGTGCTTAGCAGTGGATGTATCCGCGTATATAAGTACTGTGGCAGTTAATAGAGCTTTTAGATTCAAGAATAAGGTGTATATGAAATTTGGATTAACTGAAAGAATATTCAGTTAACAGTTTAATATACTCACAATACAGGAGTTGAAATTGTTCGGCTGATGCAAAATAAACTACCGCTTAATTCGCCATTTGATAACACTGTTGTTTCCACATAATAGACAAATAAAATATCAAATAACAAGCGTTCAAAAAGTAGAAATTAAAAGATATTTATTTATATTTGTTACCTACCTCCATCATAGGCGCTTTAGATAAAGAAGTGAAAACTTGTAAAAGCTTGACAAATTGACTTTCGAAACCTAGTTCAATCAAATCATATGCATGTTGAACCAATCTGAAAGAGTAAAGAAAAAGGAATTCAGATAGAGAATACCATAAAGGTTGTTTTGTCCTAGTCTTAAACGCCTCACAGTTCACAATTAAAACCTCATAGAACTACAACCTCAGCACATACATGTCTGGCTTTTAGATCAATGATTTGGTGCATCATGATTCACATTTCGAACATCAGCTGCTTTGAGATAAAGTATGACAACTACACATTACCACTGATAATATCTGTACTCGAGAGATGAAACCTTATCTCATACTAAAATGTCGAAAAATTCAACTTTCAGTTTGTCACTCGTTTAATCGGCGATTATTACTTATCAAGGATGGGGGAATTTGTGAAGATGTTTTGAACTTCAATTTAGTCTTCGTAATGAACTAACATCATCTGGAGAGTCACTGAAAACTAGTGAGAGCTGAGGAGCTGTTGAACAAATCACAACAATTCATCTAACTAAAAAGACCTTAGAAACGCGGTCCTAATTCACTAGGTCACTTAACAATACTAGGCTGAATTATGAAAAAAATCGTGTGACTTGAGCATCGTAAAAAGCAGAAAATGAATACAGTATAGAGAATAAATGATGTAAGAGGAGATGAGATTAGAATTTGATGGAGTATGAAGTGCTGAAAAATATCATATGTATCACACAGTAAATGATTGAAAACATTTTCTGTGATTACATAACTAAGAAACAGTCTTCCAATAGTTATTGAGCCCATTTTGATTCAGAACGAAAGGTATCTACTGATCATAAATTTTTTATACAGCCACCTAAACATAAATTATGTGATTCGCAATTACGAAATTTCATAGTTGAAAGCGTGAGTCAATTGAAGCTAGACCACCATGAAAAACCTGGAACCACTGGACGGCCAACTCGTCCTATGATGAGACTCCTCAGCAATGCGCATCCACGATCCCGCACTCACGAGATTCGAACCCAGGACCTACCAGTCTCGAGCCAGAGCAGTATGAAAATACTGAAATCTCCACAAAACCCTTTTTGATTATAATCATATACTCATTAGTGACTGGCTTCAAGAGATATTTCCTGGAGTTCTAGTAAAAAGCAGTGACCAGTGCTTCCAGGTTTTCCATGGTGGTCTAGCTTCAATTGACTTACGCTTTCAACTATGAAAATACTAAATCTCCATAAAACGCGTTCTAATACTAAATTTCAGTTGAATTTCCAAATGTTTTCGTTGTATATTGCAAAGTGTAGTTTTTTCTAATGAAGAGGTAAAGTATTTGTCACAAGCCAGTTATTTTGTGAAGATTTATAAAGAGTAGAATCCAGAATTCATTGAATCTCTTCGGTTGATTGCACATCTACTCTGGTAGAAATCTTTACAAATACTGGAATAATTTCTTTCTCTTCGGTATAAATAAAATGTAACACTTATCTACAATTGAATACCTTGAAAGGTATAGAAGTGCTCTAAATTCTAAAATATCCCTTCAAAATGACAAAAAAACAATATTAACTATCAGAAGGGGTTTTGTGGAGATTTAGTATTTTTTATAGTTGAAAGCGTGAGTCAATTGAAGCTAGACCACCATGGAAAACCTGAAAGCATTGGACGGCCGTTTCGTCCTATTATGGGACTCCTCAGCAGTGACCAGTGGAGTTCAAACCACGTCTGTCGTGAGATAGGAACTCATTGAAGACAATTGGTGAATGGTTGCTCTGGCTCGAGACTGGTAGGTCCTGGGTTTGAATCTCGCGAGTGCGGGATCATGGATGCGCACTGTTGAGAAGTCCCATAATAGGACGAGTTGGCCGTCCAGTGTTTCCAGGTTTTTCATGGTGGTCTAGCTTCAATTGAATCATGCTTTCAATTATGAAAACAATATTAATTTATACATGAAGTTAATAATCATTGTATTCAAATAAAATGTTAACATACGAGGCTATAAATGCATTGTATGAGAAATTATCACTTCTGACTAATGTTGATATTTCTTGTAATTCAATGAAATTCATTGGATATTGTAGAAATCGAATCAATGAATCATATTCTTTATGGATAGATGCACTAAGTTGAAGCTCAATTTCTTTAATCATATTCTATAAGTTAGAAAAAGGAATTGACATCTTAAAATTTTTCTTTATGAAGACACATTTTTCATAATACTTTTAAGCTAAAATGAAAAAATGTTAAAGTGGAACAAATGTAAGCACTTGATGTTTAAGGATAATGTGCTGTACCAAAGTAACTAGTAAAGTTAACCCATGTTATTCGTAAAACAGGTATAGATGTGCTCGAGCGATTTCGTGAATAATGTGAAAAATAGGAACTTTTATATATCAACTCTGTTGTTTAAAGGTAACAAACCTACTGGGAAGTCTGGCGGTCTACGTTTTGATCCTAGGAAAAGTTCATAAAAGGGACAATATTAAGAAGTTCTAAACGAAGATATAACAATTCCTCAGTACCTCTCAGTTTTAATTTTTGTTCGGTCAATATTAACTCACGATTAAAAAATGCCTTTACAGTTCAAAAATGTCTTATATTAAATTAAAACTTGTTATTCGTGATTGTTATATGTTAAATAAAAGATGAACGTTTGATCATTTCGAACCATGATGAAACACAATGTATGTTTATAAGATTATGAATGGATACAACGACCGTTTTGTTCCTTTTCAATTCACAATTTTAATTGTTAGTAATTTGAACAATGTTGAAAAAGATTAATTTGATATAAGCTATTCGATAATCGGGTGCCAATAAAATTTGAAAATCTATATACTGTTATAAGATAAATATACTCGGAGAATCTATAAATCACAAAGAAGCATTATTTCATTTCATTCGCTTACATTGAACTGCTTTTCTATATTCTTCGCAAAGTTTTGAGATAATGATCGATTGGTATCATCCATAGGTCGACTCATTTGAACTTCACTCAAACTTTTACTCATATGACATTTTTGTACAGTTTTAACACTGACTGTTTCAAACATATTTGAATCGAGTGAATTTTCATCCTGCAATCCACTATCTATCAAGTCATCAGATGTAATGCCACTGGTAGAAGTGTTTTTGTCTTCAAGTGTTTTATGTAAATCCGCATAAGAATTTGTCGTAAAAATGTCCTGTCTGTAAGGGAATTCTGACAAAACTGAAAGACTTTCTGAAGGGACTGAAAATATTTTTGAATAGAAAAAAATATCATTTTTACCATAATGAGTAAAGTAATAAGACTAAGTTGATTGTGTATTGAATAAAATAATGGTTCAAAATGATATAATTTTCAAGTTCCAGCTGGTGGAGATATTGTGGAGATGGTTAATTTAGACGTAACTTGAGAATAATGTCTTTATTATTATTTATATTTTCCGGCTTTCATTTAATTTGTGTAATCATTGACTATAAACTTTTGATTAAAATGGTCTGAATCTTGTACATTATTTCCAGTTCACACTGATAATCGTTCATTAAATACACGTGCTACATATACACTACATATTGTTCTCTGCCAGGTTACTGCTACATTAAAAGGGTTTTCAATAAACCTATCACGTACATTTAAAGACTGTGGTTCTCTACTCCATCTGAGTCAATTATACCTCATTATCTTTGACTACATTCTATATTTTGGAATTACCACTTCATTATTATATTTATGGACTTACTCTGGGATCCATTTGGCAAGCGAACATTGACTGATTCATATTAATTCACGGAAAACGTGTATACTTATTTTCCGTTCATTATTAGCTCATTTTTGTACCAGTATATCGAGGCTTGTAAAAAATATTAAATTCTCCACAGTTTAAATCATGAAATAATCTTAGCTAGACTATTGTTAGAAACCTAACAGCAATGGATAAATATTTCGTCCTATTATAGAACTGCTGATAAGTGCATCTCCACGTCCCTATCACAGAAGATAGGACTTGTAACCTGTAGCCTAACATGTGAACATTTGTAAGTTTTCCATTGAATAGCATCACTAGTAATTAAATATTTGCATTTTGGCCTACTACAAAATATACTGATTTAGGATCTTTTCGTGTACTCAATCATTAACGCCCACCTATTTGACGAAATCAGTCGATAGTTAGACGCTAGAGAAAATCATAGTTTATTAGCGAGAAAATTATATCAGTCACCTTCCCTCGACCGTTTCTCCTTCTTTTTACACCCTTCCAGATATCCTTCATTTTATTTTAATAGATTTTTTTATTTGTAAATTAACGCTATAAAATAGTATGATATTAATTGTTTGGCCCATGAACTTCGAAGAGAATGTGCAACTAGACTATAAAACGTAAATGTTTTCTAATTCTATGAATCATAAAAATTTGTGAATATTCCAAGTCCCCTGTAGTTTTTTAAAATACTTACATGTCTTAACTTCAACTGCTTTTCGAAGTGTACAGTGTATCTTGCCACATAGAAACTTAAATAAGTATCAGGTATTCGGACGTTTGTGTTCAGAGAAACACAGAATATTAGTAAAAAAATAAATCACTGAGATCAACAATTTGGTTTGATTTAAAGCACCAATCAAACACATGGTAATACAATAGGCTTTTAACTATAAAATTTTATGTGAACTGTGATTGTTAATTATCATTCCATTCTCATGAAATCCAAGAAAATGTTTATTTGATTGATCCCAGTGATAAACAATTAGTTTTGTTCATTCCAATACTGGTACCTACAAATTAAACTAAGCATAAACAAAATATCTGCTAAAACATTTATACAGATTCTTTTCATTCCTACTTAAAACTGAATTGAAATTAGGATTAGTTATTATCCAACTGAACCCTATCATAGTAAACATTAAGGGCTTAAAAAATTAGTTATATGTGACTTTCTTAAGTCTTATGAGAAGCAAAAGATGGTAACCTTCTCTATGATTATCGCCGAAGAATTTGAACTGGTAGGTTACAAATGCAATTCAGACATCTAATATAATGACCAATCATAACGACAAGGACTGTTACAAAATATATTGTCACAAGAGACTATATCGCTACAAGAGAAATACATATAACTCACCTGTACGCATTATCATTTGTGAACATTCGATTGAAGCTGGACCTAGTAATGGATCATTGTTTATTTGCATCAGTTTATGCATTAAATAACAACTTGCATCTAGATGAAACTGAATGATGAATTATAAATATAAAAAAAATTATCAGTTATTTACTAGTTCTACTTTGATACATTAATAAATATAACGAAATGAATACTTAAATTCATTTAGTATTGTTTGTTTGAATCGTCCCATTGATGTTTAGGAATGCAAATGGTCGGTCTCTTATTGACATATGTGCATACTGTGCGTATTGACTCGATATAGCCTTAATTCACAAGCATGGTAAGCAAGGATGGATAGTGGCTAGCAGTGGAATCCAGGACGCGCGTTTCGTCCTATTTGGGACTCGTCAGCTGGATGTACCTGCATCTGAGTTGATGTTCACTCTGGGACTCGAACTCAGTACCTTTCGCTTCAAACGCGATCGCGTTATCCACTCGGCCACTGAGTCCTGATAGCCACTTGCTGACCAGTTTCAGACCTCAACATCAATGGGAATATTCAAACAAACAATACTAAATGAATTTAAACTTCACACCATTGCACAAGCAAGTTGCTATCAGGACTCAGTAGTTGAGTGGATAACGCGATCGCGTTTGAAGCGAGGGTACTGGGTTCGAGTCTCAGAGTGAACATCAACCCTGAGATGCAGGTACATCCAGCTGACGAGTCCCAAATAGGACGAAACGCGCGTCCTGGATTCCACTGCTAGCCACTATCCATCTTTGCTTACAATGCTTGAAATGAATATTTACTATACGTTTGGAAGCAAATCAGTGTCAGCATACAATGCATTTAATAAAAGTTATTTTAATATGAAAATGTCAGTATTTTCAGTATAAAACGTTTTTTTAAGATGAAACATCAAGTAAGAGAATGAGAAATAGTCACAGCTTCATGGAATCTCGTACAATTGACAGAAAACTCGACAAATTCTAATTAGCTACGTCTCTCTACAGAAATATAAACTGTTTATTAACTTGTTTCAGATGGAACATTTAATACTTGGAGGCGCTTTTAAAATACTGAACAGATTGTAAAAGCAGTTCTCGAACAAAAGAAGGCATTTTCTCAAGGTTTTCGAAGACCGTTCACCATAACTTATCGTAATCAAGGGCAAATATTATCAGGTTATCGATAACCAGCACTAAATTTTGACCAACTTTTGTTGACAAATGTTTGTTCAATGTTCATTGTTTCCATTTAACAACTTTGCTACAAGTTATTTTATACAGAACATATGGAATGCTTGTATCGTTCTATCTAGGACTCAGCAGCTGGATTTATCTTCATTCACATTAATGCTGACACCGTACGTTTTCACTTTATTTTCACAAATAGTGAAAATATTAACGGACGAAAATAACTAGATACTCGACAAAACTTGATAATGAACGAAAAGTTAACAAACTGCTATGACATCAACATTAAAAATCTAATCGAGATCATGAACTGATTGGTGTTAGACCACCAATAAAAACCTGAAAGTACTAAATGAACACTATTCAGGGGTCCCGTACTAGGACGAAACGGCAGTTTAGTGCTTCCACGTTTTCAATAGTAGTCTAACAGTAATCGGTTCATCATCTAAAATAAAACTCAACAATTTCCATAATCCTATACTGATAGAAAATTTAATTTAATTGTAGTTCATGAAATTATAATTAAATTATCTCTATCTTAATCTTACCTGTGGTTGTTGATGTTCCAGTAACTGAATGTTGGCAAACATTTTCGTAACACATGGAAGAATAGAATCTCTGAGAAATATTTTATAATCATTACTCGATGGGTTATTGAGAAAGACCTCGAGAAAAATGAATAAAAAGTATAGTAATGAATAAATTATGAGATATACTTATTAATAATAACGTCAAATATCTTGGGTTTACTCAAACACAATTATGTATACTTAATTTCATGTTGAGCAATGTATCAGGTCTAATCCAAACGGAACTTTCATTTATTGGTATAATGCTTCAATAAGCATTTATTGGATATATATTCTATCTCAAAAGAATCAATTAAAAGATAGTAGAACAAACAGTGACATTATAACTAGTACCGCTCACTACGCACCTCAAATACAGAAGTCATAAACATGTGAATGAATAAAGAAAAGTTATCACTACAGTCAACGTTTATTTCAGTTTACATATTGACTTCAGTTTAGGGCATTTTACTGTCTTATATCCATGCGTTCTCCATTCACTAAAAGAACTCTTCCGAATACTTTAATTCCAAACTGCATTCTTATGTAATTGTTGATAATAATTCACTGGTTCTAAAACCTAAACCTACATTCACGAGTTTTCTTTTCATCTTGATTCTTATGTAAACAAGCTCATTAAACATCACCAATTTGCATTTCTGTTTTATTGACATTATGCTAGTTAACTCGGCTACTTCATTGATACCGATTTAAACTAAAGTGTAAAAGTATGCACTAGAGTTTAATCATGGTGAAGAGTTGGCTGTTGTTGTATTTTTATAAATTTAATCAATCCCATTCACCGATTTCGGGAATATGAATTATGTGTCTTTTAATGTCAATTTTTTCAAATTAACACACCAAATTAATATTAAGGATAAAATAAACACCAGAATAAGATTGTATTTATATATATAATTCATTTGTGTTCGCTCGCTCACATCCACTCCCATTCGCAATTCTACTCGAATTCACTTCGTGTGCTTGGTGGCGTAATGATTTACGCTGTACAACAACAAACTGTAGTCAGAGCTTCGTTCTGTCTCCTGAAATTTATACACTGTTGGAAATTATCTTATAACAGTCATCAGGACGAATAATATACGAAGCCTAAGGAATGACCTCAAAAATGTTCTTTTACACTAAAAACAGTTTTTCTATACTTCATGCGATTTATTTAGAAATTCACTAGCTATGGTAAAAGCTCGTTGGAAAAAGACGTCTCTTTCATTCATCCACTTAAAATCAGCATTTATTGGTTAGCAAACAAAAAAAATGTTCAATTGTCACACACAGAATATCATTTGATGTAAAACAGATTATTTTTAGAGAACTTGTATTCAATGTTTGTAGTGTTGTACAAAAGCCTTCAAGGACGTATACTAAGGTTTATTGAAGCCTTGGCTATACGGAAATTGAAACCCTCTTTATGTGTTCAAAAACAATTTGTTCTTACCCTTAACCTACCCTGGTAATGCTGATTTGTTATCCAGTGTAGTTATCATATTGTTTTTGTGTATCTTATTTATTTTCTTACCTTAACCTGTCTAGTTGACCTTCTAATTTTCATAGAAAAATGTCTTAACAACTATACTATGTGTGATCAGATTGTTCGAAATGTATTGCGCTAATATATCACATAATTCTAATAAACTTCGTCTTCTCATTGCATTATCCAAACACAGCAACGAAGATAAAATATAGAAAGTTTGCTTAGAAGCTATAGGGGGAAAATATGAAATTGTATTGAGAATAACCACTGAATACGTTCACCGAACAGATTCCATTTATGTAGCCTGTACATATAAACATGATCACGTTTTAGCTTAGCCCCATGCAGCGTTTCGTTAACCCGCTTCTATTCTAAAGAACATTCAATATCAAGGTAAGCAGTGTTTGAAAATGAGAAATATCTGTCTTAATATTCTCAATAGATAAAAATTTATAACCTCATAACCCATTATACCATATTCACTTAATGTTTTGACGAAAAATAAACAATTAATAAATTTAACTTACTTTGTCTAGTTCTTCAGTAATATCTCTCCAAAGAAAAGATAATGATTCACTATATTGTATTACAAAATTATTTTTGAAATCAGTACTTGAACAGAAGTTGGCCAAATTTTCCATATAAACATTTCTCAAATGACACAAGTTATGACACTTAGTAACTGGATGAATGATGACTTTAATTAATTCAGATAATTTAAACCATTTACTATATTTTTTGACTAAAATATCATTTTCTTCAGTTAGTAGTATATTCAATAGATGAAAAAATTTCAAATTAAACAGTAAATCTTGCTTAGATGTATTGTCAACAAATTTAACGACAGACCACACTGATGAATTAGAATAGGTTATTGTCAACAAAAGTGAGTCCAAAATATTACGGACACGTGAAAAACTATTCATCAGGAATAATGTGTCGTCAAACATTGAACAAAGCTTTAAAAAGAAACATAAGATGAAACAATACTTATTTATTTATTTAAACACATAAAATTATTACAAGGAAGCACCAGATATATATGCTCCACACAAATCTCATTTGAGTTGTGTGAGGACTGTGATACTGCTCAGGTGCACAAACTGAAGCAGATGGTTTTCTTAAGGGGCCACACTCGGAGCATTTGACCTACAGGTCGGATCCACAAGGCAGTAGAGCATCGTGAGGAGATGCAGTCCCATGGTAACCGGTGACCAATGATTGATTCATACGCCATATGTTCCGTCAGGATACTGGAGCGTATGTGCACCATTGGTTTGAAATCAGGGTTTTCCAACTCCCCTAGGTGGATCCTCCACATCCACCAACTTCTTCTTTTGACTTTCGCCTCAAGTGTCACCATGGCCAACGATTCTAGTGAACGAAATGCTGTCACAAGTATACTGAAACGTCGTTTCAAACTACACACTGGAGCCTTCAACGCACACACTCCACCCTATACTGAATCGGCCAGCAGGCCTACTTGGCTAAAACCCTACAATCTCGTACCATTGAAACATGCATACACTATTCACTTGACCTCACCTAGCCAAACCAGGGAACTGACGAGACATACCCTCATTTTATCTAACGTCCCGATGACTAGTTCTCGTAGACTGGTCGGTGTAGATATAGCAGTAAGTATGAGGGCATAACAAGCACTATTAGAATGGATCTCTGTTACCAGACCCCTATGTGCTGTTCGGCTAAACGGCTCCGTAAGAACTAACAAGGATAAGAACACCCGTCGTTACCTTTTCGTCGTTTCTGCCTACGCTCCCACTGACTGAAGCCCGGATGAAGTGAAAGACGAATTTTACCGGGTAAATAATAGTGAGGTTAAACACAGAGTATCAGATAATGATAATACATCAGTTGAGAAGGTCGTGGATCTTCATCGACTGAGATGGTTGGGCCACGTGTTACGTGTGCCTGAACACCAATTAACACGACGCGCAATGCTGACTAGTGTTGGAGACGATTGGAAGAAAGTTATGGACAGCCAAACCAAAATGCAGCATAAGTTCACAAAGTCACTAATTTCTGGTCCAAGCCACGTTGGTAGATGCAGGCTACTTGGTTGGGATCAGCGCGACTATCGTAACCAATGGTTGGAGACTGTGGGTGACATGGCTCAGAATCGATCACAATGGTGTAGGTGTATACTCATATTTTTCTCCCATTAAACTGTGAGATTAAAATTTCTTTATATCTTTCTTTCTACCAACTGAATATTCCTTTCTGTATTATATCCTTATGCACAATCGTCCTTTTATGCAATACTGCCATTGAGGTAACTGCTTCTATGAATTTGGTGTTCATTTTGTTGTGCTAATAGGGTATGGTAACTTGGATCAATGCATATATGTGCATGGTTGTACGTTGTAGCTGACGGAATGACTGGAATGAGTGTAACCATGACCCGCACTGTTGAGTCTCTAACTTGGCTGCAACGTCCGTTCAGCGCTTCCAGTCTTTCAATGGTGGTCTGACGTTGGTCACTTCAGGATTTCAGTGAAAGGTTTATTCTTCTGTACAACGACAAAGTAGGCAACTTCGACCGATTTGTACACATGCCTGATCCTACGTTGTAGATAACTGAATGAATGACTGACTAATCGTAAAACAATCATAAATAAACTGTAATAATCGTGTTGCACAAGGCAATGACTGAGCTCAGTAGCTCATGGGATAACACGTCAGTGTTCAAAGTAAAGGGTGCTGAGTTTAAGTTTCATTATGAACACGAACACCGGGATGCAGCTGCATTTAACTGACTAGTCTCAAAATTGGCAAAACATCCTTCCTGAATTTCCCTACTAGCCAATTAGAAACTTCAACAATAAAGGAGTTGTTTTATTTTCTTTTTCTCACCTCATTTGAAATCATTTCTCGTACTGGGCCTAATACTTCATCGTTCGGTTTCACAACTGTTATCAGCACTTCGAGCCAATGCACATATGGACGGGATTTTTGGGCAAAAAAACAAAGTTTTCTAATGGTTGAACGGTCAACCATCATGCACAATTCCGTATTATCTTTTAACATCCACAAACAGACTTCAGCATCATCAGTCTATGAAAGAACCATGAAATAAGAGAACACCGTATAAGTACCATAAAAGAATATTTTAAAAGCAAAATTATTTTCTCCTAATTGATGGTTATAGTGATGTTAAGCAGTTAAAATATGTCAACTTCACAGGTATAAAGCAAAGTGTAATGGTCGAAGATAAAGACTTGACGGAGAATAGTTTGAGCACCATGCCAGAAGTGTTTTTTTTTAATTTAGTGTGAGGAATTGTTATTGTTAAGTGGTAGATTTCTGTTAAGGAGACCCAGATTATTCATCGAAAAAAGCCCAGAGGGGTCATGAAAATGCTGAGAAACATTTTATCCAATCAGCATTAAATAGTAATTTCTCAGAAACATCTGGAAAGTGGAGAGTCACGTGTTGCGCTTCTGATAGCTTAACTACCTATCCTGCTACTATGGTTAGTAGGGTTCCAGAACCTCTGAGAAGCCTTAAACCATCTGAAATGTTATAAATACTATCAATTTTCCGTACACGAACAAACCTTGGAGTAAAACATTCCTTTCATATTTTGCGCCTATTCTCTCTTGTTCAAGTTGACGTTTAGATTTAGCCTGGGGTTATTAGAAGAGCAAAGGTAATCCATTCAAGCGTTCAGTTAAAATATTTATCTATTGCGAATCTTTTATATACGCGGCTGAATAGGTTATGCGATCGGCATACAAATTAGTGTGTCAAAGTAAACAAAACAGGGAAAATCGTTGAAATATCTAGATGGTAGGAGGAACATGTAGTCCAGAAACACAAGCTGACATCCTGTAAGAGCAACCATTTCTTGGGACATTTTTGAAGATTGATCACTTTAAAAACAATATGCAACATAGAATAGCATTGGCTAATCAACTATTTTCAATCAAAGAACGGCGAAATAGCTATTTTGTCTTAGCTTCTGTTTTTAGAGTGCTGAACAGCTACTAACTCGTCGAGATTTTCAAGTATCATGGTGAGCAAATAACTTTTAGAAAATTAAATTCATACCCAATAGGCCATATTTCTATCTTTAGTCAATTTGTAGTACACCTCAAAAATAATCTGACATCAGTAAGTAGCTATCTTGCTCCTAAGATAACCAAACTTTGTTAACAAAGGTTTCTCACTAGCTTGAGCTAGTGCATAATATAAACTCTCCTTGTAAAAAAATATTTTGTTTAAATTTGTGTGGCCTATATCAATATGATAGTTATATATTCCCTTTAAAATAGATAAGATTGCTAATTATGATTCCTCTTAGTTTATTTCATTTGAGCGTTGCAAATGGTCTTATCTATCAAAAAGTTAGTTTCAATATAATTCAATATAATCTCATAGTTTAACATAATACTTGTCTTATATATTAGCTAATAAACCTCACATAATTCTTCCAAACAATTGTTATTTGAAGATAAGTAACATATCCTGTTAAAATGTAAATTCTTTGAGTTAAAGAATTACTCCATAACTTTGCTTCGTTGTTACAAGGCAATCCCTAACTTGGAATCCGGAAGGAAAGCGAAAAAGAGGAAGGCCAAAGAACACATTACGTCGGGAAATAGAAGCAGATATGAAAAGGATGAATAACAACTGGAAAGAACTGGAAAGGAAGGCCCAGGACAGGGTTGGATGGAGAATGCTGGTGAGCGGCCTATGCTCCTCGACGAGGGGTAACAAGCGTAAGTAAGTAAGTTTGCTTCGTTGCAAATGAAAGCTCTTGATTATGATATAAAAACAAACAATATTAATGGGTAAAAATTAAAAGATAAACTGACGAAATTCATGTAAAATTAAATATTCAAACACTAACAGATTTGTTTGAGTTCAGTAAATGTGTATACTGTACACTATATGCGTCAAAAAGTTTATCTATTTCATTTGTCACGTAAACACCATGCTAACCAGTTACACGAATACAAAATTATAAATTTTTTTTTCTTTTTTCCCTAAACAGTTTGTTGTTAACCTACTTTTTTGGAATAAAATTTGACTTTCTTTACATATAGAAATGAATCCAACGAACGATCGCAAGTTGTGACATAAGTGTAATGGTTAAAGCACTTGGCCTTAAACAGGACATTGGAAGAAAGCTGAGGGTGATCAGATATAAGGTGATATCAGTCAGTGAAGTCATTGACTGTTGGACTGAGTGGCGATTGCAGAATTAGATTACCTGGTTGGAGTCTATGTGAATATCTTAAACGATGATTGGATATGTTATCTGACGTGGCATAGAAACGGTTACTATACCATAGATTCGTTTACGCTCAATCTTCTATTAATTGTTCTAAATTTTTTCAATGCTTTTTAGTCTGAGGAATCATACATTCTTTTGAAACCATATTGTATAGGCATGATTTCTTTAGACGATCACTGATACTGTTACTACCTTTTCTACTCTGGCACGTGATATGGTATGGTAGCTTGAGCTAATGCGTATGTATCAAGTTATACGTTACTTATGACTGACTGCCTGATAAGCTAATGCAGTTTGAGCAACCAATTAACATCATTAAACCATCTATAATAAATGTTTAGCTCAAATCGAAGTACTTAAACCTGTAATTAGTAATATGAGTTAAATTACATGAAAATTATATATCTAAACAGAGATGTTTGTTTTGTTTTACACATTTTATTTATACTATATATTTGAAAAGAAAAACAATAAATAAATAACCTACTTCATTTGTGATGAATTTATCTAGATATGGGTATAACAATTTTTGATTGATCTCATTGTTGTAACAAAATAAGCATAAAATATATTTGGTCAAATGAACAATCTCATTGAATACAACATCGGTACACTAAAAACACACAATCAAAACAAAGGGAACATGAGCAATATGAGATAAGTTAGTGATAGTATGAAATTTAAACTTGTATCATAAGAAACATTCAAAATATTTGAAACAAGAGTTGCTATGTGAAACTCTATAATAACAGTTAGCATATATATTTAGTCAAAAGGAGATTTTGATTAAGTTCAGTATTCAATCGACAAGAAAACCTTTTAATTCACACATGCAAAACGATTGCTTTGGACTCCCAGAATTAGCTGTTTATAGATTTCAGGTTATTCAAATTCTTTTAAATGAAGTAATTTGATTGATTATTATGTGGTTAACACATTGTGTTAAGTTACAAGTAAAAACAGAATGAACAAACTCTCAATAAACATCTGTTAGTTGAATAAAATATGGATATGAGGCACCTTCTTCGTATCCAATCAGACGTCATGGTATTTCGACAAAACTCCACGATTTGTTTCATGTTTGAATCAGATTTAGAAACTATCAACGGAACTGAATTATGCACAAAATCCGTTATCTAAGGGATGTCATATTATGTTACAATCGTCTAGAAGGACTACTTCCAATGAATTAAACTGTCGATATAGTGAAAGCTTCTAATAATTGTTACAAACGAGCTTTGTTAAAAACAAACTGGGATCAATTTACTACTAGAACTATTTAAGAGTAGAGATTTTATAAACCCGAAGATTTATCCTAAATGAAATTCATTGTTAAAAATAACATGGAACATAGAGACAATGTTAAATATGTGTAGTACAATTCCGTTATAAGAAAAGTAACAAACTAAACTGTTTCGTAAACAAATAAATTAATCATGATTCTTGTAGGGAATCTCCTCGGATTCGGTTAAAAGCATTCTTGCCGATAAAAAACAGAAACATAACTTACGTTACAGATTAAAGAAAGTGAACGTAGAAAAAACAAATATCTAGTTCCAAAGGTTTGGGAATCTCAATATAATTATGTGATATATTTTCAGGCTAATCACCTACAATCAGTAACTCTTGCGTCTTAAAATGTTGACGACCTTATTAACTTCACTTTTCTAGCCAGAAATGAATTCTTTCATGGGTCAGTATCATAATTTGATTCAACAAACTTTATGCTTTGGATAAACTTGCTTATCCAAGTGTGCTGTTGTTGAACACAACTAAAATATGGTTCAGACTAGCATACTACATAACAGTGAAAAAAACATCCTTTCACAGATCAAAGAAACTGCTCTTTTGTTCGTCGCAGTCTCCTGATCAATTTTCTACAGACAAATGTGTTATACGGATGATGATGATGATGATGATGATGATGATGATGATGATGATGATGATGATGATGATGATGATGATGATGATGATGATGATGATGATGATGATGATGATGATGATGATGATGATGATGATGATGATGATGAATTGATATTCTTATTCTTAGAATATACACAATACTACAAAACTTACTTTGAATCGAATATTCAATAATTCTTTCAAGATAGTATGCACTCCTAAATGACGTAAAAGTTGTTGTATTTGTTCAAAAGGAAATGATGATGATGATGATGATAATGATTTATCCATAGTTTTAAGTATTCTATTATTTATTCGTGTACTAATTTCAATACTAAGAGCATCTATGACATTAGTTGATTTCTGTTCTATGGTTGAAGTCAATAAATCATTATGTTCTAATTGACATAATGATATTATATGACATAGTATCTATATTTAAATATGAAAATGTAAAGGAAAAAGAAAACGGGATCAACAGAACAACTGAACAAATATATCTACAAGAAAATAATAATAAAAAGTAAATATTACAACAATACTTAATAAATTGTACATTTTGAATTCACCTAAACAAAACTGAAATGAAAAAGACAAGCTTCTTAGTATAAAAGGAGTTCAGGGCCTTCTATTTGATCGTATTTGCAAAAAATATGCTATTGATCATGATGTTAAGTTGATAAACAAGACATTAATTAGGAATTGTTATCCACCTAAATTTATCAATAGATGAAAAGTTCATAGTACAGTGAGACCTACTGTAGCCTTGGTGGAGAAAAAGCCTGTCTACATCAGCTTACCATTTAGAGGGGATTCAAATAGCCTTCTATTGAAACAAAAGCTTAAATCAGTCATCAACAAAACGTTTTGTGCAGTAAACGCCATTATCAAAGAAAGAACGAGGTCCATGCTTCATTCAAAACCTAAAATACATGAAAACGATTGTGTCACATCCCACTGAGTTTACCAATTTAAACGTGTGTGTGGTCACACATACATAGGGAGGAGCAATCGTGATCTTAAAATTAGGTTGTGTGAACATGTACCAAAATGGTCGGAAAAAGAAATTTAGATCAGATAACCCAATAGGACTAGAAGATAAACATCCATCATCCTCTATTGCCAAACATATTATCGAAACAAGTCATAAGATTGATCTTAACTTGGCTTTTGTGGTGTTGTATAAAAGCGTAAAAGGACGTATACAAAGGTTTATTGAAGCCTTAGCAATATGAAAATTCAAACCCCCTTTGTGTAATCAAAAACAGTTTGTTCTTACTTTAAACCTACCCTGGTAATATTAGCTTATTATACAGAGTGATTAGGTATCAAATTGTTTTCGCATCACTATTATTATTATCCTTGTCTCCTTTTACCCCCCATTTCCAGTATAGTTGACCTTTTATTTTTATATATAAATGTACTTAACAAGTATATGTATGATCAAATTCATTTAGCATTGCTTGTTTGAATCTTCCCATCGATGTTTTAGGACTGCAACTGGTCAGTATCTAATTGGCAGATGTGCGTATTGCCTCGATATAGCCTCAACGATCAGATTGTTCGAAATGTATTGAGCTAATATCTCATAACATAGTTCTGATAATCTTCGTCTTCTTATTATACCATCGAAATTTATCAAAGGGACTAATTGCTTTAAACTTCTATTTAAAGGTTTTTTTGAAATATTTTCCTTCAGCATTCAAATTTATAGAGTGCAAGGACTAACCTACTAAGGAACTTTAGGCAATTAAAACGCCTATTTAATATTTTCCAAATGGTAAAGAAAACAAATTTAAATGGATGTGTGAATTAAACAGAAATATAATGCTAATAATCTTTATTTATATTCATATATCACTGATGTGTATCAATAAAGCAACCCTGGACATAGGTGAACTTTTTTATCTTAGTCATATGGCAGGAATATAAGTAGTGATATCGGAACAACTGGAAAAATGAATCCTACCTATATTTTAATTTGATGACTTAGATATTTTATTTAATCCAGTGTTTTATTTGACTTTTATTTATTTGGTAATCATGGATTTCAGATAATGACATTGTATACCTAAGCTATTGTCAAGATGTACATAGGAGTTTAAATTTATAAAATTCATATTCATGAACATGCGCGTATTGACCGATTCAATTTACATAGTCTGAATACCAAGAATCGAATAATCACATCAAATGAAGTTGACTAGATGATTAGAGTCATGAACAAACATCTTTGAAATGGATGACTAGAATTTTTAGATATACTAATTACATCTATAAGGCTACTAACCGAATATTTCTTTTGCAATTATTATCTAGGCAACCAAATCAAAATAATTGAAGTTGACTTTGAATATTCAACTACACAAAGGATTAATTCAACCATGAAGACATAATTAACAATGAAATTCAGAAGGGGTTTTGTGGGGATTTCAGTATTTTTCATAGTTGAAATCATCAGTCAATTGAAGCCAGACCACCATGGAAAACCTGGGAGCACTGGATGGAGGAGTCCTATAATAGGACGGAACGGCCGTCCAGTGCTTCCAGGTTTTCCATGGTGGTCTAGCTTCAATTGATTCATGATTTCAACCACGATAAAAACAATGAAATTGTTATTTTTATCAAAATATACTATACCATCAATCATTCAAACAGTTTAACTTACATCTTTAACCAAATTATAATTATTCATACAATTACATTGAGTGTAAATCTATCAAAAATATTTTGAAAAAAAACTTATTAACATTACAATTCAATGTTTGATATTTATTTAGAAATAGAAATAGTACTCATAACAAAATACAATAAGTAGTATATATGTATATGTTGAACTCATATTGCACAGTAATATGAAGCGTATAGTATTAACAATATGGTTAGTATAAGACAAAAACTTGTTTACTCATTACGTTATTTTGAAATTGAATATAATAGTAAACCTTGATTTTATATTTTCATTACATTCTGTACACCTTTTTACATCATTGAAATTTTTTCTAAAGAACTATAACAAAACTTCTGTTCTAAGTATACAAAGATGATATTGAGTTCATTTGTTTTCATAGTTGAAATCATCAGTCAATTGAAGCCAGACCACCATGGAAAACCTGGGAGCACTGGATGGAGGAGTCCTATAATAGGACGGAACGGCCGTCCAGTGCTTCCAGGTTTTCGATGGTGATCTAGCTTCAATTGACTCATGATTTCAACTATGAAAACATTGATTTATACATATTGTTGCATGTCTTCTTTGCCATCGATTAATAACGTCAAGTAAGCAATTAATGCGTCTTAGATAACTGTAATGCTTAAAATAATCCAATCTAATTAGAATCTCAACAATAATAGTAACAACGTAATAGTACATTATAAATCTTACTTGGATATTATTATTATTATTTGACATAACCATACAACTTTTATCATGCATCCATAATTCAGATTTTTCAATTAAACCACGTAATGTATCTAAATGTTGTTTAAGTTGACGATAAATTTTTATTCCTGTATCTGATACTAAAAGTTGTACATGTTTCAATTTATTGATCAGTTCTTCTTGTTGACTAAAATGTCGAAATAATAATTGTAATGATTTTAACTTTAATTCAACATTAGTTGATATACATAAACGAGCCAATACACCAATCAATAATTGACCATAATAACCATCTACATTAAGAATAGTTAATTTATCTTCTGTTGAATTAGATTTTGGCGAATCATTTATTTCAAGAATTTGTGATGAATTGCTTTAAAAAATAGATACATTAAATATAAACTTATGATAAGGAAATAATCGAATTTTGCACTGTTTAGGTGGTACATGATTAAAACAAACTATAGCTTATAATGGTATCTCAAGTTATAAATTTGATTTGAATTACGTTGTCAATTACTTGTAAATTCAAGCATTTACAGCAGAATCTATATTCAATGGACAAAAACGTACTCGGTTAGATTCATCATTTTGCTATTCTTCTGTTCAATATCTAATAAAAAGCAATCAGTCAATCTCTTCCGTTTTTGTGAAGAATAATGAACTGTTGATTAGTTAATGGTTGTTTTAAATAATTGATGAATAAGAAACTATCACAATTGATTGATCATTGGGTGGTGATCAATGTCATGCGTGTCAAGTCCTTTTTAGTGCTGATCGAATGCTATCGATCAAGTTGCAGTGTGGCCACTAGTCTAGGTGGCTCAACACTGCGTGCACTATGTTGAGATAAGATGGTGGTTGGAGGTGGTCAACAAGAAAACCTGGACACGGGTTACGTTCTGCTTGGCACTCGTCAGAAAGGTGTACCTGTAATCTTGAGGGAACTGGTGTTCCCTGACGTATTCGATCTCGCGTCACTCAACTTCACAGTCAGAGACGTTACCACTCAACTACTCGGGCCGTGACCGACCTCCTGTAGGACCCGGGTCCAGGGTTTCCTGTTGACCACTTTCAACCACCGTCTTATCTCAATAAGAAACTATCTTAGAATAGCTTATACTTTTTTCGTTTAAAAAGTATTTCAAATGAGATGACAAACATTTTGGAACAAAGTGATCTGAAGTGCACGCATGCGCTCTCCTTTTTTTGGAGACAGTGCAATAAATCGTCATTGTTTTGGACAGCTTTTCATAAAACATAATAGTTTCATGAATTAACCTGACTGACATGTAACTTACCTAATAAAGAAATAAGGCCTATGTGACAACTAGCAACTGATTTAAAATAACACTATCACAAAATATTGCATCTCTTTCTCAAGTTAACAAATAAATACAGATTCTGCTCTCATAAATAATCTATATATTACTTCAAATCTATTAAGTAGTAACTAATATTTGGTATGGAGTAATGTTTGCGATTTAGCTTGTTATATCTATTCAGGTACTGGACTGATGAGACCATACTTAAATAGCTTGGCAACAACCTGTTGTTGTTAACCGCTTCAGCGTTGCTTAGCATTACTGACTTACAAAACACGAAATTAATTTAATAAATAACACTCATTTGACCAAAATACATATCAACATGAGTTCAAAAGACGAACAATGTAAATTCATCTTTCTTCTCAAAGATGTTTTCAAACTATATCAAACTATTACCATGTTTACATCAACGATATGTCCCTTATTTATTTATTTATTCGAACACAAATATTGGTACAAAGGGGCACCGAATACATATGCTCCGCACAAATTTCATTTGATTTGTGTCAGGGCTGTGATACTGTCCGGGTACCCAAACCGAAGCAAGTGGTTTACTTAATGAGCCACACCCGGAGCCTTTGACTTAAAGGTCTGACCCACAAGACAATGGAACATCGTAAGGAGATGCAGTCCCATGGTAGCCGATGATCAACGATTGATTCATACGCCATTTGTTCACTCAGGATATTGGAGCCCATGTGCACCATTGGTTTGGTATCAGTGTTTTCCAACTCCCTAAGTGGATCCTCCATGTTCAACGACGCGGTTAAGAAGCCGGACATTCGATTTTCGTCCTCTCAATTTCGTAAACAATACCCGTGGCGCGAGAAGGCAGTGATTAGAAATTCCCTGACAGAGGCTATACACGCGTGGCCATATGAGAGCATTTGGAAAGGAAGAGCGGACTCTCCCCATTCACGGCCGTACCAGGTCATTTGGGGGCGATATGTCCCTATGAAGTACTAATAAATATCTTTTTCTAAGAAAGTAATATATTTCCTTCAATGCTCACTTACTTTAAAGGAAATAATGTTAAAAGCTGATTTCTAACTGCATTTGACAATTCTGTGAAGAAAAAAGAAAACGAAATCAATTAATATCTCACCTTTACATTATCTTGTCGTTTGAATAATATCAACTACTTGTAATGTTAATAAACATTACCATGAGTCAGTCAGTCAGTCAACTACAACGTAGGACCAGGCACATTTCTACATCGGTCCAAGTTGCCATACCTCACAAGCACAACAAGATGAACAACGGATTCATAGAAATAGTTAATTTAGTGGTGATGGTAGTAAATAAAAGGTTGTAAATAAGAATATAGTTTAGGAACGAAGAACATTATAAAGCAATTTTATTCTCACAGTTTAAGGGAAGATAAAGAGTGTATACACCTACACCATTGTGATCGATTCTGAGCCATGTTACCCAGAGTCTCCAACCATTGGTTACGATAGTCACGCGGACCTCAACTAGGTAGTCTGCATCTACCAACATGGCTCAGACTAGAATTTAGTGACTTGAAACGTTGTTTTTGTTGCTGTTGTTAAACGCAACAAACACTCACCAAGCATTAATAATCAAAATCTTAAAAATTAATGCAAAATTGTAATTTTTTTTTGAAAAATCAAAAACAAAACCAACAAACATGATAACTCCGGTTCACCAGATGTCTCCAATATATATATATATATATATCTCCCTTTTTTTTATTTTAAACAAATCAATAATGAAATTATTCAATATTTGTTATCTTATATTACTGAATATATACATTACCAACATATTTAACTGGAAACTGTTTTCTTTTTTAAAAATAAGACATTTTAAAAAAATAAAATAAAAAGAGAGAAATACAATCGAGACTATCATTCATTAATATTCAATGGTTAGAAATACAAATGTTTTGTTGAAACGATTCACAATAATAAATATTGAACCCATTTTCTTAAAATGACAATATGTTTTTTGTAACATCGACATATGTTAACTCTACTGCTTTTATTATGATAATATATTACTTGAAATGGTATATGAATACCTGGCAAATAGGTTACCATAATGAATGTGTTTTGTCTATCAATCTATGGACAAACATGAATTAACGTCATGTCATAATAAATAATAGCGTTATGATATAAAAAGATTTTCTTATTATTTCTTCAGAGACAGTGAACTTTTATAGGGTCATTTGTAGTGCCGAGCTTCGTTAATCATTCAACTCGATAACCGTTATAATACATATCTTAACGGTGCATAAAATTATAAGGCAAAGAGAAGCAGTAACTACAGTCTTATTGACAAATGATGCAGGCCAGAAAGTCATAAGCACATGAGCAAATATCAGCGAGCGAAGCATAAATGACATGCATTGGAGATGGCGGTAAGCCAACTCACTTTTATCAAGCGTTAATCAATATTTATGATGACAGACATGTGATAAATAGAATAAAAATTGTTTTGAGATGGTGGAGAAGATTTGTAGCTCAGGTGGGTGATTTTTATTGAGTTTTGTTCTCTGAGCTGGATGGTTTGGTCGTTGAGCTTTCATCGTCCTTCTGAAAGACATCATCAACCAATTACGGGAATTAGGTAGAAACATAGGAATAAAAATCATACCAACGGGAGATACAACCAAAACGAAGAAATAAACAGTGACAGATTTAAGGTCAACAAGAACCAATCAACATCGAGGCGCACAGGAGAAGCTGTGAATAATATGTGGAGAAATTCAAACACTTCACTTCTACCCGAAGTTTGTGCTGACGATGTCGTTCAGAGGGACGATGAAAGCTCCACGACCAAACCATCCAGCTCAGAGAACAAAACTCCATGAAAGTAAAACGTGTACACACATATACGCTCATATAAAAAATAGTTAGGGTTAATAAATGAATAATTAACAAGGTCCAAACATGATTCATCATGGATAGATGAATTGGCTTGTCCAGAAGCTAGAATAAGGTTATAGAGGCCTAATATATCAACCGACACTACAGGTCAATAGATCATCGTGTAACCACATCTATCACTTTATTTTTTGTTCGTTATTTGTTCAAAATGACTGTGAACTTCAGTAGTCAAAATAAAATTTATTATTAATTGAAACTATTTGTTATAAATGTTCTCCACTTTTCATTTATTCTTTTACACAAATCCATGATAATTAGTTTTCCTGACATTCTTTTCTAAGGTCAACTTTCTCTTTACTAAATTTTGTGATATACACCTTACAACTAGTAATGTAAATAGCAAATTTGATTTTAACTCTCAGTCATACTGTGGCGTAGGCTACTTATGTAGACAGGTATAAGTAGTATATAGCCCTAATCAGAAGTAAAATGCCTGGAAGCAGATTGTTGAGAAGATTGAAACGAGAAGAATGTAAATGTAAACAGATAACAATTTTAATAACAATGAAGGAACGATGAAATTCGAGACAATTGATGGATGATTGCCAAATAAAATATTTTTAAATGTATGATTTTTTTTTTACATTTTACGAAACAACTTTGTAATTATGTCTCCCTCACACTCGACTTCTCGTACACTACAATAAAATATCGCTCCTATAATTATCACCAAAATCAAGTTGTCTAAGCAACTACTAAAAAAAGAAATCATTGTAGAATTACATTTTATGTTGATTGAATGAAAGTGAAAATACCAAATTATAATTTAACCCCCTGTTTAAAAACATCATTTTTATGTTAGAACATAAAAATTCAAACTTCAATTTTTTTTTAGTACTTCCAATTACTTTAGAATCAATCCATTCAGTGTGTTGATGTGTGCTAACTAAACATGATTAATTCTAATTAAGGATATATAATAAAATAATTAATTACCTATAGTTTACTCTATATATATATCTTAAAGTGAATGAATTGTAATTAGTAGAAACAGAACTGTACTACATTGAATTTATGAATATTATGATATTTTTGTCGGATTCGTTAACATATGGACTAATACATAATTAATGTAATAAAATTTATACTTTATGGTTTTCATTACTATTTCATTTTAATCATATATGAAATGTTATATGACTGACATATATCAGTACAATATAATGTATAGGGGGTATTTATTTATGTGGATAATTCAGTGAAATCTCTTAATCATTCAGATCCCGACAACAACGTTTATCTGGTTATATTTACGTATAGATGATCATCGATTTATCAATTTATGTATATACATTTCTCGCATACTGGAAAATTATCGCACTTTAAATATGTTGTTGTTAATAACATTCAGGTTATCACAAGAAATTTCTTACCTAAAGTTTGCTCTTTTTCCAAATTCTCTAACTCTAAGTTATTTGAACAAGCTTCTGGTTGCTTAACGCTTCGAAGAGTAGTTAATAAACAGAAGATTTGATAATCTACACGAACGTCCAAAATATACTGAAATGCATAATAAGATAAAAATTAGTTCAGAAACATCGTAATTAAACAAAAACTGTAAAAAAAATTACCCATGAGGAAATGTCAACTAGTCCGATTGATGAAAACTTGCAAAAAATCCTTAGAAACAAAACTTATGGTGAGATCAGTGTCCATCGGTAACTTTATACTTAGGCTGAAAAGTTAAAAACATCTTGATAGATCATTATAGCCAATTTAATCCAGATAAAAGCAACAATTAAAAGGTTTCCGAAAGAAATATATTGTTCCCTTCGTCTTTCAAGGCCAACCAACTACTAAGTAATTCAGCTAACAAAGTTTCTACTACATAGTCCTCACATTTAAGTTCATTTTCATTACCTTTCCTTTTAAAAGTCAAAGCGGATTTGATTTACGTGTGCATCGGTTTCTTCTGGACATCCATCATATGGGCACACAGAGAGATAAAGAATGAAGGACTAGAAATGATACAACTAGCAACCCTCAAAGAAATTAATCGAGAAATGTGATGTATACAACAATGTAGTACTTGAAACGAAGAGAAACATGCAAACAGGGTTCATCAGTGTCATTGTTACTGATTTCAGAATATGCCACCATAGGTTTCCACAATTTAGTGATCGTAAATACTGACAATACTATCAAAAAGGGTTAAACAACAATACAACTCGTTTCTTCTGAACTTTTAAAAGTCAGCCACGACTGGAATAGTAAAATATGATATTTTTTATCTACAACGAGACCGTGAGTTATTACTCTCATAAGACGTCTTTGTGTGCTGATAAATAATATTTCCTCTCTTTTTCACAGTTAGATAATACTTCTCTGAATCGACTATAGTGGTTTAGATAAACATGATTATTTTACATTCTCTAGATTTTAAAGGTTCGATCATCAAGTTAATTTAACCAGACTAATTCATCCGTCTGATTCGCCATTTTTATTTCTCATGGTAGCACAAACAGAAATGAATTGTTGTATTCTGAGATACGCTTTCATTACTGACTTAAAGTTTTCATTCACATAAGTAGCATACAATAACACAATCTTGTACCTAAATAAGATCTTTAATTTCCTAATATATATACAGCCATTTGACCATTGATACTCTGTATTATAATGACCAATTCCACGACAGTATTGTCAGTTCGACCATCTCAGTGATTGTAATAGCTTTATAGGTCTTTAAGTAATCACCGCTACTATTACTAATACTATTCATAATTCTACTTTAACAATAATACTAGAACTACCGTTACTTCCATTACAACCACTATAACTGATGCTACTACTACTAATACTACTACTACTAATACTACTACTACTACTGAAGTATGTGCTGCTGATGTCGACTGATATAAGTAGTATATATCACCAATCTAATAGGAAATGTCTGGTGGCAGAAGGTTAGGAAGATCGAAGAAAAAAGGCTAAGAACAGAGAGTGATTGATGTGGAAACAAAGGAACAGTCAAGTCTGAGACAAATGATAGATATTTTGCAAACGAGAAAATTACTATATGGTTCTCAAATTTTACTAAGAGTTTCTGTAATTTCGTGTTCAAGTACATTTAGTTGTTCCCGTCCATATTCTCGTTCACTACAATATTACTACTGTAGTGAACAGAACACGGGTGGGGTCAATCGAATGTATTCAAGCACAAATTACAAACTATCTTACTAAGATCTGATAACCATACAACAAACATTTAATTTGCAAAATAACAATCAATTGTCTCAATCTTCACTGTTCCTTCTGTAAATATCAATCCATCTTCTCTAATTTCATTGTTTATGCATTTTCCTACCAATTGCGCTTCATTTCAGTTCTTTCCTTATTGGTCTTTTGCCAAAAAACATTCTATGTCTGACCATCATATACTACTTATGAGAATATAAGTAGCCCACACCACACAATACTAATATAAATAATTCATTAAATATTAAATAAAATCAGGAACCAATATTATATCCCTCTTATTCTATGTGCGCCATCTCATATTTTATATAGTTAAGATCATGAGTCAATTGAAGCTAGACGTGGAAGCACTGGACGGCCGTTCCGTCCTATTGTGGGACTCTTCAGCAGTGCGCATCCACGATCCCAGCTACGGCATGTTATTTAAATATCTAAAAAGCGTTCACATATTAACATAAAAGGGTTATTTTTTTCATTGTATATAAAATACCTTTTCATTCATAACTTACTTCAATAATATCCAGAGTTTTTAATTTTAAATCAAATAGTTTATCATCATTTGAACTAGTCAGTAGTGTTGAAGAGGTGTTCATCTCTTTCACTTAATGATAAGAAAATATATATATATGATATGTTAAGTAATAATTATATTTACTTTTCACTAAAATAGGATATACCTAAAAAAGGCTCAATATCTTTGGTTAGTAAGACTAGATGATTAACTATTATGTATCACTACTAAGCTTTGACTTGACAGTTTAAAAATAAATTGACCAACAAAGAGATTGTTAGTAATAGTGTTATGTCTCGTAGGTTGAACGCTTTATTCAGATCTTAAGCTATTCGGATAACCCCCAGGCTAGCACTACTCAGCGACTTGAAGACCAGAGAGAAGACACGAGTAACAGAGAAACGCTTTACTACAAGGTTCGTTTCTGTACAGAAAATCATAGGTATTTATAGATGTTTGCTTAAGTTAAATCAACATCCTAATTCAACCAATCCACTTTACGACATATATTGCTACTGACCAATGGTAGCATGCCACATTGGAACTCCAGAAAGTTATGTCGTACTCTGATTGGTTGGGGCTCTTTTTGAGCCTCTGGAGGCTCTGCTGCGGTTCTCTGGAGGCCGAATTAACAAATAGGAATAATGATGCATTTGTAAAACCCTAATGAATAGGAAATGGAATTTCTGATGTTTCACAACCTATTGTTGCTTCTTCAGAGGACAAGTAACCTAATTAAATTAACTCAAGTTCAGACAGTACCGTTGAGATTATTAGTATAAAAATTTTGTAAAAACTGTTGAATTTTTGAACTCGTCCTAATTAGACAGCCAATAGAAACCAGGTACAAGTGGATAACTTTTTTATCCAAGTGTAGAGAATTTTCTATTGATGTGTACACAACACCGCGTCAGAGATCACATTCAAAACATGCGGGCTCTGAGGTGAAAGTGTTATACTTAGGATGCATTTCAAACTTCAATCGATTTGTGATTTAAAGCACCAATCAAACAGTATTGCCGATCATATCTGTTTTCTTTCCGATATGTTTGAACTTTACTAGCCAAGATTTCTGAACGAACGTTTTGTGTACATGAATTAAAAGTCCCAAACTAGATCATTCAAAAGTGAATATATGATGAAAGCTATCTTGAATTGACAATATATTTAAATCACTATTTATCTATAGTTATGATGTAATCAGTAGTTGAACATTTTTTTCTTCGAATTATCTTTAAGCCAAACCGATTCTCAGAATAGTATACCAATAAATATCATAGCACCATAAATTTATTACTTTTCATGAAAGTTTACATATTGGACAGATAAAAATGAGTTATCTACCTTGGTGTAGTAAAGTATCATATAACACTAAACTTTTTGTGTTATTTGTGGAATGCGATGAATTGCTTAATATTGTAAGTGTTGAATACAATCATACTCTAACAGTCAGTAACACTTATACACTCATAGGATGATATATCAAAACGACATATGGAAAGGATTATATTTCAATTTCTTCTGTCCAATAAGCTAGGAAAGAGCTTTGGATTGAACGCTTTTTAGTTGTCTAAGTCTGTTATATGATGGAATAATTAATGAGAAAATAACCATTGTTGGAAGTTGTCCAAAGAATAATAGTTATCTAGTAAATATAGGAAGATAGGAACGGGGGTAATATAGTGTGATCCTGTTAAAAGAAAACACCTTCATGTGAACCAACTTTGAAAATGACAAAATATCTGAGATCGATTACGGACTAAGTGCTGAGTTGAAAAATACTTGCTCAGTAGCAAACATCATCTTAATTCATCAAACAAACTGCTTGTTAAGACCTTCAAAAGTGAGAAGATACTAGCTTTACTTTACTTCCAGCTGTACATAACTGTTTACGTGTGTGTCGAAGCAAACATATTTGGAAAATGTTATATCCCCTGGTGAATCATGAATGGTAAATCTGAGGTCTATTATGGACAAAGGTAATATGCCTAATTCCTATTGTTTAGTTGTTAAATAACTGACCTAATTGTATTCGTGTTCCTCTTACCGTAACCTTATTTTGACCTTTGAACTATTATTATTGATTACTTTCCCCCTATCCATAGCCACATTGGCCAATTATTGTACAAATATTATTTTTCTATTTTTTGGTATATGGGGTCTGTTTGGTTAGTATATAAACCCAGTATGCTTGTGAATAATGATTCATATTTCCGAGGCTGTTATTTGTGTTCTGGACTCAACTGGCTGGGCTAGGCAGTTAGGAAGGACCGAATAGCAATCAAGACTGCTCGTACGTATTTTCCGTATCATTGCACGTTTCATATACAATAACGATTGTTATACGTTTATAACAGAAAACCGAAGAGAAAGCTGGTGTTCGCATTTCCGAGAACATTCTTCATAAATTGGAGGCTAATATATATTCAATATTGTGATCCACAGTCATCTATTGGATAGTGAACATCAAGTTGATATTTTATAATCATTCAAAATAATTCATCAACAAATTACATTTTGAAATGTATTGCGCTAATATATCACATAATTCTGATAAACTTCGTCTTCTCATTGCATTATCGAATTTTATCGCACCAACTCCCAAATTATTAAAAAAAAACCTGACTACTGGATAAAAATCGTAACAGCATACGGAAAGCTCAGATTAAGTTTTTATTGATTAACAAAGGGATGAACCTAAGGAATGTGAATCACCTAATAACATCAATAATTTCGGTAAAAATGTAAATGAAAATGAATCAGTAAGTAAGCCTAATGCAATTTCAACACGGTGTATTACCTGAATCAATGTATTAGTTCTCAAATGCCCTGGTACGGCCGAGAGTGGGGAGAGTACGCTCTCCCTCTTGAAATGCTCTCACATGGCCACGCGTATATAGCTTCTGCCAAGGAAGTCCTGTTCACTGTCTTCTCGTGCCACAGGTGTTGTTTATCAAATTGACAGAAAGGAAAGCGAATGCCCGGCGCCTTAACAAGGTTGATGGACATGGAAAGTCCACTTAGGATAGTTGGAAAACCCTGACTCCAAACCAATGGCGCACATGGGCTCCAGTATCCTGAGGGAACAAATGGCGTATGGATCAATCGTTGGTCACCGTCTACCATGGGACTGCATCTCCTCACGATACTCCACTGCCTTGTAGATCAGACCTTTAGGTCAAAGGCTCGGGGTGTAGTCCTCTAAGAAAACCACCTGCTTCAGTTTGGCCACCTGGGCATTATCACAGACCTAACACAAATCAAATGAGATTTATGTGGCGCATATGTATCTGGTGCCCCTTCGTACCAATATTTAAGTGTTTGAATACATTAAAATGTGTTCACGAAATTTACCTACTTTTGTATATATTAGAATTGAAATCATTTGTACTCCCCAATTGATTGAGCATGAATATAAGTTTTTGACCAAGAAGTAATAATTCTTTAATATTGTAAAGCCCAAAAAATACCAGATTTTTAGAAAGAATGATGACCTATAAATAAATTTACATTTTTTGGATAAATTATAAGTCTGTTGTGTTGTCGATTTCTAATTGATTTAACTCTTAGTTGAACAAAATCTAAGTTATAAATTAAAAATGAGCTTGATCTAATTATTCAGTTAAAACAAAGAGTTAACAGTATTTAGAGTTTGTTCTCTCCTTGAAACGGTAAAGGGAACTACGTGTATGAAATCTAAATTATAAATTAGTTTAAGGTAATCAACTAGTAATTCTAGATCTTGCTTTTTTTAATAATAGTTATCGATTATCAGAGAAATGTAACTATGCTCTCTAGCGAACCAATATTCTGTGTTGGGTTCGAACCAGTGTTGGCTCAATGCCAGGTTCATTATAACTTGATCTATAGAGTTAAAACACAAAACATAAAAGTTATCCAAAGACTGATTATCATTAATTGGTCAATTAGTTTACGTCTAAGCAAATCACAGATTATATATCAGAGTATTGTCAATTACATACACATTAAATTCATTTAGTATTGTTTGTTTGAATCTTCCCATTGATGTGTTCGGACTGCAACTGGTCAGTCTCTAATTGGTATATGTGCATACTGTGCGTATTGCCTCGATATAGCCTTAATTCACAAGCATGGTAAGCAAAGATGGATAGTGGCTAGCAGTAGAACCCAGGACGCGCGTTTCATCCTATTTGGGACTAGTTATCTGGATGTACCTGCATCTCTGAGTTGATGTTCAATCTGGGACTAGAATCCAGTACCTTTCGCTTCAAACGCCTTCACGTTATCCACTCGGTCACTGAGTTAATACGTACAGTATGCACATATGCCAATTATAGAGACTGACCAGTTGCACTACTAAAACATCAATGGGAATATTCAAACAAACAATACTAAGTGAATTTAAATTCATTTTATTCTTGATTTGTTCTCTTCAGTGACTAGTCTAAAGTGAAGATGTAATCCGATACCATATTTTGTCATTACAAAGAATTATTTATTTGTAAGTTATTGACTTGATGACCGGAAAGCTTATTATTAGAGTTACACTAATATTGCTTAATTGCAATAACAATAATATAAAAAAAGGTGATCACATAATGAACATTTGGAATACTTCATATGACCCGGGTTGATTATAATTTATTTTTTGTATCAAATAACAAGTAAAAAAAACAAAACTGAAATGTGAACAACGAAGTGGAAATAATATCTATTGGTGGAAAACATTTTAAAGAAATACAGAGTAAAATAAGTAGTGATTGAAAACGGTATGACACAAAGTAATGCGAGTAATGTGAAGCAGTCAAAAATCAAACTGCTACGGTAATTCCATGTTATTAAGTGATTCTCCTGCATGACACTCACGAACTGCATGCACATATTCATATATGCTGCATAAAGCGATGTATATACATTAGAACATGTACTTACATTTATACATGACACTTTTTTGTCAAATGGGTAATTTTATGAACTACCATTTATTACCAATTTGTTTCTACTTTCTTTGTTGTCAGTTTTCTAAAAGATTACAATTTACATTAGTACTTTTTAAGTACCTTAGAAATGGTTGATAACAAAAGTTATCTCTTTCTTTCCCTGGTATTGATTTTTATGATAACTTTAGTTTTATAAATATCAATGTTATTTTGAACCGAATTGTTTTGTTTCGTTAGATACATTAACAGAAAAAAGGAAATGAAAATGAATTTTTTCCCAGGGAAAGAGAAATCACTCACTATTTTTAGGATTCTTCTATTGATTAATCCTAAGTGCTTTAAATGAACAAGTATTGATTAAACATTCTAATCATATCACTTGTTAGAATCACTAACTTACCTCATTTGTTAATTTAATATAACCGGGTTCAGATAAATAACAACCATTGGACAGCATATTATCCAAATAATCATTTACAAAGTTTTTAATTTCCATAAAATCAGTTGTGAAATTTCCTTGTTCGTTTGTAGAACTATTTGCTTTTTCATAACTATAAAATAATTTGATTAAGATGTAAGACATATACTAACATGTTTTGTTTTACATAAAGATCAATTGAATATTAACTTGTTTGTGTCTATTTGACAGAGATCGCTTGTACTCCAGTAAATTATCATTTACAGAAAGTGTTGGTAGGAAAGAAATCCAGCAAAACTCATCAGTATAAAACCTCTTCGGTTGGAATGAAAGTTTCCTGGTTGATTATATCATAAAAAGTAGGGATACTCATTAACAGTGATTAAGTTCATTCAAATTTCCATTCAGTCCTCAATTTCATTTCTAAAAATAAGCCTTACTGTTTGTTACTTCAAACAATTTGTTTCGAAAAGGCTCCGAGATGTTTTATATGTAATATTACTGTGCTATCAAATCCAAAGTAACATAATTGGATTGTGAACTAGATTTTGAAACCCTACATGATTAAAAATACTACTCTGAATTTTAATTATGTCCAAATCCAATAGAAGAAATATTATGATCACAACTATCAAATCTAATTACCAGTCAGATATCCTCAGAATGAGAAGATCACGTTTCACATGTAAAAGACAAGGATATCAACAGACAAGCTTTTGGATCAAAACATAATCGAAGTTATGGTATAAATGGTGTGGACTCATATGTGTCTTGTTTTGTTCTACGGTAATGATTATTTACATCTTTTCAGAGTGTTCATTGGTATTTCGTTAACTTCTAAAGCGAACAGGCCTTTTGATTACTTGCACAGATTTCTTGAAATGCAGCTACTATAATTCGTATACAGTGGAGTCATTAGGGCAGATAAGGGTGATGTTTCTAATAGGACACTGAATTTGACGTGACTGGACCCATCGACGAGTAAAACATGCTCACACATCTAAGATGACAACCTCATGAGATTAATATTAGAGAAAACGGAACCTTACAAGACAAAAGTATTTCAAGGAAAAATAGTGAAATATATAATAATCAGAATATATAAAATGTTATAAGGTAGCTTGACCAACAGAAATGCATGTTAATTACGCAGCACTGATTTACTCCAGAGGTAACAATAGTTATTTTAACTTTGATCAAATCTAACAACAATAAACATATAAAACCCTGATAACTAGCTGACTACTTGCTTATTATGGATGTTAAACTTCCTCACGACTATCATGCAGTTTTTTCTGAGTCGTCATTATATGATGATCAGTGAATAATTTAAGAAGTGATGAATAATTAGCGAACACTAGATAATTTCTTAGAAAACTTCACTAGTGACGACCTGAGTAGAAACTCAAAGCCAGTATTTGTCAATACAATGTAATCAAGGGCTCAAACATCTGGCGATGATTGTAGATATGAGTTGCTTGACTTCAATCAGTGAATAACAATTTTTCAGGCTTTGTAAACCTTATGAAATGCTATAATTAACAATATTTTAAATAAGAAAGGTAACAACAATACCCTGATAAATTTCGATCGCACTGAAAAACATTTTGTAAAGGTGAAAAGCGTGAATGATTAAAAATATTCAGTTAACAACGTATTTAAAGCATTGAATTCACTTTCGTTTATTCTTAACGCTCTAGCAAGTTTATTTATTGTGCCGAGAGTTATTGGTAAAAACGACAGTATTGCATCCACCTGTGATTTGATAAGTGATCAACATTTTAATGGAAAAGATAGATGTCACTGGGCGCTCACACATTTTCCTTGAAAGTTTAGGGAAACTTGAGCTTTGAATTCACCAAAAAATAACGTATTTACTCAGCGGTATTTGAATTCTAAAATGCCATTAACTCTTCTCAATACCCAAGGTTTATAGCATATTACCAAATCGAAAATATTATTTGGAAAACCTATATTGTATTAGGTTGAATATTACTTGTGATACACCTGTCCAACTTTTAGTCAAATACTTGTCCAATAGGAGAAATATGTCTTATAGTATAAAAATAGAATCGTAAGCTCTATACATAATGCAATTTGTACTTTCAAAATGATTTTACTTGAAAATATCTGACTTTGTGCCTAATGTACTCCATAGACGAGCATACTGAATGGGTTGATGCAATTCTTGAGGATCTCGATCTACATGAAGACTTAATAATAACCGAGTAAAAGATGCACGCAGACTAGGTCTAAGCCGTTCATTCCTCATACATCTAATGAGATAATAAAAAAAAATTGAATTCACTTTCGTTTATTCTTAACGCTCTAGCAAGTTTATTTATTGTGCCGAGAGTTATTGGTAAAAACGACAGTATTGCATCCACCTGTGATTTGATAAGTGATCAACATTTTAATGGAAAAGATAGATGTCACTGGGCGCTCACACATTTTCCTTGAAAGTTTAGGGAAACTTGAGCTTTGAATTCACCAAAAAATAACGTATTTACTCAGCGGTATTTGAATTCTAAAATGCCATTAACTCTTCTCAATACCCAAGGTTTATAGCATATTACCAAATCGAAAATATTATTTGGAAAACCTATATTGTATTAGGTTGAATATTACTTGTGATACACCTGTCCAACTTTTAGTCAAATACTTGTCCAATAGGAGAAATATGTCTTATAGTATAAAAATAGAATCGTAAGCTCTATACATAATGCAATTTGTACTTTCAAAATGATTTTACTTGAAAATATCTGACTTTGTGCCTAATGTACTCCATAGACGAGCATACTGAATGGGTTGATGCAATTCTTGAGGATCTCGATCTACATGAAGACTTAATAATAACCGAGTAAAAGATGCACGCAGACTAGGTCTAAGCCGTTCATTCCTCATACATCTAATGAGATAATAAAAAAAAATTGAATTCACTTTCGTTTATTCTTAACGCTCTAGCAAGTTTATTTATTGTGCCGAGAGTTATTGGTAAAAACGACAGTATTGCATCCACCTGTGATTTGATAAGTGATCAACATTTTAATGGAAAAGATAGATGTCACTGGGCGCTCACACATTTTCCTTGAAAGTTTAGGGAAACTTGAGCTTTGAATTCACCAAAAAATAACGTATTTACTCAGCGGTATTTGAATTCTAAAATGCCATTAACTCTTCTCAATACCCAAGGTTTATAGCATATTACCAAATCGAAAATATTATTTGGAAAACCTATATTGTATTAGGTTGAATATTACTTGTGATACACCTGTCCAACTTTTAGTCAAATACTTGTCCAATAGGAGAAATATGTCTTATAGTATAAAAATAGAATCGTAAGCTCTATACATAATGCAATTTGTACTTTCAAAATGATTTTACTTGAAAATATCTGACTTTGTGCCTAATGTACTCCATAGACGAGCATACTGAATGGGTTGATGCAATTCTTGAGGATCTCGATCTACATGAAGACTTAATAATAACCGAGTAAAAGATGCACGCAGACTAGGTCTAAGCCGTTCATTCCTCATACATCTAATGAGATAATAAAAAAAAATTGAATTCACTTTCGTTTATTCTTAACGCTCTAGCAAGTTTATTTATTGTGCCGAGAGTTATTGGTAAAAACGACAGTATTGCATCCACCTGTGATTTGATAAGTGATCAACATTTTAATGGAAAAGATAGATGTCACTGGGCGCTCACACATTTTCCTTGAAAGTTTAGGGAAACTTGAGCTTTGAATTCACCAAAAAATAACGTATTTACTCAGCGGTATTTGAATTCTAAAATGCCATTAACTCTTCTCAATACCCAAGGTTTATAGCATATTACCAAATCGAAAATATTATTTGGAAAACCTATATTGTATTAGGTTGAATATTACTTGTGATACACCTGTCCAACTTTTAGTCAAATACTTGTCCAATAGGAGAAATATGTCTTATAGTATAAAAATAGAATCGTAAGCTCTATACATAATGCAATTTGTACTTTCAAAATGATTTTACTTGAAAATATCTGACTTTGTGCCTAATGTACTCCATAGACGAGCATACTGAATGGGTTGATGCAATTCTTGAGGATCTCGATCTACATGAAGACTTAATAATAACCGAGTAAAAGATGCACGCAGACTAGGTCTAAGCCGTTCATTCCTCATACATCTAATGAGATAATAAAAAAAAATTGAATTCACTTTCGTTTATTCTTAACGCTCTAGCAAGTTTATTTATTGTGCCGAGAGTTATTGGTAAAAACGACAGTATTGCATCCACCTGTGATTTGATAAGTGATCAACATTTTAATGGAAAAGATAGATGTCACTGGGCGCTCACACATTTTCCTTGAAAGTTTAGGGAAACTTGAGCTTTGAATTCACCAAAAAATAACGTATTTACTCAGCGGTATTTGAATTCTAAAATGCCATTAACTCTTCTCAATACCCAAGGTTTATAGCATATTACCAAATCGAAAATATTATTTGGAAAACCTATATTGTATTAGGTTGAATATTACTTGTGATACACCTGTCCAACTTTTAGTCAAATACTTGTCCAATAGGAGAAATATGTCTTATAGTATAAAAATAGAATCGTAAGCTCTATACATAATGCAATTTGTACTTTCAAAATGATTTTACTTGAAAATATCTGACTTTGTGCCTAATGTACTCCATAGACGAGCATACTGAATGGGTTGATGCAATTCTTGAGGATCTCGATCTACATGAAGACTTAATAATAACCGAGTAAAAGATGCACGCAGACTAGGTCTAAGCCGTTCATTCCTCATACATCTAATGAGATAATAAAAAAAAATTGAATTCACTTTCGTTTATTCTTAACGCTCTAGCAAGTTTATTTATTGTGCCGAGAGTTATTGGTAAAAACGACAGTATTGCATCCACCTGTGATTTGATAAGTGATCAACATTTTAATGGAAAAGATAGATGTCACTGGGCGCTCACACATTTTCCTTGAAAGTTTAGGGAAACTTGAGCTTTGAATTCACCAAAAAATAACGTATTTACTCAGCGGTATTTGAATTCTAAAATGCCATTAACTCTTCTCAATACCCAAGGTTTATAGCATATTACCAAATCGAAAATATTATTTGGAAAACCTATATTGTATTAGGTTGAATATTACTTGTGATACACCTGTCCAACTTTTAGTCAAATACTTGTCCAATAGGAGAAATATGTCTTATAGTATAAAAATAGAATCGTAAGCTCTATACATAATGCAATTTGTACTTTCAAAATGATTTTACTTGAAAATATCTGACTTTGTGCCTAATGTACTCCATAGACGAGCATACTGAATGGGTTGATGCAATTCTTGAGGATCTCGATCTACATGAAGACTTAATAATAACCGAGTAAAAGATGCACGCAGACTAGGTCTAAGCCGTTCATTCCTCATACATCTAATGAGATAATAAAAAAACAGAAAACAACACGATGAATAATTTCTGAAAAGAAACAATGTTCCGAAGCCTGTAATTATAAAAACAAAGTGAGTATAAAAGGAAAGAAAATAAGTGAAATTTATTTTAATGGTGCCAGAGCTCGTTTGCTATTAATTCTTTTCATAAAGAACATTTTCAATTAGATCAAGATACATTTTATGTCAACTGATATTTCACATATTCGGAGCTACAGGCGGAGTTATTCGTGATAATCAAGTTGAAAATATTGTATCACCCAGTCCGTGCATTGACATTCATGGATGGGAAAATCCAGTACTTTCAATCCACATACAATTTTGATAAAAATCATTAGTTGATCAATGTTTGACTACTATTATTAACCTGAAAGAACTGGACGGCTATTCTATATTAACATGGGACTCATCAGTAGTACACACTCACAACCCCGCATACCCAATTCGAACCCAGGACTTTCGGTATGGCGCGCTTTACCTCTAGAATACTAGGTCGGCATCCAGCGATATTAATATAATGCAACCACCTTCTACTGTCTTTGGTGGGTGATTGCCTTACAACAGCTCCACTGGCCACGGCTTCTCACCAGAACTCTCAGAATTATCTCTTGAAGCTAGTCACTAGTGAGCACATGATAATTATCATGCTCCCGATCAAAACTCAACAATCTTTACAACCTTATACATACAATTTTATTTGAGAACAAATAAATAATAATCAGTATTTATAAGTAAAGACGTATCAAGTTCGCACTTCGTGAAACTCTATCAGTAAACCCATGTCTGTAGAGTTACTTAAGTTTAGGGAAAGATTAAATGACCAGTGATACAAATAAATTATCTTACATAGTTTACAACCCCAATAGATTTATGGCCGCATACTATTGAAGAATCGCATACTTGGACAAAACAGCATTCCAGCATTTTCCGGTTTGTAACGGATGTCTAACTAAAATCAACCGGCAATGTATACCGTGAAATTCAAAAAGCATCTCAAACACACTATTCTAAACTATCTTCGTTGAGTTGGATCTTGCAACGGTAGTTGAATAATAACTGAATAAAAAAATTGAACACCATGAATTTAACATTCAAATTACTTCAAACTGTGGCAAAACAGATGTCCAGTGGTTTTAAGCTCTCAATGATCTTCAAAATGAGTCAAGATGTATTTTTAAACAGATTTTTCTTAAACTATAGCTAGGCCAAAAGTGAAATTATACGCGTAAACTCTGCAACTAAAAATAAATTGCGTGTCAATAGATTTATCAATTAAATGACTATTCAGTGATATAATCAGTTAAAAATATGTTATCCTTTGACTGAGACAACGTCATACTAGTAATGAAAAAGCTTGACAACATTAACTTGGTAATGTAACTCTGAAACTAAAAACAAATTTGTTTAATTGAGTTTGAGAAATATACATTGTGTTAAACTATCTAGTTTTTCAAATCAAACAAGGTGAAGAGAGGGGTTTGAACCTACGATAAATAAAGTGGAATTTGAATACTGCTATCACTAAAATCCCTAGCACACTACATCAGTAATAATAAGATAAACAATTACATGAGAACGGGTTTTGTGGATATTATAATAATTTTAATAGTTGAGATCATGAGTCAATTGAAGCTAGACCATTACTATAATATCCACAAAATCCCTTCTGATATTAATCAACATAGGCTCACTAGTGACTAACTTCAAGAGGTATTTCCTGCAGTTCTAGTGAGAAGCAGTAACCAGTGGAGTTCAACCGGGTCTGTTGTGAGACAGTGCCTCCAAATGCTCACACATGGCCACACGTATATAGCCTCTATCAGGGAGGTCCTAATCTCGTGGCACTTCTCGAAGCTCTGGGAATGCCCCCCCCAGAAAACTACCTGCTTCAGTCTGGGCACCTGGGCAGTATCACAGCCCTCACACGAATCGAATAAGATTTGTGTGGCGCATATATATCTGGTGCCCCCTTGTACCAATATTTATTTTTTCAAATAAATGTATGTATATGTTATGAGACAGTAACTCATTGAAGACAATGGCGGATGTGTCGCTCATTTTGTCGATCGGTTGAAGTTAGACACTAACACCACTGGATACCGGCCGGATCAGCGGTCTAAAGGTTAAGCGCTCGCACGCGAGACTGATAGATCCTTAGTTCCAATCTCGCGAGTCGGGATTGTGGATGCGCACTACTGAGGAGTCCCACAATAGGACGAGTTGGCCATCCAGTGATTCCATGTTTTCCATGGTGATCTAACTTCAATCGATTCATGATTTCAACTATTAAAATTACATGAAAATTAAAGAATTTCCTTTGAAAAAAAAACAAAACACAATCTCACTTTAATAATAAATCAATTGATAACTTTAATGATAAATAATTAATAGCAATATATTGTCGTTCTTGGCATAAAAGTGCAAATAAATCAATTTGTGCTTGATAATAATCTAATATTAAACAATATAATGTAATTTGTTTTGTTTTTTCATTTAATTCATTTTTTGATTGATTAATAATATCATTTAATACATTAAGATTGAATTGTAAATATTTTTGTGTTTTTTTAAATTCAAATTGATTTAATATTAAATTAGAATTAATATTTTTCCAAAAATCATCATCTATTAAATATGTTTGTTTCCAGATTAATGTAATAATATCTGTTGAATAGTTGCTATCTGAATCAATTAATGTTTTATTGCTAAAATAGAAATAATAAATAATTATATAATGACATTAAATAGGAATAATATATTTGTAAAATCTCAGCGAATGAATTTTTTAAATTAAATCCAACGTTTCGTCTGGCAATCTGGTCCAAGCTTTTTCAAGGAATTATAATCAAACATCAAAAAAACGCTTGGACCAGATTGCCAGACGAAACGTTGGATTTAATTTAAAAAATTCATTCGCTGAGATTTTACAAATATATTATTCCTATTTAATGTCTTACAACAACTCGGCGCTCAAATACTGTGAAACTATTCGTTCTAATTTAGACGAGAGTTCTTATAAATTATATAATGACTTTTATGAATATGCTTTTTATAGTATTTTATCATTAGCGACTATTTTAATCTTGAGCAATTTTATAATTTATGAGAAATGAGTTAATTGATTAAAAATTGACATCAGTAGATAATATATACCAGTAGTTCACCTTAAGTAAAGTCATAAGTGTACACTGAAGAAACATCCTAGATTAGGATGAAAAGATAATACATTGCCTATATTCTTAATGATACTTCAGATAATTTCAGTTCGTGATCATTTACGCTTTGCTCTACTTTACGACTGTGAAACATGACCTTTAACAGTAGAAGATACTCGTAAGTTACTAGTATTTGACAACAGATGTCTTAGAAATATTGCTCACATCTGCTGGAATCACCGGGTAAATAATAGTGAGATTAGACATAAGGTATTAGGGAATGATGGTAAATCAGTTGATGAGGTTATGAATCTTCGTCGATTGAGATGGTTGGGCCACGTGTTACGTATGCCTGAACACCGATTACCACGACGCGCTATGCTGACTGGTGTAGGGGATGGTTGGAAGAGAGTTAGGGGCTGCCAAACCAAAACGTGGCATCAGTGCTTGAAGTCACTAACTTCCAGTCTGAGCCATGTTGGTAGATGCAGACTACCTGGTTGGGGTCCGCGTGACTATCGCAACCAATGGTTGGAGACTGTGGGTGACATAGCTCAGAATCGATCACAATGGCGTAGGTGTATACACTCTTTATCTTCCCTTAAACCTTGAGATTAAAATTGCTTCATAACCTTTTTTCCTTCCTATACTATATCCTTCTATACAACCTTTCTTTATATACTACCACCACTAAATTAATTACTTCTATGAATCCGGTGTTCATCTTGTTGTGCTAACGAGGTATGGCAACTTGGACCAATGCATATATGTGCCTGGTCCTACGTTGTAGCTGACTGACTGGCTGACGCATCTTTACATGATTGATTGGGTTCATGGTTGATACTCTATATTAGAATGGGTGTTTGTGGAGATTGTAGTAATTTCAGTAGTTGAATTCATGAGTCAATGTAAGCTAGAACTACATTGAAAACCTTGAAGATTTGGACATGATATAGGACTCCTCAGCAGTAAGCATCCACGATCACCCATGAGGACTCGAATCTAGGACCTTTGATCTCGCGCATGAATACTTAAACTCTAGACCACTGAGCAGGCATCCAAAGGTGTTATTATCTCACTTCAATTGATCCATGATTTTGAGCAACCATTCATCTTTTTTTCGGAGGTAGATGTCTGTTTCTACTGCTGAGGAGTCGCATGTCAGGACGAAGCGGTCGCAAAGTTCTTTCAGATCTTCAACGAAGGTCTAGCTTACATTGACTCATGAATTCAGCTATTAAAATCAATAATTTATAAATAATGTGCAAATATGACGTTCACATTATGCTGTCGTAATTCATAGGGAGATTTCATCTGATGTTCACCAACATTTAACGTTAAATTAGTCAGAGATAATATAAATCAAAATAAGAAAACCTCTGTATTAGTAATTTCCATCCATGGATAACGCAGCCGATAAAAGAGGAAATTATGCTTGGTTTATCGGAAATTGTCTTCTTGGACAGTGGTGATTTACGCTTTAGTAATCGATTTGAGTGACATTTATTTCATTCATCTTCTAATATGACACGTTTGAAAAGTGATCTTACCATACAAGTAATTCCTATCTGATCATCAACAATACATGTACGCGAAAACATGGTATTTGCATGACCAGTTTATACATTCTTCGTTTTCACATATCAATATTTCGATAGATGAATCTAACCAATAAACTCAGGCAAATAACTAGAGTTAAAGCTGACAAAAATTATTCATTACTAAATAGTATTCTACATTCGTCACTCACCATGTTTCCACTAATAAATCTTCGTTATTCTCAGATAATAATTGATGACATATAAGTTCTTGTGTAACAGGAATTGCTGCACCACAAGAACTACATAACGCTGATAAATAGTTCAAAAATCTGAAAAGATAAAGAATAAAGTAGATAGGTTCCTACTGTAGCTGTAAATAATTCCCCATAACCAATAGCTTTTTAAGTGTCCGACATTGGATGCTGACCACATTAGTTTTAATGGACTTGTTTAGCTGAAGGTGTTCGGTCATGCATTCGCACCAGATCTTGTTACAACACAGCGTGGGAAACAACACCTACGATCACTAGCCAGATTAGATCAATCGCTTCTCGATATATTGATAACCCATCAAATATATCTTCCAAACTCTTCGCTTCTGTTTTCTGATTTTAACTTGGTGGGTACGATTCGATTATAGAAGGTATTACTGGTAAATAGTTGTCAAACTACAATACTGGCGGTATCTTCATTAGTATAAAGAATGAATAAAAAGACTGACGGGTTGTTTTTTAAACAACATGTTAAATATTCATAGATGGCAGTTCTATGAAGTTCACTCAAAAATGTTATGCATTTTATTTACACATTTTCTCAATATAGCGTACATACAGTCAAAAATCAATGATGAATATTATTATCAGAAGGGGTTTTTTGTGGAGATTTAGTTCTCTCATAGTTGAAAGCGTAAGTCAATTGAAGCTAGACCTGGTCCTGGGTTCGAATATTGCGAGGCGAGGTCATGGATGCACACTGCCCTTGAGGAGTCCCACAATAGGACGAAACGGCCCTCCAGTGCTTTCAGGTTTTTCCTGATGGTCTAGCTTCAATTGACTCACGCTTTCAGTGATGAATATCACTAGTATAACCCATTGGAATAGCTAAATATACTAATTAAGGATTTAACTATTGAATATCAATAATAACTTTATGTTAAAACACTGCACTGAATTAAATTCACGTTGTTATTCAAAGATTTTTTTCTGATTTCAGTTCCCTGCCATACCTTTTGAAACGAAAATCAAATAAAATTCACTCGATCGAATGAAACTGCTGTAATTAGTTTTCGGAGAGAATTAAATAAAATAAAATATTTTATTGATGTTAGTATACTACATAGCTAATGTGTTTTGTATTCTTGACTTGTCATTGCTAACAGTGACGCTCTTGAATATTACACAACTGTGCGATATTTTAAAATATTGTCTGTAAATTATATGCATCGATATTTAACATCCATTCGAAGCATTCTTCTAATGATGGCCTTAACATAATAAAATTATTGACCAATTGTATTAAACAGACAAACTAAATTATTCACTGTTTTCTCCGGTATATATCCAGAGGTGTAATACATCCTCCAACTTTATGATACGTAGAAACTCAAGCACTTTTGTTACTGATGGATGGATTATCTAAACAGGTTATCATAAAGATGAAACATGCTCACCGTGCTTCAATATTGTCACGTACTAGCGAAACAAATGCAGAAACTTCTTGTTCACCAACACGTTTTTCAAGTAACTGTCGATTGTTATGTAACAGAGCTGTAATTGTCTCTGATGCTCTTATACCTAAGCCAATGTGAGTTTGCATCAAATTCAGATATTGTGCTAAATACTCCTAAAAAAATGTAAAAAAGAACCCACTTCATATTTTTGTAAGTGTAGTATTAAACAATGTTTACAAAATTAAAGAACACTTTTTTAAGTGAACCTGAATTAAACATTTTTTAATCATATGTTACAGTATTGAAGTTGTCTAGGACTCATTTTTTGGTGATGTATTTTGTAAGCTGAAGCTTTCATTGTCATTTAGAACAATATTATCAGTGCCTACTTCAAATAAAAATGAAAATCTCTGAATCAGACCACAGACTCTCAATCAACTTGTCTCTTTGGCCTCTTTATTGAATGATTGTGCTTATGGGTTTTGTTTTATTCAGATTCGTTTATATTTACATTAATTGCAGTGTTAATCTGACCTCCCTAAAAGCGATCCATTGAATCGTTGTCAAATAATCTACTGATCTGATTTCCACTCTTCTAGGAGTTCTCCAGAAATTGTGTTCAAATTTGTGTGTATAGTTGGTCATATGCGTCGATACGAGTGATAATATCCCGTATAACGAAACTTTTCACCCATATAATTGAGCTAGTAAATAGATGAGATGTTCATCTTCTCCAATATAACCGCCTCCACAGTCCATATGGTAAAATCCTGAACTGACTAAACCTTAAGATTTCCGAAGGACTTCTCTAAGTTTAGTACTTAAATTAATTAATTATCAATAGACATACCGACTTACATGTAAACTATCAGTCGATGAGAACCAAGAAAACCAAGCACATAATCATATATCAAATGAATGGTGACAAATACCTATAAAAACGGTCATTGGAACGGATCGAATTTTCACTGATGTAAAAAGCCAAAAGCCTTAATTTCTGCTTGAATTCGACCTTAAAATAGTGTCCCAAACAACAACGAAAGCTTCACAAATAAACCACTCATTTGAGAGGACTTGGCAATATCGAATGCATCCACCTAGACTATAAATTTTATCTACCATGATTACAATGCAATAAAATGTGGATTGTTCTTATTTCAAGAACTGGAAAATACAGTCATTCTATAACTAAAAATAAATGAGCACCTATATTTCTATCAGCTTATCTCGTCATAACTTCACAACCATACTGACAACGACAATGTGCTCACTAGTGACTAACATTGGTAGGGAATTTATGGAGTTCTGGTGAAAAGCTGTGTCCCGTGAAGCTAAACCGCATCGGTTTTGAGAAAATTGCCTACGAGAGACAGCAGAAGATGGCTATACAGTATTGTGGATGGGTAAAAGTTAGACTTGTACACCATCGGACCTCAGCCCAATGGTCTAACGTATAAGCGTCTGCGTACGAGGACGAAGGTCCTGAGTTGAATTCCCAGTTGCACAGTCGTGGATGCACCTTGATGAGTAGTTCCACACTAGGACGAAACGGCCATTCAGGACATCTAGGCTTTTAATAGTTGTCTAACTTAGATCGACTAGTTATTTCAGGGAAACTAGGACTAATTGAAATATTCTACCATTTCAATAACAAAACAGTCTTTAAACCAATGATTTCCAAAATATTCTTTTCGATATTACAGAGATCGGAATTTGTATTGTAGTGGCTTAGCTTCATTAATCAATTACCTCGATAACCGTTATTAAATAAATCTCCAACGGTGTTTGAAATCAGAAGGCGATATGAAGCAGCAACTACAGTTTATTAGCGGATAGCACAGATAACAAATTTACAAGTACATCGGTCAAATATGGAGCAGAGAGGCAAACATGTTTGAGTGATCAAGTGCAGAGGCGAATTTATAGTCAAATCGAATCAAAGAGCGGATAGGTAAGGCAAAGTCTATTAATAGTATTCGAGCACATATATACATGGGGAAGACAACGACTCATTGAGATATATTTAAGAGATTTAAATTTAAGCTAGAGAGATATATGTGCATAGGCTGTCACTTGTGATCAAGCGTACACGTCCATACAGATATGACAGTGATCATAATAACACAAAGAAATATGCGAATCGTTACTGTTCGAATAACATTGTCTGCTAAGTGGGATAATAAAAGGGACTAAAAAGGTTTGACCATAATGGAGATTGATTGTAGGAGAGTGTTTAAAATACTATGGTACTTATCAATGTTCATCTCAAGTCTCAAACATAGAAATCTATAACCCCACCTATGTATCTAGATGAAGACTTAGTTTAAAAATTCCATCCTCTTCTATTGCCTACTTATAAGTAGAATGTCATAACTAAAGCTTTTTTCCCAAGAAATATGCCTTACTCGATTTTTATTACCATTTTCATTTCACGTTTGAAGTATCATCAGTCCTAACCCAATATATATAAATAACATTTTAGCTATCTGAATGCATCTTTACTTGTAAAAATATCAACACTACATTACAAAGAGTGAAGTAAATTCACTAATCAAAATATTTCTGATTAGAAACTCCAATTTTAACCAAGCTCACTCAACCAGTCATCTTATTTTATTCTTTATTACCCGAATTCTAAATATACTTCCTCAATCATATCATCGCATTATCAAAGCTTTAAAATCCTCTGTTACTTTCTTCGTTATTATTCACAAATTCCTTGTTTCATATGAAAATGAAACGAGACACTTCATCCTATCTTTCTAGATCTATTTGGATGTTAATCATTTTTGTTAAACCATGCCGAAACATGATCCTACTAACTTCCGACCAAATTTATCCCTATGAATTCATACAAAGTTCAGTTTTGTCACTTACAACATTGATTGATGAGAACTAAATGAAAGAAAGTGAATTTATGTTGAATGTGTACATACGTTAAAAAAGAAAGGGAACCAAAAGCATCAAATTTTTTAAACCATAATTTGACAAATCCAAATATTGAAAATATAACAAAAAAAAGCTTCAAGAATGAATGATCTATACAATATAACGTACTTTTTTAAACTATTATTATTATTGTAAACAAAGATGGATAGTAGCTAGCAGTGGAATCCAGTTTGACGCGCTTTTCGTACTATTTGGGAGTCGTCAGCTGGATGTACCTGCATCTCAGAGCTGTTCGTTTTTTTCAATTTTTATTTAAACGTATAAATATTGGTACAAGGAAGCACCAGATAGATTTGCGCCGCACAAATCTCATTCGATTTCTGTGAGGGCTGTGATACTGCCCAGGTGCCCAGACTGAAGCAGATGGTTTTCTTAGGCGGTCACACCCAGAGACTTTGACCTAAAGGTCTGATCAACAAGGCAGCCGAGTATCGTGAGGAGATGCAGTCTCATGGTAGACGGTGACCAACGATTGATCCATACGCCATTCGTTCCTCCAGGATGGTGGTGCCCATGTACGCCATTGGTTTGTAATCAGGGTTTTCCAACTCCCCCAAGTAGACTTTCCATGTCCATCAACCCTGTTAAGGCGCAGGACATTAGCTTTCCATCTTCTCAATTTCGTAAACAACAGTAATGCCACGAGAAGCCAGTGAGTAAGACTTCCCTGGCAGATGCTATATACGCGTGGCCATTTGACAGCATTTGGAGAAGGAGAACGGACTCTCCCCACTCTCGGCCGTATCAGGGGATTCGGGGACTCAATGGGAAGATTTAAACAAACAATACTAATTGAATTTATTATTTTTTTTCACTTAGTGATCTATAAAATACAAAAAAAAAGAATGATACCATCCTTTTTTTAATGTTACCTGATTTTTTCTATAACCATGTTGTGATAATGTAAGTATTCGATAACAAAGATTTCCAACAGTTTGCCAGGCTAGTATTTCATTTTTTTCATCTAAATAAACATTTTGTTGCTGTGTATCCATTGTGTTTGATTGTGTTTCATGTAGAATAGATAGTAAAGAAATATCTGGTTTCCAAATTAAAATATTTGAATTAATTAAATGATTATTGACAATGGATGTAGATTGTTTTGGTAAATTGCTAATCATTTTACTGTTTAATATTTTAATTATCTAAGGTAAATAATAAATGTAATAAATGATTGTAAGATTAGATATCAAGACTAAACAAGAATAGAACCAAAGCAAATAGCTAAACATTAAAATAACATTTATGAATAATTGTCAAACTGATTCCATGATAAAAACTGGAAAGGATTGCCCACGACAGAGTTGGATGGAGAATGCTGATGGGCGGTCTATGCTCCTCCACAAGGGGTAACAGGCGTAAGTAAGTAAGTAAGTGATTCCATGATCATTAGAGAAAGTCACTGATGAAGGCAGTAAGACCATTAATTTATTTTTGGATTATGTGTTATTGATGTTATCTATAAAGACAATGAAAGCCCCAAGATTAAACTATCTGACACAAACAGAACACAATATCTGTCAAAAGGAACACAACAACTAATCAGTATTCTTCCCTTGTGATTTTGTTGATTATTATCATAACACTCTATATTTCGTTAATCATTAACTAACCATGTACCTTTCAATAAAATCTAAAAAACTGTTCAGTAGTGTCTGATGGTAAATGTCAAAGTTCGATTTCGACAGTTACCTATTAAAACTCTAACTAAATGATTTTCCAAAGAAATTAGTTTAAAATTATACAAATCTTCGTAGACAATCAATTAAATATAAAGAATATCAGCTACTACTTATAAAATGTAATAAAATTAATGTTAATTGTTTATTTAAATGCGATGAAAACATTCATTTATTATGAAAATTTTAAAGATCTAACTTCTGCCTACTTCAGCTAACCGTCACATCCAACCAATGTAGCCTAGAGATGGGTACGTAAACCTATACTTAATACATAAATTATGTTGTTTTTACATGTATTTTTTGGAAATGATCTTTACAACGAAGCAAAATACGCAATTGTTTTCTGGACATCATTCTCATTAGTATTAACTAATTTCATCCTCTTATATTGCCTACTTATAAGTAGAATGTCAAAACTAACGGTTTTTCTCAAGAAATATGCTATACTCAATTTTTATTACCACTTTCGTTTCATGTTTGAAGTTTTACCAGTCCTAACCCAAAATGTATGAATAACATTTTAGCTATCTGAGTGCTTCTTTAATTATACAAATATCGACACTACATTACAAATGGTGAAGTAAATTCACTACTCAACTATTTTCTAATCAAAAACTTCATACGTACGTATGTTCGAAGTTCTACGTTGTGACTGACTAAATGACTAAAAACAAATAAATATGATAAACAACGTGTAGTTGACTCTGTTTGATTCAAAAGCATTGATATTTCAAGGAATTTTCACTCAACATTATGATATTTTACCGAAGATAGACTTTTGAGAGAGATGAATTAATAGTAGTGGGTCACATAGAAAAGCTTAAACCCTGACAGTAATAACTTGAATTCACTGCCCAGTAAGTGACCTATAAAGATTTTTTTTTAAATGAGATCTACAGTTAATTTCATTTGTATATTGAATATTCTGTATTCATAAAACATAAGTTTTGTTAATTGTATCATATCATCAATCACTTGTTCACAATTTTATCAGTATAATCAATCAATTAACAAATTTACAGTTTACAATCGAATCATTCAACTCCAATCATCATACATTGATTGAATTTAATCAGTACTAAAGGGTAATCAATAATAACATTGATTACTATTCAATAACCGATAATATGATCATTACAATTTACACCATATTACGTAATCAATAACTAATATTTAGGTTTTGAATAAAAAGATAAGATTATTTAATAATTCATATAAATATAAAAGTTGAAATCCAGTTGTAATGGGAACAATAGAATTATGTTTGATAGTCGATGAAGATAACATCTATCGTTCGTTAGTAAAACACCTGCAATCTTGAGGGAAGTGATGTGTCGCTGTGAGATTTGAACTGTGTTACAAAGCCTTACAATTTGGAATGCTATCACTGAATTATCTGAGTGATAGTAAAAGAAGTATGTCAACAACATGAATAGATTAATAAATCATTTCTATTCAGTGCGTGTCATACTATTGTTAACAATTAAAAGTTAGTTAGTTGATTAATCTTTGACTGAATCGTAGTTATACACTGTTGAATAGTTTCAAACTGATGTGAAACAACCGTTTAGTCCTATATGGTTTTTAGCAGTTCAAAAGCTTAAGTTAGTCTGTGATGAAAACTAAATAGAAAAAGAGAATAAGTGCTCTGGTGCAAGACTAGTAGGTCCTGGGTTCGAATCTAGCGAGTGCAGGATCGTGGATGCGCACTGCCACTGAGGAATCCTATCATAGGGCGAAACGTCCGTCCAGTGCTTCCAGGTTTTCCATGGTAGTCTAGTTTCAATTGACTCATGATTTCAACTATGAAAAAATAAACATAATTATTCTAAAATAAATAAGAACTATTCGAGAAACATGCAGTATGTTTTTTTTACTTGTGCAATAATATTGTGTTCACGTAATAATTTCTGTCTATCCCGTAAGCCTATTTCATTTTGTATAGTTGGATTGGTCGACTCAAATGTTAAACGTGTATTCCCATTAAGAAACATTACTAATTCTGATAGAATAAATATAAGTGATCTGTAATTCAAAACAAAAACAAAAAACTCAAATGAAAATTTTCTTGAAAAAAACATAGAAATTGGTTCATACTAATGAGAATAATGCGTATTTCGCTTCGTTGTAAAGATCATTTCCAAAAAATTATGTAAAAATAACATAATTCATGTATTAAGTATAGGTTTACGTACCCATCTCTAGGTTATACTGGTTGCATATGACGGTCAAAATAAAGTTGACATTCAAACCGAATCGTGTTGGTAGGTTTAGATTAGGTAAGGGTGAAAGCAATTTTCGTAGCCAATAGTTAGAGACTATGAGTGATGTAGCTCAGAATCGTCTGCAATATGGTAATCACATTCATTCTTTGGCTTCGCCTAGATTCTAAGTTTCTAGATTGTCTTATAGTTTATCCATATATTCCTTCTAGATCATATCTTCCATGCTTAATCTTTTTTAATACGATTTATATCAATTATGTTTGTACAACTCTGGCATCTAGTTGCGTTTATATAGTTTGTTAACTTCAATCGACGTACATATATGCCATCTAGTACTTTTTATATGACTGACTAACTGGCTGACTAATGGAAAGACCAAAAAAGATGTCATGGAGTTTAATCTCGCAAAATTCTGGTTGAAAGGAGAGTACTTCAGCTACGAGGCCTCTGCACCTTAGTCAGAGATTTTTATTGAAGCCATGGAGCTAGTTCTGTATAATTTTTTACACTATGTGCATTTCTATCTGCAAGAAAACACAACAACGCTATTTCCAAAAATACATAGATATTCGGCACAATAAGCTTTTAAAACTCAGGATTTAGAAATCTGTTTTGAAACTATTTTATGATTTAAACTATAAAGTTAAGGACTATTTAAAAGTAATCAAAAATGAAGTGCTTATCACTAGGATTTTAACGTGTACTAAAAGTTATTTACTTTTATTACACATATAATGATCATTTATAAACTTAAAACGATGCTAACTATTCACCCATACCATCATTTATATCTAAGCCCAAAAATGGAATTACGTAACTCCATTTGTAAAGTGACTTAGTGATAAGAGTGCATAACTTTTAAATACATAGTCATAGGTACGAACTCCATCCTGCTTAATCTGACTTGTGTGGTGGGATAGTATTATGAGTCTTCATAAAAAGTGTGATTTCAAGCTGAGTCCAAGAGCATGTACACGAGAACCGAGTCATACTACTCAAAATGGCTATGAACTTTGTCTAATATAGACTGATTAAAGGAAAATGGCAAGCGTCCCTATTAATATTCTCAAATACCATGTTTGTGAAATCCATAAAATACAAACTGATTGACACGGCTGATTACTTTTTAGAACAAAAATGAAGATACTGGTTAAAGAAAGGACTTTCTTGGGTTCAGAATTCTGTTCTAAGTAGAAAAATGTAAAAGAAATTTACAATAAACCAAATAAGAAATAAACTTATATGGCAATAAATAATCAAATAACTGATTTTTACCTCATTTGAGTTTCGGTCAACTTCCCATGGTCATTCAACATACAGAGAATAGCTGTAAGTGCTTTGAAAGAGTCACTGGCAAAATCCAAATCTCTCACAACATTCGCTGGTACCGGAAGAATAGCAAATACTTCTTTGTTATCTTTAAACGAAGTAAGATGAAGCTAAAGTATTTAATTCAGATTCAAAAAATATTCATCCGTTAATATTGTCACGAAATGTTAATGGTAATTAGTATTATTAATTATAAATTCCCATTTATTTTTATACTAAGTAAAACCAAATTATGATAAATTCCTCTGAGGTAGAACGCTATGATTATTAGCTTACACTGTACTTTGAACAAATAATCTTTCAAATAACATCAACACTTCTATCTTAATTTTGTGCTAATGACGTTACTTAAAAGGGAAATGAAAGCTTCAAGACTGAACCAACCAGCTCAGAGGACATAACTCTTACTCACTAAGATCTGTTATCTCTCGTTGAGCAAAAGTCCCAGACCAGTATTCTCCAACCGACTCTGTGCTTGATTCTCCTTTCCAGCTGTTCCAAAAATGTTATCCATTCTTGTGATGTGTGTCTCTGATTCCTGGCGAAATGCGTTCCTTAATCTTCCCCTATTCTTTTAGCCTTGAGGATTCCAACTTAGCACCTGCCTTGTGATACAGTTTGATAAAAACCATCCTACTGAGTTATAAACCATTCCCCACCATTTCCATTCATTTTGAATCTACTAAACTCGTGATGATTAAATCTCGCATATTATTTATCAATTTATTGTGGAGAATCATGGACATATAACTAGCTAGAATAAGTATGTTTCATTTATCATCAATAAAAATGTATCCTTACGATAACTTGCATTTCAAACTTTAACATTCTTGCATACTAACAGTCGTTTGTTTCAAACATCTATTCTGAATGTATACGCTGATTATTTCTAAAAATACATAAGGACTGCAGTGTTTAAAATACAACAAAAACCTGAAAATAGATATTTGTAAACGAACTAGTTAATATCCACTAATGATATTCAGTGCAATTCTGAAGACCTTACTTAATCTATTGATAAACCATGTGGAAACTAACTCAAATACCTGAATATACAGCTATTTCATAAATAATTTTAGGTGAAGGAAAACAGAGCTGATGATGAATTATCTGAAACAAGCTTAATAGACATGGGTTTTAAAACAAATTAAAAGTTGGATTAACGATTTTATTCTTATTTATTACTGTTTTGTATCTATTTATATCTTCAGATCTATATTTTATTCGAACGGACTTATTAATTTCACTACCCTGTCAGCGGCAAAATAGAGTGTATTTCTTAAGGTATCACTGATTGTTATCTACCTAAAATAGCCCTTAAAATGCAGAACCAAATCAAAAGATAAGAGAGTACAATTATCCAATACTTAATGAAATGTACAAACCTTGTACATAATAGGCTTATCTGCGTCAGTGTCAATAGGAATTTCGCTAGCTTTAATCCACATTCGTGAGGCTGTATGACAAATACGTACAAATGCATTATTTGGTATAAATCCATCACTTTCTTTATAATGACTTGTTGAATCCATCTCGAAAACAGTTTCATATGTTGGTTCTTTGGATAAAGTAAGAAAGGATTCGATACAACCACCATCTCGCTCTTGTTTAGAAGAAGCACATTGTTCTCCAGATTTATTGTTTATTTTGATAATCTTAAATAAAGAATTTCAAATGATACATGAAACACTTCATTATTATCAAAATATCAAGAAAAACACTAACATTCTAACAGAACCTGGAATTTAGTCTTTGGATAACAGGAAAAATTAGTGTTTTAAACAAACACCATCTCTAAGTCAAGACATAAATTAATTTCCAATTTACTGTTTATTACCTTTGAAAATTGGAACATGATTAGTGAGGAGAACCATCAAAACATGACCTGAGTACCGAGGTGACATAGTGTGATGTTAGGCTCCCTCGTAGCTTATTATGTGTAGCAGTACTGGTTGAGGAATCAACGGTACAATCTGGACAAAATGTAATCAGAGACTTAAAATTTGTGACATAGTAGTTAGGAGCTAGATGGTTAAACTTTAGCTCTATTAAGTAGAATTTTTTCCCTAGTCTCTTGTATTTTACTTACCATGATCGATTTGGTTGGTGACAACAATATTATTTCAATTGTGGAAAGTAATAGAGAAAATATATAATTTAATAATTTACTATGATTATTTCTAATTTAATCAGTAACAGAAAAACCTTACCTTAGGACAGAGATATAGTCCAGTAATTAAATGTTTTAAACGAAATAAACTGTTCCAGTGTCCAGCTCCAGTACGCCTACAATCCGAATGAATTACCTAGTAAAAGCAAACATAATTAGAAATGAAGCGAGATTTTCTACGAAATATTAATCGATATTAATTTGATTGTGTCCAACATATATTAAAACTCATAAATTGATTCATCTCTCAGATGAACGTGGCTGTATAGAGAAAACAATCTACTTTCAAATAAAAAAAACCCTATAAGCTACATATTACAAGTACCTCTTTAGTAATACAATTATGATAGTCCGCTTACTCACTGGAAAATAAGACCAATAAAATTTTCAAGGTCACTTATGTTCAGGAACTTCGTGAGGTTTCAACCACAAATGCTAACTGATAGCTACAGTAATTGTACAATTTATATCAAATATATGTACCATCTACATTCTTCACCATCATCTAAACATAACCATTATGCATTTCGATCATCTTTACATAAATTACGTTTTTCTGGTTGTCATTAGGACGAAAAAATTAAATACAAAGTTTTGGAGCCAGTATCTTACGGTGCTCAGAATCATTCTTAAACTTTGTCCCGTTCATCTTAATTCATCACATCTAAAGAGGAAATATATTTTGTATGTCGTTTACAAACTTTTAAACAGTTCACAAATACAATGAAGTTTTTATGTAAACACAGTAAATTAAATATAACAGTAAACTTAAGAAATTTTATAATATTACTGAAAATAAGGATACACATTCGAAGACGATCCATGAAGTTAAGATGATTAAGAATTAAAAGAAACACGATTATTTAGTCGGATACAGCAAATATACATCAACCTATAATAATATTTAAGTATATAACTAAAAATTCGGCATTTGATATGGAACCTTAGATGGATCTCTTATTGTCTTATTATTCCTACTTGAATACACCTTCCAGGTGCTGATGTTTTTCAAGAAACTTATTCCTAATATGATCACCTAATAGAGCCAAGACACAACCAACAATAGTACCAACGAATCTTTCAAAAGGTCTCTTCTATCAGGTATCTTCTATCTGTGTCATCTATTTTTTCACTAACTCAGCTTCTTTGCTGTTGGCAAGAAAAATAAGTTGGAAAAGTTATTCCAGTTTTGACATTGTTAACTCCATGAGTATTCACTGGAATTCTGAGGTGTCCCACTATTTCATCCGCTAACGCTGTAAGTTACAGAGCTTGAAAATTTTAAAATGATGGTTTGAAACATGTTTTCTGAATAATCCTAGTTGAATTTATAAAAACAATGCATTCTCTAACATTGTACTTACAAATAGAATATAACAGTTTGTAAAAAAATAGCGAAATTAATCAACATAGTTTAATTTACGCAACTGTATCTTCGATGAAAGCTCAAAATTTCATATCACAAAAAAACAAACTATTACTGAGCATAAAGCTATTATTATTATTTAAACACATAAATATTGGTAGAAAGGGGCACCAGATACATATGCACCACACAAATCTCATTTGATTTGTGTGAGAGCTGTGATACTGCCGAGGTGCCCAGACTGAAGCAGGTGGTTTTCTTAGGAGGCCACACTTGGAGCCTTTGACCTAAAGATCTGATCCACAAGGCAGTGGAGCATCGTAAGTAAATGCCGTCCCATGGTAGCCGTTGACCAATGACAGGTTCTTCCGCCATTCGTTCCATCAGGATACTGGAATCCATGTGCACCATTGGTTTGGAATCAGGGTATTCCAACTCCACTAGGTGGACTTTCCGTGTCCAACAACCCGGTTAAAGCGTCGGGTATTCGCTTTTCATCCTCTCGATTTCGTAAACAACAGTTATGCCACGAGAAGGCAGCGAGTAGGACTTCCCTGTCAGAGGCTATATACGCGTGGCCATGTGTTAGCATTTGGAGAAGGAGAACGTACTCTCCTCACTCTCGGCCGTACCAGGACATTTGGAAGCTAGCATAAAGCTAAAGAATTAAGTATGTGTTAAAATAGATTATTTAACTAAAAAAACCACTTCACTTTGAAATAAAAGTGAGATAAATGTGGACAATACAGATGTCATGAAAACTTTACATTTTCTAATTAACAAATGTGTGTTTTAAAACCTTCGATAAAAGGAAAAATCATAAAAATTATGTCAGTCGACTAACCTCAACCTCCCATAATGCTTTTGAACTTTTGGCCGTAGTGGTAGCCACTCGAAATGTGGTACGCAAAAATACATGTAATTCATTTTCATATTCATCACAAGTGAGAAATTTTTCTGCTTCACTATGAAACAATCTGATGACATCACCCTAAAATTTAAATTAATTGTATTCAAGTTTCACACTGATTACACCATAAAAACGTTTTTTCATAATGTAGTTAAGATAATATGATGATCCAATCAATAATTACAAACAAAAGAACAATGCAATACATTATCTTACGTATGTGAATTCAGGAGAATGTCCCTAGTTTTTTTTGAAATTGCACCAAAATCCTCAGCTGGTGACTACAATTATTTTGATTTAGAATTAATCACCCAGATTATTAATGAGAGATAAGCTTATTCTATGGATCTAATACAATGACTTTGCCCAAACTATTGTATTTACATTGAACTGGTACTGATTAAAACCACTAAATGTAATATTACAAAGTTAAATTATTACACAATCCAGTTTTATTGTATCATGGAATCTTCAGATGAAATTCATTATAGTTTGCAAATTAAACGTATCTGACCGACCAATAATTAAAGTAGGCTATAATGTAACTCAGTTATACCTCAAATAAAGTTACTAGGTGTCAGACGTACAACAGCAGGAAATCAATTCATGCAATAAAAATTAGCTGAAATAAGCATGTAAAAGATTTTACAATTGAATGTGAAGAACTACCCTCAGGAACCTTAGAAAGCTACTTCATCTGTACTATTGATAACATTTATTAACGCGAATGTCGAGGGTAACTCCGCCTGTAGCTCTTCTAAAGTTACTGCTGGTCCCAAGCCCGGCTACTGAAGGGAGGTTGAGCATGAGGTCGGCAACCCCATCTCGTAGAAAAAAAATATTGCTAAAATGACGACAACCAGATTAAACAAAACATAACCATAATTAGTAATCTTCAAGCTCCCTAAGTATCAAAACTTAATAGCAAGTGATTTCATATCCACAAGACAGTTTGATTTTTAGCGACTATTTAAGATCCTATTTTACAACAGCTAATATTATATGTTGGACAGATGTTAGCTTATGAAATATATCACCTAATAAACTGTCCAAAATGAAGCAAAAGTATTTGTAATTCTCCCCAAAATATTTCGGCAATTAATTTCAATGTTGATACAAATCTAGTTTATTTATCTTAAACTGATTGTGGTGTGGGTTACTGATATCCACATAAGTAGTATATGGTGATAGTCGGGCATTGAATGTATTTCAGTAGAAGATCGATAAGGAGAGAACAGGAACGGCACGTGATTGGTACGAAAATGCATGAACAATTATAATCGGAGACTATGGATGGATATTTGCAGAAGGAACAGTCAAATTGAGACAATTGATTGTTATTTCGCAAATTAACTGTTCACTATATGGTTCTCATATTTTAATGAGATATTCTGTAATGTTGTGCTAAAATTTATTTGATTGTCCCCCATTCGTGTTTTCGTTCACTGATCACTTATGAACGTGTCGTCGTGTCTAATAGTACTCCCTATAACCAACAAATGTGTATAAAGATCTTATGGAAACAAATTAACTTCTAGATGGAATAAATTAATTTCATCTAGTTATTATGATTTATACAGAAATGAAATGAAACAACCATTAGTTAATTATAAAGATAACAATAAGTAACTTAAATATAATGAACTGTAAACATTACCCCTTTCAATATATGTTCTAAATTATCTTGATAACTCAAATAAAGATTAATTTGCCAGCTGGTATTATTATTATCACTATTATTATGACTATTAATTCCATGATGATCAGTATCAGACATTAATTTATGCTGTTTAAGATTTGAATTAAGTTGTTTAATGTTCAATGCACAACCAGCGCGACAAGCAAATAGAGTCACTTTATCTCCAATCACAACCTATGAAATATAGTTTCAAAAAAAGAAGTTCATTATTCAAGTGACTTTTAAAACATGTGGATGTTTTGTATTATATAATGAGATTTATTATCCGGATTACTAGAGTAAATGATCATTTACAAGTTACTGTAAAAGGTTTGTACATAATCGTATTATCACACAAACATACACAAATAAAGCTCGGAATAGTTATCCATCACTTAATTTCTGTCGAATACTTTTTTCATAGTTGAAATCATGAGTCAATTGAAGCTAGAACACTATGGAAAACCTGGAATCACTGGACGGCCAACTCGTCCTATTATGGGACTCCTCAGTGGCAGTGCGCATCCACGATCCCGAACTCGCAAGAATCGAACACAGGACCTACCAGTCTCACGTCAGTGCAATTAACCGATAGACCACTGAGCCGGCCGGCATCCAACAGTGTTAATGTCTAACTTAAACCAATGCACGAAATCTAAGCGATCGTTCATCAATTGTCTTCAGTGAGTTGATATCTCTACAACAGACTTGGTTGAACTCCACTAGCCACTGCTTTCGACTAGAACTCAAAGAAAACGTCCCTTGAAGTCAGTCACTAGTGAGTATATGATTATAGATCAGAATGGGTTTTGTGGAGATATTAGTATTTTCACAGTTGAAATCATATATGTATCAAATTCTTGTTTCTAAAACTTCACTTATTTAGAGTTATTTAAATGACAACTTGATATCATCTAAAGTCAGCAAGTTAAATAGGGACTAATAATGAATTGTAAATAATGACCTTATTATTAAGTTGGGAAATATTAATTACTGTTTCTTAAACTAATATCTTAAAATTTAAGACTCAATTCTACAATAGAATAATGAATGAGTAGTTTTGACTAGTCACAATGGAAAAAAACTACCTCTCAACATACCAACAAAATGATGTAAAAAAAATCATGACCAAATAGATAAACATCATTCAGGATAGATACTAATCAAAAAGATTGATAATAGTTTTGTTTCTTAACTCACCGGATCACCTATTTGTTTGTGTTTGTATGATGGTTGAATGATAAACCATGATTCATCACCTTGATATTCTTCCAAAGTAAAACGTACAGAAGCATCTTTAAATTCAGGTGATAATTCCTTTTTAGCTCGAAGTATTTTATTTGATTTTACATGAAGAAGCTAGAAATGTTAGAAGAGAAAAAAAAGACTACTTTTCATTGTCAACACGTTTGGTAAATTGCAATGGGAAAACAATAAAACTATCAATCACTATAACATTTGATTATATTGACTGTAAGATATTTAGAATTGAATTCATCAAATAGTATGGTCAAATAACTCAGTATGTTATATAAGCAAAGATGGATAGTGACTAGCAGTGGGATCCAGGACGCGCGTTTCATCCTATTTGGGAGTCGTCAGCTGGATGTACCTGTATCTCAGAGTTGATGTTCACCACTGCTAGTCACTATCCATCTCTGCTTATAATGCTTGTGAATTAAGGCTATATCGAGGCAATACGCACAGTATGCACATATACCAATTAGAGACTGACCAGTTGCAGTCCTAACACATCGATAGGAAGATTCAAACAAACAATACTAAATGATTTTAGTATGCTATAGTTGATTCTTTTCTACGTGATATGCTGAAGATAATGTTTGTTATTTCTACTGTTACGTTCCCTGATTCCAAAGTTTTCCTAGTCATGCTGACAACACCAATTACAATAATTAACATATTTTATTTATTCACAAGTTAAGTACATTGCATTCACTTTACTCTATACAATGGTCTTTATTTGTTATTGTTTTTAAAGGCAATTGATAAACTGTTAAAACATTATATGTATAAGCAGATTTGTGGATAATATTGTTAAGTCCCACTTCTGTAAATCCGACACAATCTGTCATTGAATTCCCCAAACATTATAGATATCCTTTTACTTGGTATTTCACTTCACTGTGTGCAGCACCAGACATTGAAAAGTAGCTTACTGTCAGCTTCAAGAGTAGTTGTGTTAGGGTTTGTTGATATCATTCCTCCACCTCATTTCCACAGTAAAAAAATGTATGAATATCTTTTGTTTGTGACTTTGGTTGTCATCTCAGCAAAATAGATGTTAAAAGCTATGTATGAAAGACATGCACATAATGTGAAGTAAACCGTTTTCCAATGAAGTAAATTCGGAAAGAGAAAAAGGATAGAGACATGAAGAATTCAGAAGATTCAGAAGCAATATTAACTAATTCTTTCTTCCTGTACTGTATCCTTATACACAATCTTTCCTTTGTATATTACTAACACTGGAGTAACTGCTATGAATTTGTTCATCTTGTTGTGCTAATAGGGTGTGGTCAGTCAGTCAGTCACAACGTAGAACTTCGTACGTACGTACATCAGTTCGAGTTGCCATACCACATTAGCACAGAGATGCAGTTGTCGATTCAAATACCATAGTGGTAGAAGTAGTAGGAGTATAATCAGTAATCCAAAAGATTAGGGTTTGAAGAAATTATTGAAGGAGTATAGTACAGTGAAATAAATTTGGAAAGAGAAAAAGATAAAGACATGAGGAATTCAGAAGATTAGAATTTCGTAGAACACAAAGAGTGGATGCACCTTCACCATTGCAAACGATTTTGAGCCATGTCATTCAAGGTCTCTAACCATCGATTTCTATCATCTCGTGAATCCCAACCAGGTAGTCTACACCTACAACATGGCTCAGTCCACTTGTCAGTGACTTCAATGATTTGTGCGACGTTCTGGTCTGGCCGCCCCTAGCTTTCTTCCAACTTACTCCTACACCATAAAACACTGCACGTCGGGGGCAGTCGGTGGTTGGGCATACGTAACACGTGTCCCAGCCATCTCAACTGATGAAGTTTTACTACTTCATCAAGAGGGGTGACAAGATCAATAAAACACCTCCTTTTCTAAACTGAACTAGCTATTAAATCTAAAAATGCTGAACCATAACAACTTCTTGAACTTGATTTGTTTACAAACACGATTTTCACATTATATCATCATTTATTGTAAAACAATTGTTTCAAATACCTATTCACCTGACTAACTTCCATATCATAGACTCTGGACATGATCAGATATTTGATCGTAATAACACGTATACTATCATGTATGATCTGGTTTTTGGCTAATGAGGCTTTGAAACCAAAGTATAGATAATCAAGGCTTTTAATTAAAACTAAACATGAAAACAAACTTAACAAATGTCTTGCATGTGAATTACTATTTTAGTAACATAAATGATGAGATCTCAAAAAAAGACAATCAAGTTTAGAGTTTAAAACGTCAAATATAAGTCCGAATTAAGTTTGTGGATTAAGAAAATGTCAGGTTTATGTGTTTAATGATATAGTAAACATAATTGTATTGGTTTCTATTCATATTGGTATTTGGTCAATCTATTATTGAACTTCAAATATTTAAAGTAATTAAAAAAATGATAACTCTGGAAGTGTACAAATCAATAAACCGGTCACACTTGTTAAAGTATTCCTGACTTTATTACAAATGTGATTCATTCAAACAATCAATCATCCTATTTTCAGTCTGTGGTTTCCATATTGTTGTTGTTATTCTTCAATCTTAACAGTTGGTGAATATTCTTGTTATTACCAGGTTAGAAACTTTAGCCTCGTATTACATCCATTCTCCCTAATTTACAGATTTGTCCGTTGACTAAGTAAATGTCTAGCTACAATAGGCGTCCAAGCTAAAGCGAACAAGCTTAGGACTAAATATTACACGTATATTTTAACATTCTATTGTTTTATTTATGTTAAACTAAAGACATTTAGATGAGTCTGCTAAAACCTAAAATCTAAATGAAGATAACAAGAGAATTGAGTCAACTTAATGAAATGGGCTTGTTGTATGTTTGAAAAGAATAATCTTGAAGTGTACAAATATTAGAAATAGTGTCATAATCCTTTAAAGGGCAAGAGATAAATAACTTTACTTTCTTAAAAATATTAAACTATTTAGGCTTTTCCTGTTGAAATTATTAAATTTACTAACTATCCAATGTCATTGGACTGTAAACTTATGAATATAACAATCAAATAAATAATGTTACGCATAATGAATAAACTTGTTGAAGTGAAAACCTTGTTATATGAGTAAATGATATAACATTTTGAGTATTTCAATTTAATTTAGTAATTAAAATGTAAGTTCCCCTTCCCTTAGAAACCGAATTGTTTCAGTAGGATAGGTATCATCATATAAAGTTAAACGAACCTGATTTTCTCAGTTTGGGAAATCATTATTATAGATGTATGTGACATTGACCCCTTTAAACTAGTCTAGAAGCATTCCGTTAAACTGTCTAATATTCAGCTTAAAGACATTGGGATTCAACTTGTCTCAAAACAGTATGAATGGCAAGTAAAATCAGTCGAGAGGTAGCTTAGTGGTTTAAGCGTCCCACATAGGCAGTTGGAAGAAGTCAACAGCAAACCATGGGCCTACGTTTTGTGATATTTTGGAGCTAGTTAGTAAGGCGTACCTGAAATCTTTAAATAAGTGGAACTTTCTGCTGGATTCGACCTGATGTAATCTAGTTTCACAATCTGAGACACTACCACTGGGCTATTCGGGCAATAACTTACTCCCCGTGGAACCGAGGCATTTTACAACTAATTTATCATCAAGGAGTGACTAATATTGTTTGTCTATTCCCATATTACACTCTTACAGTTTTGAGTGCAAATAATAAAAATATTTACATTCTAATAATCCCAATTTTACATCGTTTTAACTAACTTAACCTAAGTATTTTAGTTTTATTGGGAAATTTCTGTGACGAAAGCATTATATTTGATATGAAATCGACACAACGTAAAGGTGAACGATTGATAATATGTACCATATGAATGGATGGTAACAAACTTGTAATTGGAGCACCTCATAACTACACAGAAAAGAAACAAACAGCCAGTTTTGGAGCTATTTAATACTAGTAAGATGAAGACAGTTAGGGAAAATAGGCCACTCAAATGGTTAATAACTCCAAAAACGCCTTTTCTGATGCAGACATACAGTGATGGAGAAGATTTGTAGCTCAGGTGGGTGATTTTGATGTTGGTTTGTTCTCTGAGCTGGATGGTTTGGTCGTGAATTTCCCATAACCACGAATACAATCAGTCGTTTATTGGAATGCAATGGCGCAACATTCTTTTAATACGAAACGGGTAATGAATTTGGATGTTTTTGTGATATATTAAGTCTTTCACAGTCAAAAAATTTCGGGTCGTATAGCTTTGAACTGTAAAGTTCTTGTTTACGACTAAGTTGACACGATTAAGGTAAACTGAACTTCTGTTTTAGCTCAAAGATTCATAACGAAAAATGGATTGACAACTATTCTGAAATTTGAATCACATAAAACACCTGTTGCACCCATTGACCTGAAAGTTTCATTTTAAAAAACTTAAAAGCGACACAAATTGTCTATCGAAGAACTTAACTCACTTTGATCACAATGTAATTATAATACTGTGTTATGCTAGAACCTGTACAAATACTTATCCAGCTTATCCATCCAAATATTAACTATTCAAATTCATGATAATTCCAAAGGGTTAATGCTTCTTTAAAGTAACACAAGACTCCAGGTTTTATTTCCCATCACCAAGGCATGGTTGAATTAACCGACCCATCACTTAATACAAGTCACATAAATTTATTTTAAAATCCACAATGACAGCATTGTGTAGCCCGACACTAAATTAGACGAACGTAAATCAACCAAATGAAAAGTTATAACGAAATCTTGATGTTGAGTTTACAGTTTATTTTTTTCCATATTTCTTCATCGTTTCTTACAAAATAAGTAAAACCTCTGATAAGTCCAATAATAATCTGGTAGTTAACTGGAGCGTAACTTTTTATTATGTGTAAAACATTGTATAGAAACCAAGGACAACTAGAAGCTTGGTGGTAATCAATAAAAACTTAATTTTTGCGCAAAAAAGATTGGTGATGAATATAAAATAAGCCTGAAGTCCTTCTGAGAGTGCATGTGTCCTAGATGTACAATATAATAGTGACACTTAAAAAAAAGAAAAATAAGGTCATAAAAAGCAAAATACTCGACTTGATGTCAACAACAAAAGTATAAATTTACATTCATAATTACGCTATATAATAAAATTATTCAGCTACTACCCTGTTCACATAATGGCTGAGGGTGAAATCATTTTGTTAATATGACAAAATCTTTAGTTTCTTTCCAGTCAGGTTCAAACTTTGTTAATTAAGTTAAATTGAGTAAAACAACAAAACCATGTAAGTAAAGCTGAAATAACAACTACCTTTTGTCCTCATTCAAGTTCATGAAGGGGACCAACTGCAAGAAATAAGACTATTGATGATCAAATGTAATAAATTCATTAAAAGTAATTAATAACTCTACAAAAATTTTCCCTCAGAGTGATACAGAACAAGCAATAAATGCATCACCTCCTTTCTTAATTTATCGTTAAATACGAATAAATGATAGCTATACCGCCCAGTGAGAGAATAAAACAATATGACCACCTTATGAAAGACAACCAAAATGTTTCTAAATACCTGTAGATGAAAATAAAGAAAAAGGGATCAACTGTCTCAGTAGCTTTCTACCCTCCTTTGCGTTTCGGTTAATAAAACGTTTACATTCCGTAAATTTGGTGTTTCTCATAATCTCCACTTCATAGTTCAACTCTACACAAAATTACCCTGGTTATCAGTTGATTTGGTCAGTTTTGTGGAACATTTGTAAACCTGGTGGTCTGCACAAACTCTTTAACACAACCTTAACTCGAAACATACTTCAGCAGTGTCGTTGTAAAATAACTTGAAAGATAGTTTAGCAAAGGTCTGAGTAAACCATCTCTTAAAACAAATCCGGACTATCATTTTGATCCCAAGTGTAGGAGAAACTTGGCAATCACAAAATCCCAGTTTGTAAAAACTTTTGCAACGCTAGAGAAAAATTACGCAGATCTAGTCACACTCTACTCTTGGGTGTGACTCCGGTTGTCTTAGGAATAGGCTGGAAAATCCTGGTTGGGAAAAGATCGGTATATGAAACTGATCTATGAAACCATAGACTCCCAGTATTATGACTTCGAGGTCAAGACCATGAGCTTAAAAGTATCCTATATTTTCCATTTTGTAAACACATTTTGTTAATGAATATCTCGTATCCAAATTCTGGTTGCATTTGATATTTAACTCTGTTTATCACTTACCGTTTTGTTAATTTCCTCCCTCACCAAGTAAATGTAAAGTGTGACAACACATTGATGTTAGGTTCTACCCTGAATATGACAACGTAACTGTCATGCTGCTTAATATCAGAACAATTAACTGATAAAAATGAGTATTAGAATGAATGTAAAGGTGAGTGTAGTTAAATACTGTTCTCGAAACCGAAAGGAAAAAATAGTAAAACCATATTAGTCACCGTTGCCACCTTGAATTTGTGCTGGCTAAACTTTTTATTCACCGATTTCGCAAGTTTAGAAAACCGTGTTCAGGTTGCCAGTAACTATCTAGTATTCGTACACAAAAAACATCTAGTTTGACAAACAGATTCAAGGCTCTGAACTAATCAGTTTTAGTATTTTTTTGAACACTGCAATTTCACCAAAGAGATTAATTTTTCATGGCAACATTAATTAAAGTTTTTTTGTTTTGTCATTTTGATGCATGAACCGTAAGATTCTAAACATATTTTTTTACCAATAGCTAGAATTTTGGAAATATATATATATATATATATATATATATATATATAGTGGAAGAGGTGAACACAAATTTTAACTTCCAAATGCAGCTAGAAACACATATAAGAACAAATAATCTTATGTAAATTCCGGGTTTAGAAATTCGCAGTAAAATAATGTGAAGTACAATAGTTCAAAACTCAGTGATATTAAATTAAAAAATATAAATTCAAAGACATAACGTTAACACACAGAAATTTCGTTCAATACAAGTGAATCAAACCTAGGACATACAAGGCTTGTGTGGATTTCTAAGATGACTAGCTCATTGACATTTATTTGAGCACTATTTAATTGATAAATGCATTATTTCAAAAGGTCTGGTTGCTTTTCTGTGCACTCATGACAGTTAGTCGCTCCATTAGCCGACCAAATAAAGTACTTTCATTGAGTAGCTTTTCCTATCAGGCCTCCCAGTAAATAAATAAGTGAAATTTTCTAGTGATGGCAAAGCAGCAGGTTATTAGAAACTCAAATCATACAGACACAATAAATCATCTAGTAAACTTTTAGATTATACAAGGAAACGAAAACGTTGAGTCCTCAGTCTTACAATAAGTAGTGTTTGTTCTTCACACCAAATAGACCAACTCAAGTTAACTTGAAGCAACAAAAGGATTTAACCTGGAATTATTTTTTAACAAACTTCATAATGCACGTCGTCAACCAAATTTACATGCTTGAAATGTTACTCTTTATACCCAGAAACAAAGTATGAATGGAAGCAGATTATGTCAGAAGCCTTCATATATTGTTTCCTCTGAAATTATCCTCATGTGCACAAAATAGTCTAAATAATAAACAGCCTAAGTAGCAAAACATTGTTGAATACTGATCAAAAAATTATTAAAATCGAAGAATTAGATGAACAAAAAGAGTCTCTAAGTTCAGAAAGAATTAAATACAATTAAAAGTTCCTACTGATTAAAGTATCACGAGTATATATATATATATATATATATATATATATGCATACGTATACATAGACTTCGACCTGGATTTTGTGCTGATGATGTCGTCCAAAAGAGCGATGAAAACTCCACAACCGAACCGTCCACCTCAGAAAACGAAATAAATCAGCTACAAATCCCCGCCAAATATAAAATTCATCTCGCTTTCCAAACCAAACAAATATCACGGTGTTTGAGGTCTATTTATAAAAATAACCGAATATGCTATCACTATCAGACGACTAACTATCTAGGGCTTGAAGTGCTCTGACCCTTGAAGTACTCAAAGCAGTTTCAATACCTACTCTAAATCTTACTTTGCAAAAGCCCCATCACGTCATCATATATAAGGAGGAGCATTGCTCTTTTTGGACAAGTCGTGATATCAACAACCAAAACAATACTTAGACTAAGAAATAAACTATACTCATTTCTCTTGGAAAAGCTAAAATGGAAACAAAGATTAAAGCGGCCACAATCTTAATGTACTACACTAATTATTAAACCTTCTTATTTATTGAAGGTCATACGCGCGATGTTTTGAAACGATGACGAAGGTTAATATTCTGTATGAGCACGCGTTAGGATATGCTCTGTTCAGAGTTAAAATCAAGTCAGTAGAAACTTCAGATGTTGTTACTGCGTTACAACAGTTAGCTGCAGATCTTTTGAATAGTGAAGAAGAGTTTATGAAATGCTTATGAAATGCTTTAAAAGAGTAATTATTAGACTCTAAAACTAAACCATAATTAACATGGTAACCTCAAAAGCAGAAAACGAACGAGCACGTAATAAAGGCTTTCCGTAGTGAGAGTCCATAAAATATAAAATACATTAGCCAAAGCAATAATAATTGAACGTTTATTATTTCCAGTGTTGTTGACCGAGGTTACACATAGCTCCCCTACTCAGTTAATCATTTTATTATTAGTTCCTTCATTACTTCATCAACTGAGAATTAAACGCCTCCTACTGTCTAGGATTAGAAACTAAGGAGCTAACAGTATTCGTCTTTGCTCAACAAAGTTTGAAAACTATTTACCTGGATAATATTACCATAATAAACCAAAGACTCTTGTAAACGTCTTTTCATTTTGCTGTTTTGTTCATTATCACATCCGGACTCCTCCTGTCGTTGATTTTCAGACTGAAATTTAACCTACAATTAGTTTATCTGGTCGAAAACTCGTCTCATTTTCCAAACAATTCTCATTCAGATACTTTTGCATAGCAAGTATAAAGAACCGACAATCTATCAAGCGAATGTGATAAAAACGACAATTTACCCCTTGTTAACGACGATGTAAAGTTCCCTTCGCTATTAAGCCGTGTAACATTCGGTTTATTGCTAATTTGACTGAGTTCCTTAATAACCAAAAACAAATCAAACAACTAACCCCTCCATACATAGCAATCCACCATCTTCATCGTTCGAGTAAAACGTTACTTGATCTCCGAAGTGTAATAACTCAACTTTATTTTCGATTTCCGCCCCAAAAATCATAAGCATCAAACAGTTAAAAATCTGACGGATACGTCTAAGGTGTTTTCGTGCTTGTTCATAAAACCGCAACAATAAACAGAAAAACAAGTTTCCAATACCCAATATTGTATCACTTGTGCGAATACATTTATTAATTTCCCCGAGTTTCTTTCCTGATATCAACAACTTATTTTGAACCTTACCCAAAATCGATAACAAGTGGATTTGATAGAAATGTAAGGCCACACTTAGAATACTGTATCCAAGCAGCTAGCCCTTGTATTCAGTTTCAGTTTGGAAAGAACAGGAGGCTTGGTGGCCTGTGTTAGTCCTGGCAATGATGGTCTCTCAGCTGATCCAACTTTCATTTCAAAGGAGTTGACGGATGGAGCCTCAACCACGTGCTGAGGTAATGAATTCCACTCGTTGATTATTCGATGGGAAAGTCGGTAGTCAGCTGACAAGTAATTCGTTCTGTTCTTGTGAACTTTCATGGAGTGTCCTCGTAGATTTTCTGTTTTGGAAGACAAGAAAAATGAGGGCATATCAGGTTCAAATTTGTCATTAAGCAATTTGAAAACTGTAATCAAGTCCCCTCTGATTCTTCTATATGACAGCGGGAATAGGTTTAGCTTAGTCAGTCTAGTACCGGAGCTTCGCTATTCCGGGAATCAGACTAGTTGCTGTTCTCTGAACCCTTTCCAAGAGTTCACTGTCTTTTTTAGGCAGAGGCTAGCTGCTTATATGCAGTACTCAAGTTTAGGGCGTACGAACACTGTATACAAAGTCAGAAACGTTTTAGCGTCGAGATTCCTAAAAGCCCTGGGTATGGACCACAAAGTCCTAAAACCTTTGGCGGCTGTTGCACGGCAGTGTGCAGTAGTCTTCAAGTCTTGACTAATGATGACGCCTAAGTCATTGTGTGCCTGAACAATAGGTAACTCAGTGTTATTCATCGTGTATGTATCTGTACCCTGGTGGCCAATATGCATCACAATACACTTGGAAGTGTTTATCGGCAATTGACAGGTTTGGGACCATTCAGATAATCTCTCCAGGTCATTTTGAAGTTCTAAGCTATCGCCCTTGCTTTGTATCGCTCTCCATACCTTGACATCATCAGCATAGAGTAAGACCGATGACGATAGTAGACGAGGGAGATCATTTACGTACAGGAGGAATAACACTGGCCCCAAAAACTGTACCCTGGAGGACTCCACTAAGCACAGTTTCCCAGCTAGACAACTTGGAGTTCACCCTTACTCTTTGTTGACGCCCAACTAGGAAGTCTTTTATCCACATCAATAGATTACCTCCAATCCCGACATTCCTTAGCTTATATAACAGCCGGTTATGCGGAACTTTGTCGAAAGCTTTACTGAAATCGATGTAAGCTATGTCTATAGGTAACTTTTGGTCCTTAAGAGCATATCAGCTTTCACTAGCGACTAATAAGTTTGTGAGACAAGAGTAACCTGTTCTGAAACCATGCTGCTTTTCCGAGAGGATCCGGTTTTCATCGAGATACTTTAACAGCTCCTTCCGAATAATCTTTTCTAAGATTTTAACAACCACACTAGTTAGGCTAATTGGTCGGTAATTCTCAGGCTTATGTTTTGTACCTATTTTGAAGACTGGACTTACTATGGCGTTCTTCCAGTCTTTTGGTAGACGACCCTGGGTTACGGATAGATTAAAACATACACTTAAAGGGTTCGCAACAAAGTTAGCTAATTCCTTTAATAACCTAGAATGCAGTTCATCGGGTCCAGTGGTTTTACCTATGTCAAGCTTAACTAGCAGACTAAGGACATCGAGTTCTTCAATGGTCACGCTGTCCAGTGCTTGTATGGGTGGATTTTCATGGACTGGTGAGAAGGGTGTTTCTATGGTGTATACATTGCTAAAGTACTACTTGAGCTTTGCCAAAGTCGTCCTCCACTAGTGATGAGGCAGTACTGTCTCCCCATAGTGAAGGAACATTTCTTCTTCTTTTTGTCCTTTGGTTTATATACGAATACAATCGTTTAGGGCATTCCATGGATTCCCTAACGATTTTCTCTTCGTACAGCTTTCTGGCCTTACCGAGGGTTGAGGCACAGGTATTTCGAGCCTTTTGATACTGAGGTTTCGCCTCGTCAGTCCTCAGTAACCTAAATCTGTCCCACATTTTCCTTCTTTTACGGAGAAGGATGCGAACCTCCCTACTGAACCACAGTGGGGAGTTTCTCTTCTCCTTAGGTGTAGTCCAAGGGATGTGGGGGCAGCAACTTTTAAGTATAAATTTCGGAATACGTCCCAAGCCATTTCGATTGATGACTCTGGGTCTATTTTCCAATCTGCTGATGATGTTGATTTCATGATGTCTGCTATGTTTGCTTTCCAGACGTTAGGTCTGGATTGAGCTGAAGCATACTCGTGATCGACAGTTATATGGAAGTCAAAGGTGTAAACTGCATGATCACTTTTGCCTAGGGGTGACATGTAATCCAGGTTTGCAACATCATCCTCATAGTGAGTCAATATAAAATCTAGTAAGGATTATGCATAACCCGGGTCGTACCTAGTTGCTACCTTCACGTGTTGCACTAGGGCATATGTGATTACCGCATCAACTAGTTCCTGTTCGAAGGAGTTTGCTGACGATTCAGTCCGCAGATTTCCCCAGTCCACCATGGGTGCATTAAAGTCCCCTAGGATTAGACATCAATCACTTTGTGATAAAGTGTTGAGACTGCTTAGCAGGACCTCGTTTGCCTCACAGCTTGGACTGCGATAGATCAAACTAAGTAGCAACTCTTGTCCCCTGCATTTCAGGCGGCAGCAAACTAATTCATACGTCCCACTCTCATGGGATACACTGTCGATAATGGTGAATGGAATAGCATTCCTAATGAATAGAGCTACTCCCCCTCCTTTACGCGTTTGTATTCTATCGGCCCTTACCAATGTAAAACCCTCGAAATCAAGTTCCCTACAATCTATAGACGGCGTCAGCCATGTTTCTGTGACTGCGATTATGTCTGGCCTAGTTGAGTCAATCTGTACACCTAGTTCCGGTAGCTTATTTGGTAAGCTCCGGGCGTTGGTATAACAGATCCGAAGCCTATTTAGGTGGCCTCGTGCTTCACCTTGAGTGGCTTCGGCATCATCCTCTGTCGAAGGATACTAAATCGCTTGAGCGTGTCCAGCGTGCAGGGACAAAATTAGTTAAGGGTCTTTCTAAACTCCCTTACGATGAGCGTTTAAAACGTCTAAATCTTTTCCCCTTATCTTATCGTAGGACACAAGGTGACCTTATACTGACATTTCGTATCTTTAATTATGATCTGCGTGTTAATATGTCTTATCTTTTTGCTCCCTCCAGCACTAATAATCTCCGAGGTCATAGCAAGAAGGTTCTGAATCCGCGATCTAATAAACTAAAGGTGGGGTCCCGATTTTCTCATCGTGTGTTCAATGATTGGAACGCTTTACCAGAACAAGCGGTATCAGCACCATCAGTGAACATTTTCAAAAAGAAGCTGGATTTTCACGGGAAAGAAATCTGTCAGGATTAACACAGGTTCATCAACCTACTATCCTTATTACTGGAGACTGAAGACTGATATAAGTGTGAGTTATATTTGCTTTCTTTGCAAATAACCGAGTTTGTCTGGAGATTGTTTAACTTTTGGAACTAAATAAACTCAAGTTGTATGATAGTCATCCATTTGATCACGTGTAGTTAAAAAGAATAGAAAAGATATGGGGAGGATAGATTAAGACGTCAGAAAGCTTAGAAACAGTGAAGTAGAAAACTATAATAAGTTATACGAAAAAGACATGGAGTGAGAAAACGAAATACACTGGATAGAGGAGACTAGTAGACTGGTATATGTTTAACAGTTTGACCTAATCCAAATCACCTTGCCAGTAGTCATGATGCTAAGTCAATTGGTTAAACATTACAAGCCCACAAACTAGTTGTTTGAAAACAATGGGTCACACTTTCATCTTGTGACTCTCACTCTATCCAGCTTCAATCAATTCCATCTGTATCCCTTAACAAATGATGGCCATCAGGGCAGGTCAGTCATTCCTCATCTCAAAGCTTCTACCCTTTAAACAGAAGGTTTATTTTTACTATGCATCTCATTCTCTGTTGAACATTAAGGCTTAAAAACTGATCAGATTTATCGAGACAATATTCACAGCCACCAACATTATTTTTGTGCCCAACGCAAGAACTTTTTCTGCAGGTGATCGGTTCGTTGGGTCATCTATTGGCAATAATATCCACCACAGACATGGAGACCAACTCATATTCTACATTCTGAAACACCAGTATAATTCCGCAAATGAATATACTATTCAGAGAAAATTCCCACTGTCTGATACCAACTCCATAATTTCAATAGCCATCATTAATTATCTTTTGAATCGCTGCACAGGCATTCTTCTGGCCTACAGGTAAATAGCTTCAGACAGCATAAACACACAACACAACATTAACATCTCTTTTATTGAAGTTTCTTAACAAACCCAGATGGGTCTGTGCCAATTTCGGTTGTTAATTCTAATATTAACGAGTGCATTCTAGATAATACAGAGTCTATATCCAATACACTGTCGAACAGACGCAAGACGAACTTACGAAGAAGACGTACAATCGATTACAGACACTTACACTCTAATTTAAGCTGTGGCGGATGTGGTGTTTACATACACCAGTGATTTCTTTGTATTCATGACTGTTTTCATTTCGAATTCCAAATACAATACATTCGGGCAGGGTCGAAAAGTCATGCCACTGGTTCTCTCTCACATGTAACATGTTGTCGGGGAATTTAGATGTCGTTTTTTATCAGCTATTCACGGCATTTTTCCGTCACACGTCGATTTTCGTAATCTTTGTGCTTATTACATAGCTTTTGTACCAGTCTATTAGCAGCTTGACGTATTTGTTGCTCACATCCTGGATAAATGTCTAGAAATCCTTATTTGGTAATTTGTAACAATGCAAACTCAGGCTAGTGAAATTCACC